TAATAAAATAAATCATATATATATATATATATATAAGTAATGTTTCACTATCTTCTTATTGGACTATTTTTATATAATTCTTTTTTTTAATTATGTTTTCAACCAAACCAAAAATAAAACACATTTAGTTATACATATACATTAAACTCACACTTTAATATAAAACTGAAGAAAAAATTATTTTAATTAAGGCACAAATAAAAAAAAATATGATCATATATATTTATCTCACACTTTAATTTAAAACCAAAAAATATATATTCAATTAAAATACAATTAATTATATACATTTAACTCACACTTTAATATAAAAACTGAAATAATATAAATTTGCATTAACTATATTTTTCTACTCAATTTTAGTCAACACACAATAAATTAGAATTAACTCCCAAAACATTTTCTTCTAAATTGTAACTCTCATCACTTCTCATCTTATAAATACTCATTCTCTCATTCTCTCATTCCCTCCTCCTCTTCCACTTTACCTCAAATATTCTATAATTTTGTTTGTTTGGTTTTGTGTTTTTTTTTGTTGGTTGTTTGTTGTTGTATGAGTTGAAAAATAAATTTAAATACCATTGTAAGAGTTTAGTCTAAATTTTAATTTTTAGACACTCTATGATATATATTTACATTGTTTTATTGATTTTTTAAGATTCATCTCTATTGTCTATTTTAGATTACCATCTTATAATTAACCTCTCTCTCTCTCTCTCATTCTCTATCACTACATTCATGTATCTTAAATATGTTCTATTTTTGTGTTGTTATATGGATTGAAAATCAATGAAAGTATCATTTTAAGAATTTGATCTTAATTTATTTTAGAAATTATGATATATATCAAACATGGTTTCAATTTTTATTTCTAATGCCTTATTATATATAAATTTTCAATTTTTATTTCTAATGCCTTATTATTCATACTTTTCATACTTATGAGTATGAATGAAGAAAGTATGATCTAACACATATGTAAAATAAAAGTTTTGATTGCTATATAAATAAAAGTTTCAATTTAAAACTTTAACAAATAACTTCTTCTATTTTTAAAAAATCTCAAATAATTGTAATTCATTTCGATATATGTATAATTATATTTAGTTTGTGATCGAATAGATTATTATAATATTTAATTTATTTAAAATTTGAGGTCTAAGTGTTTAAAAAGAAACAAAAAGTACTTGGTTTTAAAAAAATTGGTCTTTAAATTGTTTTTTAAGAAAAATCATACAGTTCATAAAATTTAAATTTAGTTTAATTCATTCATCAATTGAGTAGACAGTGAATTAGTGAGCTTCACTAAAATCCTATTAAATTATATAATTTTATAAAGTATGAGTTATACAATAGTATCATATCCACTCTCCACTCTTAGTAATTTAATCATTTGTTCTAAATAATAGTCTTTCTTTTCATAACAATATAAATATCTAACCCAAGTTAGATTTTCCTAGAGAGATCGAACATAAATTCGATTTCTTAAGAGCAATTCATGATTGTTGTCATGTATATATAATAGATAGATATATTCGTTCATCTTTTTTGTTAATGTTGATGTAAACATGTGATGCCTTTTTGATATAAATTCATTTCTTTAGCTTTTATAGTAATGTAAATTTTTGTGTTTGTTCTTAAATGGTTTCAATATTAGTTTTTTCCTTCAACAAATTCTACATAAAATTATCTTAATATACATAAAAGGATCTCATCTACGTATATGTGTGCTTCTTTTCCAATCAATTAGAATGAAAAATATCAAATTTCTTTTTCTCAAATAATCTTCCTCTGTTCATTTGGCTTTTGTTTTATTGTTTATATAATTATCTCAGGTGAAATATTTTCTAAATTGAAAAAGCTTTTCTAAATAAGGTCTTAAAAAAAACATATATCTCAGGTGAAATATTTTAAATTGATATTTTGGAAAGTTTAACTTGATCTTTTTAAAAATTCAATTTACTTCTAGCTAATGATAAAAACTAGGGAAATAAACCAATACTCATAAATTATGTGAGTTTTGTTTACTTTTAATATTAACAATGTACACACACAAAAAAGTTAACATCAATTTACAATTGTCTACTATATTATATATGTGCTAATCTGTATTACTTTGTATTGATCTCATTCGGTTTCATATTTTTCAAATATATATTTTATTTATTTTTACTGTTTATAATGTACACAAATATGTTCTATATTAACAATTACATATTAAACTATACAAATGTAGTTTTCAATTTATATTTCAAATTAATATTATATATATAACCCACGCATCGCGTAGGCAACTTTCTAGTAACATATACGTTAAACCGGCTTTGTAATATTTAAAAATAAGGCATGTTCACTTTTTGATAAATGTTGTGTAGTAACGGATACTGATCACGTATAAAAAAAAACAGGGTCATTCTCAAGAACGGCGGTGAATTTTAGCGCTGGCTGCGAGACAGTGGTTTCAAACATTGTAATGGCGATTACAGTGATGATTTCGCTACAAGTCTTGACGAGGTTTCTCTACTTCACACCAACAGCTATTCTCGCCTCCATAATCCTCTCGGCGCTTCCAGGTCTCATTGATATCTCCGGCGCTATACATATATGGAAACTCGATAAACTCGATTTTCTCGTCCTTGCTGCTGCCTTCTTTGGTGTCCTCTTTGCCTCAGTCGAGATCGGTCTTCTTCTTGCCGTGAGTCTTTCTTTCTTCTCTCCTTCTCTCCTTCACTGCTTTATTTTTTTTTATTAGCTTTCTTGAAATCTTATCCCGGCAAAAAATAAAATAAAAGAATGATTGATGGGTTATCGTTACTTTGTTATTAGCAAGAATGATTGATGGTGGTGGCCCTAAAGGGGTCGAGTCAACTAAACTCTATATCCAATCATATCATGTGAATTAATTCTATAGGACTTAAAAGCGTCAATGTTTCATATATAACCAAATAAATTTGTTTTTATATATAAAGCTACTAGGCCGACCACATTCGCTGTTCATATATATAGACCCTTGAAAGACAAAAACATGGCAATAATGTATAATGTTTCGGTCAAGTGGCAATATTGTAGTCGGGTTGTTGATGAACAAGACAAACTACTCAGTTGTGATCTTACTAATTAATAGATCTATACGTTTAGGCCTAGTAAACTGTGCAGTATGATTTGATTATTTGTATATATGTGTAGGTGGGGATATCGTTTGCGAGAATAATGTTAAGTTCGATAAGACCAAACATTGAGGCTTTAGGGAGGTTGTCAAAAACAGATATATTCGGTGACATAAACCAGTATCCAATGGCTATTAAGACTCCGGGATTATTGACTCTTCGAATCAGTTCTCCTTTGCTATGTTTTGCCAATGCCAATTTTATTAGAGACAGGTTCATCTCTATTTCGTTAATTATATTCTTCATTGATATACTTTTATGAAACTTTAGACTTTGAGGTTTTTTTGTTTTCTTGGGGCTTTCAGAATATTGAATTCAGTTTCAGAAGTAGAAGAAGAGGATAATGAACAAGAAGTTAAAAACGATAAAGTACTTCAAGTACTAATCCTCGACATGTCTTGTAAGCATCGACATTCTATGATATTAACTTAAAGATATTTTTCTAGTAAAGTTACTGAATTTTACATTTAAAAATGTAAAGGCGTGATGGGCATAGATACATCAGGGGTAGTTGCACTTGAAGAACTACATCAAGAACTGGCTTCTAATGACATCCGGGTACATTAATTTTCAATGTTTTCCGCTCAATCAAATGTTATTCATTCACTAGTTAACTACACAATTGGTTATTCAACTTACAAATTACTCTTTTATGCTTGGGGGTTCAGTTAGTGATCGCTAGTCCGAGATGGAGGATACTTCACAAATTGAAGCGAGCAAAATTGGAGGATAAAGTGAAACAAGAAAATATATTTATGACAGTAGGAGAAGCCGTAGATGTATACGTGAGAGCAAGATCTCCGTCGCACGATTTGTGTTGATATATGTGAGCTTCAAATTCAAGAATATACAACCAAAACATATAAACTAGTGGTTTGTGGTAATATCGTTGTTGTGATAATAGCCTAATTAATAGTAGTTTTCTTTATAAATTCTACACGTACGCGCATGACTAAATATTATACATCACATTGCATAACAATTTTCAGGATTTTATTTGACTTCGTTATCATGGCTGTGTTAAGACAATGAAATCAACATCTTTTATGGCCATATCATATATGTTACGTACATCTTTTCTTCTGTAAAAGAATGACACCTCAACGATTGCTTATATGATATACAAATCCGTCCGTAGAAGATTACTTTCTTTAGGTTATTGAGCTGAAAACATCCCAAGTGAAACAAAACATGCAAATGAAAATAATTAACGTGATGAGTTATTCCTTAATAATTAATAATCACATGCATCTTCCACTTTCAACATCATCACAAACAACTCACAAAGTCACAATATATGCACAAATACCATTGGGACAATGTTTAAGTCATAAATTTATAGCCGTTGAAAAATAATAAAATATTTAACCATTAATTAGATATCCTCGAAGCCTCTCCATATGAATGTCATATACCGGCGCCGGTACTGGTTAAATCTAATGTTGATAATCATCATTGATTTTTTAAACCGGTTTTTAATTTTCATATACCGGAAAATCACATGAGAACAGTTAATACATAACTCGATCGATCTCTCGTATAACTCTTTTATTGAATTTTCCGTGGCAAAAAATATATACATACGATACGATCATTCTTAAATCGTTCAAAGAACAAAACCCTTAAATCCCTATCTCCCATACATTTCTAACCAAATATCTCTTTCATATACCTAACCTCTCCTTCTTTCATGGTTCTCTTTTCTCTCGTCCATACATTTCTCATACATATACGCACTTTTGGTCTACAATGATCAGATTCTCGCATTCACAAACCAAAATAAAAAGAAGAAGGAGAAGAATCTTTGAATGAGTTAATGCTGTTGTTGATCGGATCAGAGAGACATGGGCCGAGTGAAATTGGAGATAAAGAGAATAGAGAACACAACGAATCGACAAGTTACGTTCTCGAAAAGACGAAATGGTTTGATAAAGAAAGCTTATGAATTGTCCATTCTTTGTGACATCGACATTGCCCTCCTCATGTTCTCTCCCTCCGACCGCCTTAGCCTCTTTTCCGGCAAAACAAGGTTTTATTTTCTTTTTCTGTCCTTTTTACATTTCCTTTCCAAACACCGTAAACATTCATTTTATCTTAATTATATTTATGTGTTAACACTCTGATCAGGATCGAAGACGTTTTCTCAAGATACATCAATCTTTCTGACCAAGAACGAGAAAGGTTAGCTGAACAACCATCTCCTTTGAGAGATCAAACTTTTAACTATACTAACATTACTCTTTCCATGTTATTTCAGTGCTCTAGTATTCCCCGATCAGAGCCGACGCCCGTACGTATCTTCCTCTTATTCTTATAAATAATTTAACATTTATATATGCTAATATTTAAAACCTAATTGGGGTTTTCATATCTTGACTTCTTTGTCTTGCAGAGATTTCCAGAGCAAAGAGGTACGTAATTAGACTAAGCCTGATATATATATGGCGAAAAGAATAAGTGTAAATATGTTGAATTCAATGAAACTATTGATATTTTAGATTATTGATATCGACAATTTTCATTGTCACGTGACAGTATCTACTCCGGACTTTGCAGCAACTCAAGAATGAGAATGACATTGCTCTCCAACTCACCAAGTCTTAATTTCTTTCTTTTGTCTTTTATTATTATGAGAATACATACATACATAATTTTCAATAATTCGGAGAAGTTGAATTTCTTTATTTTTTTCTTTTTCAAAAGCCCTGCAGCTATCAACTCCGACGTTGAGGTGGTTCTTCTAATCTTTTTCTATTTTTTCCTCTATAGCTTTGGACGATATTTATTTTCTAATGATTGTAACTTTTTTTTTCACTCTAACAAAGGAACTTGAGCATGAAGTCTATAAGTTACAACAACAGCTTCATATGGCAGAGGAAGAACTAAGGTCTTCTTTTATTTAAACCTAAGAAATGTGATACAATATGTGAAAATGTTTTTTTAAGAAGTATAGTGACTAATTATTATACGCAAATACAATTAGGAAATACGAACCAGATCCAATCAGGTTTACAACAATGGAAGACTACGAAACTTGCGAGAAGCAGCTCACAGACACCTTAACACGTGTCGGTCAACGACGGGTCAATAACTTTGAAAACTCACTCTTGATTTTTTATTTTTTTTTCTCACCATAATTAATGATAATTAAACAAATATTACGAGTAGCTAAAATAAAATAATGTCTTGAGACGCACGCAGGAACATATATTGAACGACCTATCTTCGTCGTACGAAGCATCTGCTATACAACAACAGCAAAACATGGGTGGACCTTTCGTAAACGACGTCGTTGGAGGCTGGCTGACTGAAAATGGGCCAAATCAAGCCCATTTATTCGACGCATCAGCACATTCAGCAATGTATGAAACGTTGTTGCAAGGAAGCAGCTCAAGCTCCAACCAAAACAACATTATGGGTGAATCCAACGTCTCGAACCACAACGGTGACAACATGTTTCAAGAATGGGCTCAGGCCTACAATTCTACTACGGCTCATAATCCCCCGAACCTATTTCCTCCTATGCAGCAGCAGCAGCAGCATCAGGTTCTACATTTTTATCCTTTTCTTAAAAAAATTAAACTTATTTTACCATCTAATTAGATTTTTGAATATGTCAGCATGGCCTGGTTGGTTCCAATGTGGAAGAGATTGAAATCCCGGTAATGAAGAAAGAGGCACAAGCAGACCACGAAGTCTCCGACTATGATATTAGAATGCCTCAGCTCAGTAGCCAATAATAATCTGATTTTAGTTTCTTACATATTTGTATACGGTCTTATTATTTATCATATGATTTTAATCATATACATTTACATAAACACGACTTCCACCTAGTTTAATCCTTTGCTCGAGTTGTATATCGTATTCGTACATAACATTTTTATAGAAGAATAAGATGCATGTAAATATTAATGTATTATGTATGTATTAATAACTACTTTCTGATAAAAAAAAAACAAATATTATAAAACATGAAACTCAATTGCAGTACTTCATAAGGCTAGCTAGATGCATCAATCTATTTTATTTATTAAAAAACAATATATTCTATAAATAATTCATTGTGGACGAGTCAATTGTTTTTTGTAAGATATAATTATATATAGACTAATTATATAACCATACGCGAAGGAAAACTAATTAAAACCATATATACCAAAATGAGGAGTGAATAATCATATACAATGTAAATATGTAACATTTCATCTTATAGGTCCATGAGGTTAGACCAATATATACCAAACTGAGGAGTGAATAATCATATACAATGTAAATATGTAACATTTCATCTTATTCAAGATATTAGTCTTAATCAGTGCACCTTCGAAATGTATATTTGTCAATGACTAAAAAAGTTAGATTTTGGTTTTGAAAAAGGTAATAAAATAACATAAATTTGAAAATGTTATTTTAGAACAATGAGACAACGTATATATTTTTGCATCTAGAAGAGATATTGGGAAAAAAAAGTGGCTGTATTTCCAAATTTGAATATATATATATATATATATATATATATATATATAAATAAAATAGGAACATATGGCAAAACCACATAACATTGAGGGAAATAAATATTACAAAAGATAAGAGAAAGCCAAAAGGCAGATAGAAACCTGTGACACTTGTAACTTGCTGATTGATGCTTTGACTTGTTTTTGGAGAAACCCAATCATACGATGGTACCAATCATTGTGCTCTATATTTCTTTCCTCATGTTTATCATTGACTCTCATTATTTTTATAGAAAATTTCAGAGTACAGCCTAATATTAGTTGTCAAAAAAATATTGTTTTCTTTCTTTGTAAGTCTAAAAGTAGTTTTTAATTTCTCCAATTTTGGACTGTATTTATGTCTAAATACAGTGATCATATTTTATGTTTTACATATTTGTTTGATGGTCCTCACTATTTCACATTTTTATTATCTTGGAGGTGCAATGTAGTCTTAGAAAATTAAAATTTCATATTATTATATATGAAAATTAATATATAAAATTACAAATATATGAATTTTATTGTCAATAGATATATAAATTAGCATAGCCCTAAAATAATATGTAAAAGCCTGTGCATTTCTGAAAATATTTAGATATTTAATATATACTATATATGTTGTGATTTATGTATAATGTATATATAAAAAATTACAATAAGGTTAAAATTGTAATATATTGTAACTTGTGGGCTATTTTCAATTCTTTTTATATAGATAATTTGTTTTACTTTTGTAGTATGCCATATCAGCATTTTGTGTTTAGGTTTGTGTCTCACCTTTCATATATAAACGATACTGATCTTTAAAATAAGGATAACCTTTCAGACAAGCGCCTGCAAACATGTCTTTCGTTGATGATTTGTTTGACGAAGTATTGTTGAGTCCCATATGTGATATTGGATCACCAGATCCACGTATTCCGGAACCCTATATACCATTACTGGTATGCTTCTCTCATTTTCTCTCACGATTGAATTTTCTCGGAAAATGTTTGACTGTAATTTATTAATGATGTAAAATATACAGGATGGTTTGGAGGACGAATCTATTGGAATGATCCCTGCCTTAATGAACGAAACCAACTCGGTAATGTCCATTTTTGAATCAAATCTAATGGCAGCTTATGAAGGGATGTCACCACTGCTACAAAATCCACTTGAAATGGTATATTACTTACACTCTGACATAGACCACATGAGATCTAAACCAACTACTGATAGTATACTGATAACTGTAATTTCTTGTATTTCCACCTTCAGCAAGTAGGTAAACAACATTTAGGGAACTCCTTTGGGTTGTGGTTACAAGATAACGAGTTCCTAAGCCAGTCCCTCTTAAAGTTTTATCAGGAGCCGAGTGTTCTTACAAGGGTACAAAATGGTTTTTGGAGTTTTTTAAAAATTTCCTAACTAATATTTAACAAATCTTTTTTTGTTTTTTAAGAACCAAATGGAGATTGGTCAACTGGGCCAAGCAAATAATGGATTTGCACATCCAACTATGCCCAGTCCTCGAATCCATCATCGTCAAGAACTACTTCCTCCAGCACCTTTGTATGAAATTAATTAATTTACAAAAAAAAAAAAAAGGAACACTAGTTTCTTACGTAAACTCATACTAATATGATAAAAATGATTATTGATGGCAGGATACATGGAGACCGGTATGCTGCATTTGGATCACTTGATCAGACTCGTTCAATCGGGTACATTATTTTAAAATCTAATTCCATGTTTATAGATTAGCTAAATATACGTATCACTCTCTGTACATATGGATAGTTTAGAGAACCCCTGCCTGGCTAAACAATAGCACTATAATTCTTATGATGTTAATCAAACTATGTACGTATATATACAGTCCCTAACAATCTCATTCCTAACTGATACTATTCATCAAATGCAACATTTTGTAAACTTTAACATTGATCTATACAGAGTTCTCATATAAGGAATATATCACTTTCATAAAATATAGGTCACAAAACTATCCCCGGACTTATCAGACCTTTGGACCAGTCGCTTCTTCTGTTAACATGTATCAGCAACCTCCCCCATTCATTTTCACCGGTAGACAAAATGGATCTCACAACATAAGGATGATTAACAATCCAACTATGTAAGATCAAATACTTTTCTTTTTATATGTGACTCCACTTGTATTTTACATTATTCAAATTTATTTATGATACATAATATTTATGCAGGCCGACGCCTCGACCAGTCATGACTTCTTCTGCTAACATGTATGGTCAGCAACCTTCCCCATTCATTTTCACCGGTGGACAGAACGCACCTCACAACATAAGGATGGTTAACAATCCAACTATGTAAGGATCAAATATTTTTGCTATATGACTCCACTTGTGTTTCATTTTCTCATATTTATATTTATGATAAAAAAAAAACTAAAAAATCTATTGATTCATGCAGGAGGCCATTTCGTATGCCAAACCAAGCCAATATGATCCCTATCTTCAATGCTGCTCCCCAACATAACATTCCACCCATACCCAGACCTCAAATGTCTATGAGTTTTGCAAGGTAACAAGTCATAAGCTCGTTGACTAAGCACAAGAGATAGACGTACTTAAGTGTGTTCGTGTTCTTACATATTTTGATGATTGCTCTAACACTCTAATTCTATCTCTATTTATACCTTGTTTTTTATATATATATAGGCACAGTAATGCAAACATGCAGAGATCAGTAAGTACTCGGGTTTCATCGAGGATTACCTTCACTGATTACCTCAACACTCCGGTGCAGATACGTCCACATCCAAACTCAGTCGTACCTCCACAGGTACATTTTATGTTATGCAATGGCAAATGTATCACTTGTAAATCAAGTTTTCAATAATTGTTTTCTGATTAGAAGGAGAACAATGTTACAGGATGGAGCTGTGGGAATGTTACAGGAAGGATTTGTGGGATCTAAGCGACGTATCTACCAAAGTCGGTTTGAAGTCGGAGAATCTTCGTCTTCGGCTCGGAAGCGTCAGGTACACATCTTCCAAAATATCATAAATTGATTCTCTTAGCAAAGAAAATGAAAATTAATATGAGTTTGGTTAAACATTGCAGAAACGTGTATCCAGAGGAGGCCAAAATGTTACTCCAGCTGCAGTCAACCTTGTTGAACAGAGGTTATAAATCTTCTCCCATTGACTTATTCACACATTTTCTCAAATATTTTCATATTTACACATCTGTAGTTTTATAATACGTGAGTCTCCCAATCTGATACAATTTATTAATTAATATGTAAGGAACATAATAAAATTCAATTTTCAGGCAAACAAATAACCTATACAGTCCATTGTATGAAAGCCTCGGTTTACCTGTTGATCCTTACCTGAGGAACTACTCTTTTATAAGGACAGACTAAAAGGTAATTCATTCGTTTAACTTTTTCTTATTGAATATATAAGTTTATGAATTTGAGTTGAGTTTGTTCATGATTTGTTTCTTTTTAAACTGTACGTAGGTTGCTGATCGATCTTCAAAGTTTCGAACAAGTGAAGTGATGATATGGTGGATGCTCTATCTCTTTTGTGTTCCCTTTTGTTGTTCTCAGTATGGTACCTAGTTCCCTCAAACCTTGGACAAGTGAGAGGTTATACAATGGTGCATGCTCTATCTGGTTCTGTTTTTCCTTTTGTTTCTCAGTATGGTACCTAGTTCCCTCAAACCTTGGAGAGGTGAGAGGTTAGACAATGGTGAATGCTCTATCTGGTTTTGTTTTCTTTCTCTTATGGTACATTGTACACCCTCCTGTGGCAGAGGTTGTATGTACACCTTGTTATCTTGTTCTACCTTATCTCTTTAAACAATTTTCTTTATAAGATTTTTCCTCCATTGCTTTCTTATATGATGTCATAGCCACATATTACTACCGCTAGGTGATGTTTTATCAAAACTAAACATACATACTCTCACCCCAATGCCATAGCATACTCTCCCAAAAACAGAACTCTTCTAAGAAAGTCTTAAGTCTAGTTCTCTGCCTTGTAAGTTGTGCCTTCTGTTTCGATCTTAGGAGACAGAACTTGTGAGAATCCTAGTTACAATCATAGTCTCTGAAGCATAAACAGGGTAGAGGATAGGAGGATGGTCTTCATTTTCCCAATCTCAGGTTCATCTCCTTCCCAGAATTGAAATGCTTCAAGAAATTAATGTGGTTAGGAGTCCGATGCCACCATGTGAATATGTAGTTAAGGGAGCCTTGGTCTCCTATGTTTGTACGTAGGATGTGTGCAGCTTCATTAATTAATGTGATTCATTAGTAGTAACTGGGATGTGGAATTAGATGGCTCATCCACCATTAGTCCAGAGTTCAAGAGTGTAGCATTGTTTCCTAGTTGCTGATATCTCAAGGGATTTCAATGTTTTATAAGGATAAGCATATGTCTGCATCAATGAAGATGATCTTGCTGTAGTTCCATTTGGATTCCTGATTCTTATAAAACATGTGAATCTTCCATCCAACAGCTTCCAAATCATCAACCAGTATGACCAGGTCGTGAGTATGGCCTGACATTCGAATGCTCGGCACAGCTGAAATGGCTCCACAGAAAAAAAAAAATTGAGCAGAGTTGACAAGATAGTAACATAAGCTTCTTTTCTTTACACTTGCGGAGTAGAAGTTATCTGCAATCTAAATGATCCTAATCAGCCTAAGAGGGCAAACAGAAGACAAGAAAAAATTGTTAGAGATATTTCGTTAGAAGAGGAACGAACTGAAAGAAGCTGTAACATTTGTCTTAGCTGGTCAAGGTTAGGCTTATTACAGCCATACAGTTGACGTGCAACAAGTTCTTGACCTCAGTAAACAGATTCGGAATTGTAAAGCAAACAGACGCCAAATTCGCATGGACATGATGATGAAGCACTTTAGAAGAAACCAAAATCACATGAACATGATGCACGTTTTAAGTGCATTAATCGAGTAACATTTCTCAACCATGTTCCCTATTTTTTCACACGGAAGCTTGGTAATGACAAGATCGATGCTAATCATTAGCAGCTAATGATATAGTGTATATTGTTCATCAAACTCTATTAAGGATATTCTATCCGTAGGTGTATATTCTGATAGAATATCCTCAATAAACTCGAGAAGCTAATGAAGAAGAAGAAGAAGAAGGAGGAGACTCGATATCTTGACTTCATGGCACTTGAGGTGGAAGGTATCATTGTCTCCGTAAGCTCAGTCTCGGTTTCGAGAGTTTCGCATATACGCCTCGTGAAGCAGAGAAGACTGAAGTTTTAAATTTTAGGAATTTTGGGCGAAGGCCTCCTCTCACAAAACGGTGCGCATTAATAAGTGACTGAGCCGTTGTTTTGCGAAATGACCCTTTACCTTTAAGGTATTTTTTATTTTAGCCCCTAGTCTAATTTTGGTTTGGAATAGCCCCTTTTTCTTTTTTACTTCCAATTTCATTTCCAAGCAAACACCTTACAAGCCAATCAAGCCCATTGATACACAGGCCCAAAAATAATACATAATCAAAACGGTCCAAAAAGACAGGCAAACTTCACTTTACAAGGCTACCAACAGCCAAACAAAAGCAAGCAAGCCCGATAGAAAGATAAAAAAGAAACAGAAAATCGAATAATTACAACCACACATGAGACAAAATCTAAAGTACATTAACAACGAGAACCTTACCTTGCTTAGAGACACGACCTGATAGATGCAGGCAAACCAAACTTGATCAGCTGAACAACGAGAACCTTTTTCTTTTCTAAACGCGAACCATCAAAACTGGAACGCCGGTAATACAATGAGATAGCATACTACTAACGGTTGTAGAAAATTTATAACTGTTTAAACAAAATATAATAAACATCCGACTAAAAAAATATGTAGTAAACAAAAAAACGTATTGATTATATTACAATACTCTTATTAAACTTTAACCAACATTTCATAATTATTTAACATTACAAGAATAAAACCTTAATTCAAATGGATAAAAAAACTGTAGAAGTTTAGGATTGGATCCATTCGTGAAGTATTCGCATTTTCACCGAGACTCACCTAATATCATCATTTTGGATTTTTGTTCGAACTTGAAGTACTTCTTTGCAATAATAGCATCTCATAGCTGACAAAAAAAAAATCAAAATCAAAAATCAAAAATCCCAATAATATATCTATTCAAAATAAATAAATAAACAAATTGGTTTGAACTAGAAAGGACCTTAGCGGATTGGAATGATGGACTGAATTGGCTATCATATGTGTTTGTTTGGGCTCAGTCACAGAGGCCCATTCCTCCGCGACGTCGTTAAGAAGGATTCCTTCCATGCTATGTTGGGTACTTGGTGCTTTGGAGGACTTGTTCAACAAATGTTCCTGCAATAATCAAATTACTAAACTACTACTCCTCCTCTTTCACAAATGTAGTTTTAATAATAACAGAGCAACTGTTTTAAGTGTAGTGATGTTCACCCTTCTCTGAACAACACGTGTTAGGGTATCGATGAGATGAGTTTCACATGCTTCAGTCTCCTCCATTGATGTAAACCTCACTGGATCTGGTTCGAATTTCCTACATATATTGTAATATTATGTGACATGAGTCATAACTCTTTGTTTACCAAACAAATAATAAAAACGTCTAATACCTAAGTTCTTCCTCTGAGATCTGAAGCTGTTTTTGTAATCTACAAACTTCTTGCTCAAGTTGCTGTAAATTTTACAAATATAATTAATTAAATAAACTTAATTACTATGAAAATTATATTTTCGTAAACAAAGAAACGGGAAATTAATAATGACCTCGACATCGGTGTGGACAGGGCTATTCCAGAGTCATGAAATCAAAGGTCAGCGACTCATCGTACATATATGAATAATTGAAAACATACAAATACATCAAGATAAGAAAAGTTCTTATAAGGACGAAGAGAAACAAACCGAGGTTCGTTGATTTGGAGGGCCATGTCGTCTTCAGTTTTGAGTTGCTCAAGAGTTCTTAACAGATACTGTCACATCAAAGAAAATGCTTATCAAGACGTTAATAAAATACTTTGCACAGAGGACCCAAATAAACTTAGTACTTTTTTTATTGATCGATCAGTCTCACCTCTTTGTTTTGGAATCCTCTGCAAAACAGGGAAGAAGGTTTTAGTTACGAAATATATATAAATATTAAGTATATTAAATTGAAATGTGTGACGATGACACTCACAGCTGGCGTTTGCTTCGGTCGGGGAAAACTATGGCACTGAAAATGTTTTAAGAAAAATAAATAAATCCAAAAGACGTGAAAAAATAGATATATTCCTAAGTAGATTAATGCGATGAATGAATATGCAACCATACTTCTCTCTTTCTTGATCAGGAAGATTGATGTACCTCGCGAAAACGTCCTCGATCCTGAATTTAACTCAAAATGAAGATAATGGAGATCGATACAAACATCATCTCTATGTGTGAATTCACATCTATGCAGTGCCGTAACAACAAGTAGAATTGGTTTGTGCTTCCGATTCTTATTTTTTACCTTTAAGGAGGAAATTGTTTTCAAAAATTTAATTTTTGAATGGAAAAGAAACAAAAGCCATGACAAGTTTTATTTGAACTCACACCGAGTCGTTGCATGCATTGGTGTCATGATAACATGACGTAATTTGTATATACATATAGCGTACCACCACCTATAGTACAAGTCTACAAGACTTTCTTTTGTATTATAGTCATGTGGGTATACAAAATTTATAATATTATTGAAAATTAGTCAAACTTATCATAAAATCTTGGTCAAAATCTTTATTTATTTATAGAATCAAGTACTAAATCGAGATATATAAGGTGAACCAATTGGAGAAAAATATAAAAAGTTTAGGGTTTCTAACTTAATGACAACTTATGAAAGACTTTCTGAACTGTCACAAAATTAGTTTATTAACAAAAAAAAAGCCGACACTTTTGTCATTCAGTAAATTACACTTAAACTCCGCTAGTTACGAAATTGCATGAAACTTTTGCTAGTATTATAGAAGCACACAGGAACTGAATATATTTACGAACAAGCCCGAAGTACTACTATTTTTAGTAAACTGTTGTGGAACTTCTAGTAACTAAAGCTTCAGTAATATGTAAAACGTGTCGACGCTCGGTTGCAGTAGAAATACTATGAATTAACAAATCAAACAGTAGAAATAAATCAAGAACTCAAAATTATTAGATGATCCATTATTCGGTGGCTTTCCACCACCCAAAAAGAAAAATTATATGGCTTGTCCGTTTGGTCCTATATCAAATGATATTGGCAGTAACATACATAACAATAGTTAAGCTGAGGAACCGTAACAAGAAGATTCGAGAGAGGTATGGAATAACGTTCTAGAATAAGAGATGGGATCGAATATATATACCTTGTTTGACCGGAAAAGAGACAAAGGCGATCGGAGGGGGAGAACATGAGGAGAGCAAGATCGATATCACAAAGTGTTGACAATTCATAAGCCTTCTTTATTAAACCTTTTTTACGTTTTGAGTACGTAATTTGTCGGTTCGTGGTCTTCTCTATCCGCTTTAGCTCCAGTTTAACCCGACCCATATCCAATGATCACTGCAAAATAATCAAAACGAGATCCTATCATATAAGTTGGTACGTACGAGATAATTTTGATTGAGTGGAAAATTGTATAGAATACGTAAGTAAGCCGACGAAAGGAGAGAAACTTAATTAATGTATGTGTGTATATGTAAGAGAGAGAGAGAAAGAGAGTTACAAATATATAGTGTTCTTAAGTTAGACGAATCTGTCATATATGGCTACGTATATCACTTGCATTTTTTAAGAAAGTAAATTATATTTTAATCTTATTATAAAACCAAGTGGTAGTCGAAAATTTAACCCCAGAGCCCATATTTTATTCAACTTTCATATTTTACATCATAATTTTCTTGGTATTTGCTCAAAGGCTCATATATACGTGGGTGGGTTAGAGGTATTTGAGAATAATAATGCGTGTAGTATATACTATATACATCCAAGATAATTAATGTTTTATTATTTTTATGCAAAATTGTATATATTTTTCCAGTCCTAGTCTGCCACTAATGATATACCTCGTTCTAGGTAGTGCGATCACATTTGTACATGCGCTGTGAACCAGGTGCGAAATAAAAGACTCAACTCTAGTATGTTATTCTCTTTTTATCAGTAAACATTTATGTGAATATGAGTTAGAATCATGGGTATCGTAGCATTGGCAACAAAAATATCACAAACTCCTAAACTACATGGTGTATTAGTAAGGGGAATATAATTGATAAGTGAAGCTAAAGCTTAGAACGAAGGTGCCTCTCGATGAAGGATCTTCAAAAGCAAGGCAAAGGCAAGGGTCATCGTATGGAATATTCTTGGATGTTACTATGCATTTTTTAGTAATATTGTACTTTGTACATGACGACCACCTGGTCTCAGTTTATGACACGTGAAGATTTGTTTGTTTGTGTCGTCTCGGTTGTTGTTGTTACGCGCCGACAGGGAAAGGATATGGAGTGGAGATGGTGGTAGTGAGAGAGATCTTCAATGCGAAGTTAGCTCTGTGTGTATTGTTTTTACATTTTGACCGACCGATTTACATATCCCGTTTTAGAGTATAATAACCTTCCAATACTAAATCCTCTTATTCTTTTCCGATCTAAAACTTATAAAAAATGATACGAGTACATAATAGAACTTCTGGTTACTTGTTTAAAAAACAATTTTAGTATGCGATTTTTACAACACTGTCCATAAAAAAATAACACTTAGAATTGGCAAGTCTTTAGGTGATAAATTTTGGTGGACAAGTTCTAGTGGATAAAGTTTAATAGAGCAAAACAAATTATAGACAAATTTTGATAGAAAATAGTAAGTAAAATTGGTAGATTACGTATATTATAACCACAAGGTAAATTCTGAATATAAGACCATGTTTGATCAAAACCTAGGAAAAAAAGAAGAAACTAAAATGACTTAGAAAACCTTATAACCTATTCATGTTGGATCAGTTAATTGTGTGAGTGTGTGTAAGAAAATGTGAAAACTGTGGTTACTGGTTAGGCTTCAAAGTTGAAACCGATGGGCTCTTGGGAGGAAAGCCTCATTCTATTGTGATATTTTTATTACGGAAAATGGCAAAAGTACCGAGAAACCATGTCATTTTTAGCAGTATACTCTGAACTGAGAGATTAGTCAGTTCGTCCCATTTTATTATATAGAATTCAAAACTCATACGTTGAATCCGATAGAAAGAAGAGGAAATCATATTGTGCTACTGGCAAACAAAAATTGTTGAAACTTGAAACATGAACAAATCCTATGTATGCCAGAAAAAAAACAAACAAATGTAACGTTTAGAAGTATCTTATAAAAAAAAAAAGGAAGTATGCAAAATACGTTTCACGTCGACAACATGTTGACCAAAACAATGTACAAGTGGTTTTCATGCTAATTCAGCCGCTTTGTATTAAATTAGGCATAAAGTTCACTTAAACAAATAAATCGAGTAATAATTTTTTTTACTGTACAAATTACAAAAGTATAGAAAACATCAAGGGCATAAGTGAAATTTCAAACAGATTGAGAAAGAGCAAAACCCTAGAAGAGAACATTGACACAGAATATAAAAGGTTAAGAAGCGGCGGTCTTTCGTTTTTGGTCAGTGTGCTCCTCTTCCTCCTCTCGGCTTCTCCTCCTCCGCACAGGTCCAAAACATTTCGATTCATCGCCGGCAACAATGGTGACTGCCAAGAAAACGGTCAGTCGCAATATCTCTCATCAAAGTTTTATCCTTTCTCCTCATCTAGATATCGTTTTCGATCTCATCCAACAATGACTAAATTGCTCTCTGGGTTTATGCTTTATTGCAGAAGAAGTCTCATGAAGGTATTAACAGTAGGTTGGCCCTTGTGATGAAGAGTGGTAAATACACTCTTGGTTACAAGTCTGTTCTCAAATCCCTCCGTGGCTCCAAAGGTAATTTCGTCGAACACTTGGTGTGCATACCTTAAATGTTTACATCTTTGTTTTAGATGTTTGTTGTTTATTCTGGTTTTCTTTATGTCTTCACAGGGAAACTGATTCTCATCTCCACCAATTGCCCACCGTTGAGAAGATCAGAGATTGAGTACTACGCAATGCTCGCCAAAGTTGGTGTCCACCACTACAATGGAAGTAAGTTTCTTTCTTCTTCGGACCAATCATCTTTAGCTCTTGTTGAGAATTAGAGATACCTTGATCCCATTAGGTTTGGTAACTGAGAATGTATAATCCTAAGTAGATAACAAGTGTACAAATCTGCTTCTATGGACCATTAAGGTGATGATGATATAATGAAACTATAACGCTTGTTGAGTTAATCTTTTGGCATGATCACAGTCTCCTTGAATTTGCTATTGATGTCTCTGTATGTATTTGATTACAAAATTACACAAGTTAGATGCTTACATAATACCAAATTGATTGTAATGCTGGTCACAAACGTCTTAATCCAGAATCATGCTCTTTGACTGATGATTTCATCTCATCAAAGGAAGTAGATGATTTTTTTATGATAATAAGCATAGTTAGTCAATGTTTCAAGGAACGCTAATTACGTGGCTTGACTGTGTTTCTCTTGTCTCCATCTTAATGTGTGTTTTCAGACAATGTTGATTTGGGTACAGCCTGCGGAAAGTACTTTCGTGTTTCTTGCCTGAGCATCGTTGATCCTGGTAATTGAACTACTAACTGATTGTTTACGTATTTACTGGTTCTTCATCGATCTTTCTACTAATGATTTTCGTCTTCCGACTGGTTTCAGGTGATTCTGACATTATCAAGTCAATTCCTGGTGATCAGTGATACACTTTTTGGTTTTGTTTCTCCCAGACTCTTATCCATTTTTGTATTTGACCCTCTCAAATTTTATGAGCTATAGACTTTTGTGTTCTTTTTTCGTTAAATTTTCTTATATTAAGGAACGGATACGAAAATTCTCTATATCCTGCAAACATCACAAAAGTTTTCGCTTTTTCTCATCATGAGTAAACAAATTATTCATTATTCGATTACATGGATTAGAAAATATCATTACAGAAAATAATCACCTTGTGGTTATAGAACCATTGTCTCTAGCTTTTTTTGAAACTAATATACGAAATGGTTGTAGTCATATCTCCTATTGTATCGATCAATTGAGTGAAACTTCTATTTCTGGCTCATCAACATACGTAACGCGGGTCAGTAACGCTGTCACGTCATGTGTGTCATGGATTTTATGGTATTGATTAGCAAGGATACATGATCATCTAGTAAAAGTGGCATGTATCAAAATTTGGATAAACACGTATATGACCGAAATGGAGAAAATTAAAAATCAGCGTATTTTGTCCCGTTGTTGTTGTCAAAGCTGTATAGTTTTCATTTGTTGAAGCATCTTAGACCAACATCTTATATATGTTGCCCTTACAATTCTTATTTTGTTTATTTTATCCACAAAATCAGAGGAACTACTTGTCTATTTCTTTCCACTTTTTTGGGTCAATACTTAATACGTATATTTCTTTCTTAGTATACATATGTTTAGTTTCTCATTAGAGAAAATTCCAAAACGTTAAGTATAAAAATGAATAAAACTAACTTCTATTTAACCCCCAACTCTCACCAAACTCTCACCAAAGATATAGAGATAAAGAGAGAGAGAGAGAGGCAGAGAGCCTTTAGAAAGTACTCCTCTTTAGTCTTTACGAACACGCTGTCTTATTCTTCTCTTCTCTTGGTCTTCTGGTCTTAATCTTCACATCGTTTGTTTCTCTTTTGTAAGGTTAAGCAATGGATCAATTTCCAACAGTGACGTCGTCTTGCTTCGACGCTTCCTCTGACAAGACAGATAATGTCCGGTTTCCCTGTGAGAGAAAGGCGGTGGCGCGTGAGATACAGCCGCCTCCAATATTGCCGTCGAACTTTACGTCGGTGCTGAAGCGAGAGTACACGAGTGATGGTCGGCTTTTACTTAAGGAAGAGAAAGTGCGTTGTCACGAGTTTTTTCGAATTCACAGATCCAACGGTCGTCTCACTCTCCAGCTCGTCTCTCTTGAAGATGATGAGGATCGTGATTCAGATGAATGATCATCAGTATCATGTCGACAACGGAAGCAACGATCTTGTTTCTTTCTTGGAAGTCAATTTACGAAGTTTCAGCATTTTTGACCAGTGTAAATAATCATCAATTGTGTCTAAAATCTGACCAAGGGAATAATAGTTGTCTTAAAATTCTTTAAATATGCATTTTCTTAACACGTTAGTAGCTCATTCGTTCATGAGCTATTATTACATTAGCATGATCCAAGACATCAAAACGCCATTAACTTTAGCAACTAAGGTTTCTGCATACAAAATTTGCCATCTCGTCTCTCTCTTTCCCTTTTCTTGTAGCACTCTGTCAAAAACTTGTGAGTAGATAGAGGCATAGTATTTGCTCGACCAAGCTGATTGGGAACTGAATCATCTTTTTTTTAAACGTTTGCTGTATAATTATTTGTTTAAAGTCATCATTATGTTTACAAATAATCAATTACCTCAAATTATAACACATTGACATCCGCAAAACACTTTTTATATATGAGTAATATCTTGTCAACTCACTAATATCCAATAAATTAAAACACTTTTTCATTTATATATATTACATAGTACACTAGCAAAAATATTCAATAAAACCTCTAAATTTTAGTTGAAGAGTAGAGTTCGAATATCGACAGGTGGCAACTCAACGGAGCAAATAGGACATCGAGGAGTATGCAACAAGTAACGAGAGATACAAGTTGCATGGAAAATGTGATTGCATTTTGTTTTATAAACAATCTCGTCTTTTTTTGGATATCCTTTTTCACATATACGACACAATTCCAAACTTTGGTAACAATCAACAATCTCTAACGTTGGTGGATGAATTGGTACGAGTCTAGTTCTTGCATCTTCAACACTTAAAACAGAGTCTCTCGTTCTCAATATGTGCAAAATAGCAGGTGTGATGTCAATCTCAGGAACATAACTTTGACTAAACCCTCTAATTTGAAAATAAAAGACAAGGACAGGACACGCGGGAGGTACCACATCAAGATCCTTGAAAGAATAATTAGAGACAATATAGTCAAAGATCTGATTAGGTATGTTGGACTCATGTTCCATCATGAATTGCCAATCGACCAAATCTACAAATGCTTTGGATAATCCAGCTTTTGAACCTCTTCCTCGTCCTCGACCTGTGTATCGAGTCAATTGAAACCGTTCAATTGTGTGTTCACTTGGAGTACTTATTATTAGAACTCCGACATCAGACTCAGAAGGCACATCAAACTTGTAAAGCCTGAGATTACCGAGAAGAGATTTCAAAATTACTAGGCTCATTGTTATTTCTTGTTCGAGTTAAAGAGCGTAAATCTGAATTTTTTTGCGCCTTTATATAATACTAAGCAAGCGTATATTTAAGTTCTACAAATTTCCTAAACTTATTTAATCAGCCCAATAATTTATTCTACAAAAATTTGATTTTTTTTTTCTTTCTAATAGCGACACATGTCTTGAAAATAAATGTTATTCGATTTGTTCTGTTTATTACACATTATGACATCATCTATTGATTTTTTAATCATAAAAATTTTGAGATTCACATAACATGAATACAAGGATATAAATAATAATCTTGATTCATACAATTGTAGCATTTTCAATGAATACATATTATACCCTTTATATGTATAATACATATTATACCCTTTATATGTATAACAAGGTTTCCTTTTATACCCTGTTCTTATAATCTCCGAACTGAAATGAAATTCTCTCATAATTCAATAAAAGATTTGCCCGATTTGCTTTGTTTTGTTCTTGGTACTTGTCTTGTTTCCTAATCAAGAAATTTAATGGTGAACCGTGAAGAAGCGAAGATCTTGTGATCATCAAATATGATATCTACATGTATATTTTTACAACAAGAGAAAGAGAAAGTGCTTAATTACTTGAAGTAGATATCGAAAGCATCCAAAAAATGTTTGGGATCTTACTTGGCTGATTCTTCCTCTTCTTCTTCTCCTTCGGTATCAAGCTCGAGACCTTCTGCTGCTAATAGCTGAGTGATGAGCTTTTTCTTATCTTCCTCTGCTTTCTTTCGCATCATATCTCTTTTCTTCAACACCAAAGTGTGTCGCTTTAACGTGCTGTTAAATAAGTCTCTTGATGCTTTCTTCTCCTTCTCCAATATCCTCCTCTCTTCTTCCGGATCCACCTTAACAAGTTTACAGATTCAACACAGAGCAAAATGAAAATTACTTCTTTTTACTTGAACAAGCTCAGACAGACTTTTTATTTCTTACTTTAGAACGAGACAGACGACGAGCACGTAGGTTTATCTCAAGCTGTTGTTGCTCAGCCCAAGCTGCAACCGCCATGTCGCCTCTCTGATCAAATGCTTTACGCTTTTTTATCAACCAGTCCATCCAAGCTTGAGATGCCTACACAAACCCAACAACACCCTACCCTCAAAATTTCCAGAGAGAAAAAGAAAATTCCAAGTTTGCAATTCTTATATTTACATACCTTCATCGGATTCACTCGATTATCCATATCGTATTGTCTTTTCTTTTCCGAGTCCATGAGCAACTCGTATGCAGCCTGAATCTTGATGAATCTTGCTTCTGCTGTTTCTCCTTCTTCAAGAGTCCCTTTTCCATCATAAACTACAGAAGAAAGCCACAATTGCAATAGACAGAATAAAAAATAGAGCTACTACAACTTCGTGAAAACAAAATAACTCCTTATACAACAAAGTGTCTTGAATCTAACACGATAGAGTGACATGAATATAAGTAACTGTTGTGGCTACATGTACTGATAAACAGAAGCTTTGGCCTGCAAAAACTTCAGCCAGGTCTTACGTTACTAAAAGCCTATAACTTCACAAACACATAAGATCCCAACATCTGAATAGCAGTTCAATAAGGGATTGTAAAAACAATCACAAATAGCTCTAACTAAAGCTCCAGAAACGTACCATCGGGATGATAAAACTTGGCTAGTCGTCTGTATGCCACTTTAATCTGCTCTTCCTCTGCATCTCGATCCAACTCTGTATCCAAAACCAAACAACACAAAGAAGAGCTTGTCCAGTTCTTCTGACACTAACAGTAGCCAAAACAAAGAGAACCACTTACTGCCACAAGATTCCAGTATACAACAACTAAATTTCTTTGCCTACTAATGTAAAAGAACTGTGTAATTACAGAGCAATTCCTAAATGGGTACAAGAATCATAAGTTGTTTTTTACCGAGAGTATCGTAAGGAGACTGCTCTTCGCTCCAATTCGATGCCCTAACAAAAGTCTTCCTCGGATTCAATCGAAACCAAAAATTCGATTCTTTGGACCTAAACCAAGACGACGACGGAGACGAATTCGATACCCGAGTTCTAAAGCCGACGTTTCTATCAATCGAAACCCTAAAATTTGATCGGCTTTGGTGTCTACTACAGCACACGATCGAAGTAAACACCGTGTGTGGTCTACAAATAGCTCGAAGGTTGCTCATAACTTCAATTCCCAACCCAGAAACCGATTAATTTCGTATACCCAGCAATCAAAATTCATATAATTCGAATTCTCCCTCTCTCAGCATGAACAAAAATGAAAATTTCCAACCGAACGAATTTTCTCGGAAAACTACAAAAGAAAAATCAATTCCCGGGAATTTTTTTGTGGACGACTGAAGCGCAACGATGAGCAATTTACAGACATACCCTTAAAGTTTATGAAGTTTCACATTTGGTCCCTGAACATTACATAATAGTTTACATTTTAGCACATACTATCAAATTTGCTCAGTGGTATTATTATAACAAGCCTTATTTGGTTGTACATTATATCTAAAATATATAACAAAGTTTCCACCCAAATTTACATCTTCTCTGGAGAGATACTTCATAAAGCAAAAACCATAAAGTTCTAATCAAGAGAATCACTCTACTTAAACAAATATACTTTTTTAAAACATAATTCCAAAAGCTTTGTGACAAAGCAATGCTTCTTTTAAGTGGCTTCTCGTGGGCGAGCTGCCCAAAGAGAACTAAGAGCACGAAGCCTATGAAGATACTCTCCCAAAGCAAGCAAACCTCTAGCTGATTGTCTTGTCGTCAAGATCTTTGCCATTTGTTGCAAAGTTTGCTGCCTTAGATGATCCGCCTGTTTATCATTAATAGATTCTTCAAATCTTTGAATAGAAAGACATAAAAACTTTTCCTTACATTGTTTTAAGAATGTTTACTTACTTGATTCACAAATCCCTCTAATGCTTGAAGATTCTCTATTGCTGCAGCCATGTGAGCAGGGTAATCCGTGGACTCGATAACCGCGTCAATCACAATGCTTTCAGCTAAACTCTGTTGAAGTTTATCGATGCCTTGAGAGAGAGCATCCTCTGCTTGTTGTGATGATTGTTGGAGGTTTCTCACTTCCAAGATTTGTTGATCGGTTAGTGGCTGAAGATAAGGCATCACAACCTGTAAAACCAAAAAAAACATAGGAAACATTTTCAAAATGTAGATTAGTGTCTTTGAAAAATATTGTATCTGTGAAGTATATATAATGTCGGAATGTTTGAATTTTCCTTACGTTTAAAAGCTCGGATGGGCGGAATCCTCCAATCCATTGGAAGAATCTTTCTGTGGAAGTTTGCCACATGCCCGATATCAAGTAGAAAACATCGGCTTTCGCTGCATTCAACTTCATTTGGAAAAGATTTGCGTAATGGTTCAAGCAACTCTCTACTAGCATCCTCAGTTCTACATCGCTTATATGAGACTGAAGCGCTATTCGGATTTCGCTAACTCTCCTGCTTTGTTCTTCAAGCCAGTGTGAATATTCCATCTCAAATGAAGCAATCCCTGTGTTAATAATATTCCCAGCTGGTCCTATATAGCTAGAATTTGATGAGTTGCGTAATCCCTTTAAAACAAAACAAAAAACAGAAATAGTCTTGAGTTAGTAATGAAGATAGAAACTCAAAACAGAACACTTTGAATTAATCTTTTTTCACTTAGGCTCACCTGTTGCTTAACCTTTTCAAGTTCTTGCTCTAATTGCGATAATTTTAACCGGCTTTCCTCTAACTGTTGAACATAAGCCTAAAGAAACAATATAGACTTAGTAGAAACTAACATAACTATGTGAGACTCAATCAAAGTTACTTGCTTTTTACCTTCTTTCTCAAACGACTTTTGCGAGCAGCTTCTCTGTTTTGCGCTAAGCGCCTTTTCATCTATCGACATATTAGAGAAATAAATATCAGTCAATACCACAAAAGCTATCCTTATGATCTTTGTTTTGGGAACTTTGTACGTAAAATAGAAAAAATAATGATATAATTAGCATTGCTTGTTTTAAACCTTATCATGAATCCTGCCATCATCATCCTGATTATCATTACTAGAAGGTTCTGCTTCAATCTGGTTATGCGAAGAAGAAGCATAATTCGTCTGCACGTAAATCCAAACAATAAGCACAAAACACAAGTAACAAAACAACCTTCAAAATAAATTACAAAAAAAAAAAGTCTCAGTGAGAAAATTTATATAACCTTGTTGTGGTTATGATCGTCAACTCTAGCATCCACCTGAATGATGGAGGAAGTGGCAGTATTGGGACTATGATCATTGATGTCTGATTTGAAAACATTACCCCAACCGACAATTTGTTGAAATGGCTCATAGATTCCCATGTCTCTTAAAGATGCAAGTTGAGTTGGAGAAGAAGAAGAACTCATCATCTCTATTATATTCTCTACATATCAAACCAGTTCTTAAACTACGGTCTCTCAAAATTCCACAAGAAAGAAAGAAACTGTTTCTTTTTGTTTTCCCTTACCTTAAAATTATAGATCCAAACAGCTTGCTCTTAAAATTTGCATTTGCTCTCACTGATACAAACCATAAACAGAGTATAAAATATTCTTCATCACTTCAAATATGTTAAACTTATAAAAAGACTGCAACTTCGACTGAGACACGAGAAAATCCAATTTCTCCAAGATCCAAAACAGAGAGGGAGGGAAAAAAACAAGAATATATATAAAGGAGGAAATCTTAACAAACCTTGATCGATAAGCAGAGTGATTCATGAAGAAGTTGAGAGACGAAGAATTAAAAACCCATTTGAAACACATTTCTTGTTAACTTCTTGATCAAACAGAGATATTATTCATTCGGACCACAAAGGAAAAAAAAAAAAACACAAACGGAAGGAGAAGTGTTTCGACTTTCGAGTTCCTTTGGACACTTAAGTTTACTGTCAAGAAAAATAAACTTAAAGGTCAAGAGTTCCCATCATGTAAAGAGAGGAAAAATAATAATAGATTTTCTTTGTTTCTTGTTTTTTTCATATTTATTTGTGTTTGCCTTTTCCTATTTCCTTTGTTTGAGTCCATCACGGCATCACCATTCCATTAGAATAATAATCAACTAATTAGTTATAATCACAAAATCAATATTAAAAATTTACTAAAGCAACGAAACGTTTAACGACAAAAACGATAGAAAGAAGAGTTCTTTGGCAAAAGCACGAAGGTGACCCTTTGTTATCGTGCGCTTGTGTTTCTGAGGTACGCATCAAATGATGTCATCAAGCAACCAAGAGCTGAGATACCCTTTCCGACGTCGACACGTCCCAATGTTCCGGTGGTAAAACTTATTTTGCATTCCAGATTTGGAAAGTGTCTTATGTTTTAGGGATCAAAATAATTAATAGCGCTTTGAGATAACAAAATGTATTTACTTTTCCTCCGTTTCTTTAAAATCTTGGTTTAGTGGGAAGCTTTTTTATCTATTTATTGGTTGATCAAAGATTTAGTGCTTATGATAGCAGCAACACAACTTTTCTTTTCAAATATCTAAAATTCATAGATTTTTGTAAGACTGATTGAAATAATTTTACGAAATAATTTTACAAAAAAAAAAAAAAATTAACGTATTATGCATATAAAAAATAAGAGTTATGTCATAAACATAGCGCAACGGTTTTGTAGACGTGCATAAGTAGAATTGTTTGACGTAAAGTAGTTTGTGGAACCATTAATTGCATGTTCTATGTATGTTACGACGATTTAAACATGTTGTAAATGATAATTAATCCATTGATGTAATCAATTCCATTTTCACATTTTTTGTATATGTATGCATGCTGATGGGTCTGCAAAAGAATCAATGTCTTTTTCCCCCTATAAGTTAGGTTCGTATAGGTGGTACAAAGATATATGTATGATTTTCTTTCTTTCTTTCTTTCTTTCTCCTAATATTTTATAAATGTTATGGTTTTGTTTTTTATATTTTTTCAATATACAACTTTAGGTTTATGTTGAGGGGACCATAAGGGGTTATGCAGTGGCGTCTTTATGCTTAAGAGTCTCCTTCCCTGACTTAGTGACAAATAATTGGAGCTTTAATGGCCTACCAAACCCAAAAGATAACATTTTTAAATCTCTCATTTATGTTTTTTATATTATGGATCTTAATTAGTTTGGGAACCACTTGTGTAATAAAATCTGTGTGTTCGACAAAGACAAGCATGTCTGTTTTTATATTTTTATCAAAGCTTTATTTCCTGTCTAATTGGTTTTACTTTAATAAAGATCTCCTCTAGCTATATTTTTTACAATCTTTAAAATATGATAAAACATGAGTAAATCGGTGCGGTGATACGAAAATATATAAAACCAAAGAGGAAAAAAAAATGTCACAATATAAATTCGCATCGCGAAAGATCTTATACACACTTTAGCTTGATTTTATTTATTGGTATATAATATATCGAAGTTTTTTTTCTTCTAAATTAACCGATAACTTAGGCCTGATCAAGAACCTAGCTAAATAACAACTATGCATGCATTATTAGATGATATCATTGTTACGTGTTATAGTAGATGAAGAAAAAAGTAGTATGATCACAAAAGTTACGTACACACATTTCTACTTTAATTCATCACGAAGACACCGATCTTCCCACTATTTTCCTTATCTCCTTTCTCCTTTGGTTTTCTTCGTTATGACTGCAAAAGTTACTCATTTTATTGCTTTTCTCGCTATCTTCTTTGTACTTTTTTTTCCCCTCTCTTATTTCTTACATTCTTCTCAAGTACACCTGAGAAAAACTATATATCCTTCAAGTTTGATATGTATTGCATCTATACTGTTACAAATTTTGCACCAGCAAAATAGTTTCTGTTTCGGAGTACTAAATTATTCAATTTCTACGTATATACTGAAATAGCCTAATAGTTTTCTTAAAGTACTTATAACTTTCGTATGTTTTTGGAAGTACTTTTAGTAATATTAGTATACGACTTAAGAATATTAACTTGGAATCCCATTCTCGCTGGCTTAAACCAATGACTAGAGCCACTAAACGAATATGGTTTACGGTGCAAAAGAAACTATAATCCATATATAGACTGAATTATATTAGAAATTGCATACAGTAGAAGTAGTTAGAAAACAAATCTGCTGAAAACACAAAACGCATAAGAAGAAATCAAAGATACATCGTATACTGAGCAAATAAAAAAAAAGACGAAGCTATGATCATCATGTCATGAGATTCTTCTAGTGCACGAATGATCATCAGACGTTCAAGAAAAGGAAAAACAAAATAGAATTCGAATATTTGTAATATTGCTTCATGAAGAATACTATACTAGTACATGGTAGATATTCTCTAAATATTACAAAATGAAAGGGGGAAGGAATATAAGAAAAATATTAATAAAGGAGGCATAAATGTTTCTATATACTAGTTCCTCTTATATAAACCGCATGTCATCGTTCAAAGATTCCAACTTGAACTGAACTCCGACTGATTCTCTTCTATTTTGCATTCCCAACCAAAAAAATAAAAATAAATAAATGAAAGTAGATTCTTTTTTGTTGGTTAAATTATACAGTACTCATAAGTACAAAACACGTGATTAGTAAACTTGTACTACTAATTTTAAGATTAACAAAAAAATCTTACATGATATTCCAAATTTTAATCACTAATATTTTCATCAATGCTCAATTTTAATTTATTTATAAGAAAACTACGCTTGTACAAATATATATTTAAAATGAGGAAAACAGACCCATGTATATTGTAAGGGAAGCACTTACCAAAATAAAAAATAAAAATAAAATGAAGAAAAAAGTTTATATGAAAATTTTCGTTTTTGCCAATTATGAATAAGTTCAAAAGCAAAGGAAGGTGATGGGGTTTCTCTTATCATTGCTTTTGTTCCCATTGTGTGGTATTATTAAAAAGGAGCTGATTTTTTTTTTTTTTTGTTGGATGACTGAATAAGAATAAGTAACTTTGTTTTATTTATATATATATTATATATATGTAATTGATATTGTGTTGTCCCTTCCTTTTAAAGCCCAAACAAGGTGGAGGATATTCTCACGTCACAAATGCACATGACCTTCATTGTTGTAGTTGTATTAATCAAACTCCATTAGACAGGTCACCAACTCACAACTGCAGTTGACCTTCATCGTTGTATTATCAAACTCCATTAGACAGATATAAAAAGAATGAAGTTGCATTGCTAATTTACGTAATTCTCGTCTATGTGTTTCATCATAATAAATTACAGCAGAAGTTATCAAGATTTAAATTATAAACACCATTAGTAGTTCCCTGCAATTGAGGATGTTTTGAGTATGAGCATTTCTTCGTGACTCTCGAGTATTAAAATAATAGATGTAACAATATGGTAGTTTCTAGAAGTAGACCTTGTTTACCTTGAGATGATGATCAATACTGCTTGTTGGGATGATAGAGTTGATGTGAAGAATGAGGATGCTCAACCAAATTCCAACCATCAGTAGAGTTTTTATCCTTTCTCACATCAGAAAACTCCACCATGTAGCTTGGATCTCGATTTGGTACATTATAATAACTATTGTTCCACTACAAGATAGATATGCAAAATAAGAATTTCATATCACATACATAGCTACTAAGGTTTTAGTCCTTGAAACGAATTTATAACTCTCATGATAATTCTGGGAACCTTATGTCATACCGATGTTGGCTGTGTTTGATAGCTGTTCAGCAAGGTGCTGGAACTTGAGGAGTTCAAATTCCACACGGACTTGTTCGGCTCCTGTCTTTGCTTGTTGGAACTGTAAAAGTCAGAGATGCAAGTATGTTGTGTCAAAATTCGGATACAAATGATACAGATTGACGACAGAAAAAAAATGATACAGATAGAACCTAACTGTTTTTCCCTCTCTGTCTCAAGTCTTTCTTAAGTCATATGAAACAATTGTATACTTATAGGTGAGCATTTTAAGCTTTACCTTGACAAACCATGGGAAAGAGCAGACTGAACTTCCTTGAGAGAAGATAATGTGGCAAGCAACTTTGCAAATGTTTCAAAAGTTGAGGCTCCAGTAGGAACTTCGAGAGACAAGGAACTATATCCATACACATTTAAGTGAGCTACGCTTTGCTTAAGATGTGCAATTCCTCTCTGAAGATTTCTGAGTGTTTCAACAGAATGAGGAGAGGCAGAAGAAAGACTAACAACGTCAAGTTCAAGGTCATGATAGTCATCTTCTACACTTCCATCTGATTTCAATGAAGTGACACCAAAATTTGTTGTATCTCGACCCGTCCATGAACTTTTCCCTTCGAATGAGTAGTAATCATGGGATGGTACAAACAGGGGATACTCATTGCTGCCAATTAAAAAAGAGGATCTCTTAATTCCCTAAATCTAATCGAGACACAAAACAATGTCTGTCATGTCATATATAATTTACCTTGGAGAAGAAGGATGAGCGTTCCAATAAGAATCTCGTTGCCATATTCGTGAACAAGAACCCTGATATATAAAGTAATGCCGAATTTTAATCATACTTGGTTAACCAATTTCCAGAGGAATAGTAATATAACGTCAATATCCACAAATTATCTCCCAGACAAAACATTATGCAGTGATTGTATGTATGTGCGTGTGTGTGCTATCTTTAAAAGACTGAGGCAACTGTATAGCATAAATTGAGTGAAGGATGTGTTGACATCTACCCCGAAACCCAAGTTGTGGAGTGCAGGCGCTGAGATCTTATGGACAACAAGATTCAGAAGCTGAACCATGTACCTGATCCAACCACAAACCATGGGATGTTAAATCATCAAACTACCAATCAAATATCGAAAATTATTATGAGTACAATGGTCTGCATGAGTATAATATTCACTTAAGACTCGGATCTCCATATACTTTAAACTATTCATGTGCCACAAATTGACTGTTTAAAGACAATGACATGTTACCCTAAAGAGGCTGCGAGCTCTTTTGGCGGAACAGAGAGTGGGTTGAGACCTTGTGGTAAGAGAGCATTGCAGATTTGATCATACTGTCCACTACACCCATCTTTGTTCTGCCCCTCTAGTTTCACCTGAAATGAGTAAGATTCAGTAAAAACGTCCTAGAAACTGTGTTCGATAACACAACAGCTTGGAGAGAGTCCAAGATTGCCTCAGAGAAGAAAGAAGATGTGTTTTACCAACTTCTTTTTGGTAAAGAACTCTATATGTTCTATGAAATCTGTAAATTAATTAACTTCATATATAAGAGCCTAAAATTTGTTTTTCTTACCTTGGATAATGGGAATAATTTGCATATCTGTCTCATAACCAAAGCCTGTTTATAGAGGCGTTCTGAAGTAAGGTCGATCTGTAAATTACAAATGCTGGCTTAGTGTTCATAATCATACATATGAGATCGGATATAAACAAATTGAGGCACAGATAATGATGAATATATGAGTTCTACAAAAAGGACTAGTGAGCATAGAAGTAAAGTATCATGAGATGTAGACCTTACATATACCAAGTAGTGATTGCCAATAGTATCCGAATAGTGGTTCTCCAATTGACGAACACGGGTCTTCTCCAACTGCAGGAATGAGATATTAGTGTTCACATTACCATGGAAAGATCAGCTTTATACAGATGCTTTTTCCAGAGAGAAGGCAGAAATTGGGAGAGAAAAAAAAGTGTCAAATTACAGCAACGTTAGTTGATTCGATAATGCCATATCTCTCTTTCAGATTGAGAGATAGACTCCGAAATGTGTGTTTGCCTGCATCATGAAGTACGTATACTTAGACTTGGCAATCTGACAGATATCAAGGAAATTCCATTTTTTAAGGATTATATTCAAACTTTGCTGCAATTTCTCCACTTGAAGTTGGAGCTTCTCCCGCAACCTAGCAAGCTTCTCATTCTGAAGATCAATCCAACAATGTTGACTGATTGCTTTCTCCTGGTAAGCAGCGGAAAGCACACGGGCATCAGATATCATTTATGCAAGAAAATAAAATAAATTTCAGATCAGAAGACTTCAAACTCAACAAAGAGCGCAGAAGATAAACCTTTGCGACAAGCAAGCCACTTAGTCTCAAATATGAAACCTCCTGACGGCTCTTCAACGAGTCCAACGTAACTTTGTATTCCTTTAAGCTGCACAAAGAGCCAAACAATACACAAGTAACCACATAATCTACAAAAAAATTGGAGGATCCTACTTGAGAAATTGATTCCAGAAAAACCAAGCATACCTGCGATTAACACAAGCTACGCAGATGGATGCACGAAACGAATTGTGGCAAACAGCACATTTACTAGATTTCTCCATCGATCCTTCACCGACGCAGACCAGATTCCCCCAAATTCCAAGGGTTCGGCGATAAATCTAAGCGTAATCTACCTGTCAATTCCACAATATATCCTCTAATCTGAAGTCTGAACAACGATAACAAACCAAAACCTAAAAGTTCGGGTTCATAGCTAAAACCTAACGAAATTTTGAAATCCCAAGAGACATTGAGCATAAAAAATCGAACTAACCGGAGTGGATTTTGAAAATTACGCCGGCGCCGGAGAACTGTAGCGTCTGGTATGGGAACGAGGATGAAGCGGGAAGATATGAGCAGCGAAGGATGAGGAGGATTGAATTTGAAGGATAGAGTCATTGCGTGAAGCAGTGAAGCTTTACGAGAAAAGAGAGAGAGAGAGAGAGAGAGAGAGAGAGAGAGAGAGAGAGAAAGGAAGGAGAAACGACTTTTACGAATTCAAGTTACGTGCACATCATCATCCAATCCCATCACCTTCCTCTTATTTTCTTTTTCTTACTGTTTTACACTTTTTCAACCTTTTGCTTTTCACCTTTTTTTTTTTTTAACTTTTTCACCCTAATATAACCCTTTTCCTTTTCTCGGTAATGGTCTTATTATTAACTCTTTATAATTACTCAATCACCCCCTTATTAACTTGATTAGGTGATTACTATTTTTATGAGGTTGAGTCAAAGTTTTATTCTAAAAGCTATAATATTTTATTACCAAATTGTTAACCTAATGGTAATCTTACTTTACAAATCTCGTTGTAATTATAGTTTTACATCTCTTGCTGAAAACCAAGTGTATCAATTTCACTACGGACATTGTTAAATCAGCAAAACTAAGAGAGAAAAATCAAAACTTAATATTTATATGAGATAATACACTAACACATAGACTTTGATGATTTATATAACTAACTTTATTACAAAATAACTAATTAAACATATGTCAACTTGGTACGGGAGAATATTTAAGGTAATTGCCTTGTCGTTCACTTTTTCTTTTCTTTTTTTCCTTTTTATGGTTTTCTTTTTCTTTTAACTACAGAAAAAGAAAATTGTAAAATTCTTATCTCATTTATATTAAGTTAATGTTTTATTAATCTTGTTTAGTAATAATGAGTGTTTTAGATATATCATTAAACAAAACAAAAGCTCTTAGTAAATGTATATTTCATGTTGGAGACTCTGCTGCTGTGTAACTTGTAATTTCAAAACTAGATTGAACCTGACTTGTAACACGTTAATTAGTGTGTATGCCATTGCTACAAAATGTAACGACAACTATAAAAGTCTGATTGGCCGGCCGAAAGAAAAATCGTTAAAACATAATGACCAAATCACTAGCAGCAGTTCAGCACACAGTTCTTCTCATATTTCAGTACGCTCATAGATATTTTGGTTTAGTTTTTCACTAATACTTTTGAGCATCCACTAATTTTCTTTTTATCTTCTTAAAACCCCACTACTTTTCCTTTTAAAAGTCTTTTGCTATATCTTTTTCATACTTTTTTATTTAAGGTCTTTAATTTGTATAGTTTCTTTGGATGAATACTATGAACAACTCAAATCTGTAATCTAATGGTTTATGACTTTATAGTAATTATATTATATACCATGGTCTAGATATGTTTGTATGCGAGTTGCAGTCACATAGTATATATAGTGTATCAGAAGAAGATAATTAAAGTATCATCTGCAGGACCGTCAATGATAATTATTAAACTACGACAATACTATGTCAAAAGCGTCAAACGGTTAACCAACCAATTTGTGTTTTGGTTCTTTTTTTATTCTCATATAATATGTGATATAGTTCAAACTTCAAACAACACCACTGCAGCACAAGTATCGGTTTTTGGATTTTCTGAAAGTATGAAATATGGTGCAACTCACTTTTAATTAGTTCCGTTGGTATAAAACTCATGATCAACTAGATAAATGTATTTAGGGAGTGCATTAGCATTTGATCCAAAAGTTATAAATATTTATAATTTCTCACATTTTAAGTTCATTACATTGGACGTTACATCGTTTTACTGACTATTTTAATAAAAATCACCAAAATAAAGAAAAAGAGAAGACACTAGAAAAAGCCAGAAAAAAAAAAAGACCCATGAAAAGAAAAGAAAAAACCAAATATAGTAGAAAATATGAAGAAAAAAGCTTAATAATAAAAAATTTTAATATATAGTGTCACTCAATCGTCGTCAAGGGATCCGAAACTTTAGCAGAGCTTTTCTTCATCCCCGGCTTTCCAAAAAAGCACCGTCCGAATTGTCTGCTCCCACCGGATTTCGCAGGCGCCTCCATGAAGCTTCCTCCGCTGATTTTCTCGTCTCTCTCGGCGCCGGTAACCGCCGCTGGTTTATTAGCCGGCAACTTCTTCATACTCGCTCTGTGAAACTTCCTCACCGTGTAAACCTCTGCAATAGCTAGAGACATGTCTTTTTAACTTTGTTTAGAAGAAGGCAAAAAAAGTAAAGAAACAAAAAGCTGTTGTTTGGTTTTGGTATTGGGGTTTGAGATGAGTGTTGTTGTTGGGGCAGAGCTTCGGGCACTTATTTATAGTCTCATAGCTAAATTTGGTGGGGTTCAATATTCCTGAATTTTAGTGGGTTTTGTTTGCCACGTCATATACGTATACATTTTTAAAAAAAATAGTAATTTACTTAGGGTTTTGCAAATAAATGATAATTTCTATGTACATAGAATGTAGATGTCAAACACTCTTTATTTTAATTTTTAGAGCTAGTTGCAAATTAAGGTTACAAATAAATTAAAACATGGTTTGATTAATGATTAGTGACAAGTTTTTAGTGTGTGAGTTGGCAAGATGATGACTTGGACCTCAACTAAATATATCTGGCCAGGAGAGAAGACAGTTACTAGCTAATTAGTTAATGACTTATTTGTTTTTAATTTTTTTCTGTAAACCAATGACTTATTTGTTTTTGTTTGCAATATATAACTTAAATCTTTATTTGAATCTGAGTATCTCACATATGAATATCTGCATGTCATGAAATATTACTGTTTTGTTGATATTTAAAGTGAACTGTATGTTCTAGTATTTGAAATTTAAAGTGAACCAGATTCATTACGCTAACTAGAAATTGAAAATTTGACCGTAGCAAAGAATGCTGATGGCTGTTAATTAAAAACAATTACCACAACATTTAATTAAGAAAATTCTCAAGATTCGAGTATTGGAGAAAGGCCTGAGAGGAATCTGACTCGGCCGCCATTTTAGCCCCCAAATGACAATCAGATCGACCACAATATCCATAAACGTGTCCAAATTTAACAAAGCCAAGAACATAGATTTATTTATATAAGAGTATTACCTACAATTATATTCCATAACTATATTCTATCTTTTTATTTCTATATCATTCTTTTTTTCCGATTGCTGGTAGTGGACTTCACACTCATCTAATGTATTCAATCATTTTATGAGCCTTTTTTGTTTTGTTTCGTTGTTCTTTTATTTGTCTGATCTCTGAAATTGTTATTCAGTCACGTTTCTTTTACTGTCTTTGGCTAATTCAGACAATTTTTTTTTGTCGCACAATCTAATTATTAATTTGTTGTAATATCAGATATTGTTCGCTATATTCTTTCTTTATTCGTTTCCGTAAAAAATAATGTTAAAGATCCGATACGTCCTAACTCCAAGGCTAATACATAATAGTACATTCTACATTTCATTGTATTTAAACCACGTGTGTCAACTTCAAAATGACAATTATTCATCAAGTCGAAAATCATTATAATCATTTTCATGTTGAAAAAACAAAGAAAACATTACAACACTTTCACATAATCTAAGCTAGTTGGTGCAGTCGTGCTAGAAATTTCACATCAGAAAATACGATGAAACTTACGACGAACAAACAAAAATAATTATAATCATTTTGACGCTGTAAAAGAAAACACAAAACACTTCCACTGTTCCACATATATTTTGTTAGTGTTATGGGCGGTTGACAATGTTATTAACGCTTTAAACTGTTTCAAATTATAAGTTAAGCTTATATTAAACATAGAATGTACTCTCCAGCTTTCTTAATTGTATATACAAACATCAACTAAAGGGTAAGAGAATATTTTAGCCTTCTAAAAGTGAAGTGTAGAATAAACCGAGGAGGCTTCGCCAAGATCTATAAAATAACGATTACAACGTTTTATTCTATTGGAAGATAATCATTTAAATTTGTCCAAGTGAATCAGGCAATAACACACTAATCAACTTGCATTTATAATATTTCGCAAATCAAAACATTTTAAATTGAAGGAAAGAGTAAATTAGTACTACTAGTTGTTATAGTTATCATTGTCCTTGTTTTTTCATTCAAGTGTAAACATGGATAACATGTTTTGATTAGGAAAAGAATAAAAAAGAATCAATTGGGATCCAAATAGTAATTTTACTTAATATCTGAATGATTTGATGTTGAAATTATATAATTTAAAGTGTCTAAAATATCTGATATGTGGGCACTTCTAAGCATAGTGCTAAATCTAATTTATCTAGACAAAGGTGTTCAGTCAAATAGTACAATTCATCTGTGTACTTTAGAGTTAATAGTCATCTTAATAGTTTTGGTTGTCATCATTTACGTCAGTAGAAGTTTTAGTTTAATTAGTAGACTAAACAATATAATTCATGACACGAAATTTAACGACATACAAACACATGTTTATTAGTGGTAGGGACTTAAGCACTGTTTCTTCATACAGTGTCAACTTTTTTTGTTTGTAATATAATTTTGCAAAACAACTTTAATAGCAACCACATGGCCCATATATATAATGAATGTAATATCCAGAAATTTAAGAAAGAAAAAAAAACACATACGTTAAAACCACTTGGTATTAGAAAAATGGGAAATAAATGTAATATAATTGCGGTATGGATTTGGGTGGTCATATATATATATATAATCTAATCTTTTGATTTCTGTCAAATGGATGTTTAACTAATTACATTTTCGTCGTGAAAATGAAAGCGCCACAATCGTCTTTGATTTGTTTATATTAAGTTTCCAAAATCCACCTTCGAATGGGGTATAGCCAGTTTTAACGCAAAGTGCTAGTCTGCTAGACTGAATAAGACTAGTGTAGTATACTAAGTGAGTGATTAATTTATATTAAAGTAGAACACTAGCTGATGTTAAAAATTAACTCTTAGTCCTATATATATACGCATGGGTGTTTGAACACGTAAGGCGTCGTGATGCAGATGCAACTACGAGAAAAAAAAGAAACTTAAACTATACGAGCAAAAGAAGAGAATCCTTATCCCATTGTTCGTACGTATTACCCCATTCGCATAAGTGGTCGATTTTTATATATAACACTTTATCATCTTTTTTGGACTTAAAATGTAATCGCCATCATACAATTTATCATGGACATGGCCGATGGCTGATGAGAAAAGAAAAAGAAAATTATCTTACCAAGTGGCTCAAAGGGTTTTGTTAAGACATTTTGTTTTTTTACTGTTTTCTTAACATCAAAAATATTTTGAAAGAGAATTTGCTCCTCTTTTTATTTGTTTTGTTTCTTATAAGCATAGCTTAAGCTTCTTTAGTTATTGAAAAGGTAACATTTTAAGGTTTTAACCTAAAGACCAATAATTATACAATATTAACTATTGTGGTGAATTAAGAGAGTTGGCTAACGCAGGGAGTGGGCTTCATTTAGTTAAAAAGGCCCGTTAAGAGTCATCAGAATTCGATCGCTTTCTTGTCCGGGAAACGTGACATAAATCGAATCGCCGACCATACGGATTTGGTATCTTGAGATTATGATTGAAAGGGGAAACGAACGTCGAACATGAGGGTTTATGGGAACGTTGAGTGGTGTGATGTTGTGCATACCGCATACGTTTCCCGGTTCATGTTATTTTAAGGACTCTGTTGTTGCCACTGTTTGAGCCATTGCTTGGTCAGGATCACATATATTTGAATATGATGAAGGAATCTCCACGGCTTATAAAAAGCATGATTCATATGACGTTGTGAGAGCAAGAAATCGTATTACGAACTTACCATTTTGCCAATTCTTGATTACACCATTTTGGTTTACTGAGTTGTGGTTTACTAGTTTAACTAAGCTGGAAAAGAGAAAACAGAGAAGTGGACACTTGGACTGTACTAAGGGACAAAACTCAACAAAAAAAAGAAAAGGGTCGTTTTCAGAACTAGTCATCCATTAGTGTACTATATAGGTCGATTGAAAGCAACTCATGTTATGTCATACCATCATTTTCTTTACCCATTAACTGAAAGTGGACCTACTGTCCATCTTAAGGCCATGGAATGGTGTCCCTTTCTAATCAAGACTTACCCTACAACCTTCCACAATGCATGTGCTGATTAAGTAGATGTGCAATAGTGAGATAACAAGATTCCAGATAAAAATGCTTAAAGACATACACAGTAATATTTTATCATTGTGGTAATGAAGATTTATGTTTTCATGCGTAATCCGATCATTCTTAAGACTCAAGAGAACTAGTTTGAAGACTAGAAAAATGAAATCATGCAAAGGAGAGCTACAAAATGCAGCATACACAGTGACTCTTCATTGGAGGATCATTCTGCAGTTTCTCTGAACGAACAAAAAAAAACGAAACCTAAACTTTGAGATATACGAAAAGCAAGCACTCAGAGGATTTGAGGAGGAAATGTATGGAAGTTACCTTTTGTCTTGTCTAAGAGAGGAGGACGAAGAACAACATGCATTGTAGTCACAATTCCAGGAAGTTCACCAACAGGTAACGACCTTGCTTCAGAAAGTGTTATGTTGTTCTCAAGTATCTTCCCACCATTGATGAGCTTAACCTCATTTATCATCTTTGGTGCGTTTTCTTTGTCTGTCCACATGAATTCGCACAAAATAATTCAACCTTTCACTTTTTGAACAAAATAGCAGAGAAACATAGATTTGTACCTTTAGGCCATTGAGCAATGATTTTCTCCTTGAGAGACGCAACAGTCATGAATTTACTATATTTGCTCGCACCAATGTCTGTACCATCTGCAAGTCTGAACTTTAACTCTATCCACTCTTCATCTCCCATCTTTTGACAAGATTTTAAAAAATTGGAAGAGAAAAGATCCCAAAGAAGAAGAAGAAAAAGCAGAGTAATGTTTTTTAAACAGAGAGAAAACAGAGTGTTCTGTTGTCTTTAAGCAGAGCAATGTAAAGAAAATAATAATAATTGGGTTTCTTTCTCAATTTTATAATAAAAACAAACAAGCATAAATCTCAAGTTACAATCATCTGTCTATTATACACTTACACGCCCCTATACTATCTGAAGTTACCTTTCAGTGACTTATATAAAAATAAAGAGATTTGCGACGTATACTTAAACCAATTAAGCAAACCAACCGTTACAAAACCTTAAGGATAATTAATTAATCAATACATCACAAGAGTGTATTAGCCAAATAATTAATTAATTGCTAACTTTTAGTAAGAGAAAACAATGTCTTGAGTTAAGCTTCTTAAGAGAAGAAGCTCATTATCAGACAAATCAATCCCATGGTGTCACATTGTTATCTTCTCCAGAGCAAGTAACTTGAGTGAGAACTGAGGTCCACACTCCTGCCACAGACACACACGGAAAAAAAAAAACACAGTTAGCAGCAATCAAAAAGATATCATAAGGTCAGCAAAGAGCTGTAAAACCCTTATCCTTGCAAACTCTATCATCTGCGCAGATGCTTAAACAAACATGTTTATTTGATGCAAATACATACATAAATTTACAACAGTGACACTAACCTCGCGTACTTTGGTGTCTGTCGAAGTATCAAGGTGTTCAGAATTCGGGAACACTGCAATAAACTCACGAGCAGCCACAGGCTGACAAGTAGTTATCAAGATCTTGGGTTTCGTTTCGCCGCTCAGGATCCGATCAATCTCCACCGATTCGATTTCTCCCCCAAACCTGCAAAAAAAAACACGCGATAGCTTAGGGCCCACATTTTTATGGGCCGGATTTGGGCCCGTGGAGATATGATTAGCGTAGCTTAGGTTTGGGATACTGTAACAAAACCTCAAAGATTCTAATTAGGCTCCGGTTTTCCTTTCCTCATGTTTTTAGGGGTGCTAAAATCAAATCAATTCCCTAACCGGATGATCTTAAACGGTTAGCGTTCGGTTTGCTTGCTAATAACATTTTCCCGCTACATTCTACAAAGGTACAAACGAACCCATTCGTCTTCAATCCCTAATTTCTCCCTCACCTTCAACAATGGAGGTTCCTACAGAGCCAAAGACGACGCAAATCGATGAAATCTCTCACAATCTCTCGTTTTCCACCTCCAACGCCGGCGATTCTACCTGGGACAAGATCTCCTTCTTCCGTCACCGCTCACGGCAAATCAAACGAGACACTTGGCTCGTCTCCGTCTTCGTTCTTCTTCAAATCGTCCTCTTCGCTGTAACTATGGGCGTCAACGATTGCTCCAGGAACTCTCACGGTCACTGCGCCGCTAAACTCCTTGGTCGATTCTCTTTCCAGCCTCTCTCCGAGAATCCTATGCTCGGCCCCTCTGCTTCTACGTGAGTAGCTCTCTCGCTGGATCTAGCTTCCGTTTTGTTTCGTCTCTGCTAGTATCTGATTCTGGAATCGACCTCTGGTTGAATTTTTTAGATATTAATTTTGGATGCGTCGTTGCTTATACCTGTGATTTCGAATGCTTCGTTGTGCTCATCTTTAGTACCAGTTACAATAGCTTACGGATTTTGTTGATCTGGATGATAATATTTAACGTGATTGATGAGTTTCAGCTGATTCGTAGTGTCTCAGTCTTTGATTTCAGCGACAAGTTCTTGTTTCCAATTCTGTGTTGTTGTTGTAGAGTGTTGATTTCTGTGGATCTTTTATCTGCTTCTTTTGAGAGCTCTAAATTTGAGGGGAACATGTGTAATTTGGGCTACTAAATGATTGATTTGAAGCTATTGAGTTCATATTTCTTGTGAGTTTGCAGGTTAGAGCATATGGGTGGCCTTTCTTGGAATACTCTGACAGAAAATCATGAGATTTGGCGTATTTTGACATCTCCTTGGCTACACAGTGGATTGTTTCATCTGTTCATAAATCTGGGGAGTTTGATTTTCGTAGGGATATACATGGAGCAGCAATTTGGACCATGTAAATTAAGCCAAATTGACTTAGGTTACTTCAACTTATAATGGAGTCTGTCACCATTATAATCTGCATTTCTTCTACTTTTTGCTTTGCCTGTGTAGTCAGGATTGCCGTGATATACCTCCTCTCTGGAAGTGTGGGTACTCTCTTTGCTGTCTTGTTTGTTCGAAATATCCCATCAATCTCTTCTGGTGCTGCTTTCTTTGGGTTGATTGGAGCCATGCTTTCTGCACTTGCAAAGAACTGGGATCTATATACTGGCAAGGTCAAGGATTTCTCAGTGTTCTTTTCTTTATCCTTGGCTATTTTCTTCTCATACCTTCGCTGATTGTGTTTGTTTTTTGTTTGCTGCTACAGATTTCAGCCTTAGTGATAATATTCACTATCTTCACTGTGAATTTCCTGATAGGCTTTCTCCCTTTCATAGACAATTTTGCAAATATTGGTGGTTTCATATCAGGATTCCTCCTTGGATTTGTGCTATTATTCACCCCACAGCTGAGACAGATGCCTCCATCTCATAAGGGCAAATTGTTTGAAGATGATAGGAAAAGATTCACAAGGCTTAAAGAACAGTTTGACAGACCGGTATTACGGATTATATGCCTGACTGTATTTTGTGGAATGTGAGAATTTCCCTTAAATCTCTTCTTGATCTAGCTTTTTGTTCTTCTCTCTGAGCTCGCATGACATGAGAAACCTATCCATCTCTGTTCATTAGGCTTGCTGGGGTTCTATTAGCAGCATGCTGGGGCGTTAATCTCAACCGTCATTGCCATTGGTGCCGCTATGTTGACTGTGTTCCAACCAAAAAATGGAGCTGCAGCGACATGACAACTTCCTGCGAGGTAATACCTTTGCTGTGACCCTGATTCTAGAATTCAGAGTCTTTATTATATGCGAATCATAGTAGGATTAGTGATTACAACAATGTAAAAGCTATATGTGAATATGATGACAGGCAATGGTGAGTGATGCTCAGTTAACACTAACGTGCATGGCCAATGGAAAGTTCAGGATATTTCCTTACACCAATATCTCACAAGCAAGGACACAAGACCTCTGCACACTCGTCTGCTCTTAAACATGACCAAGGTTTAAACTCCTTTATACATTTACTATACTCACTTCCACACTTAGATAATTGCATATACCAACACTCTCACCTGAAATCAAAAATCTGTCAAGGTTTCCAAACTTGTTATCTTTTGGGTCAATTCTGAAAACTTTTGTAGCCTAGCCTTTTTGATATGGGGTAGTAGGACTTGTAATGAGACGATTGATTGTTGTATTGGTTCTTTGATTCTCTGAAGTCTACTAAGTTTGGTCCCATATGTGGACTCCTCTTCTTGTTGTTGTTGTCTCTAAAATGATCGTAAATATCTATCGAATCTGATATATAGCTCTCTTCGCTATCAATATCATCATCGGTGGTAGCTGAGATCTTTATGCGGCGTGAGATTAGTGGGGAGACTATCCGAATTGAAATCGGAGCACAAAAGACAGAGGATGGAAAGATCAAACCACGATAGTATTATTGCATATCCGAACTATGCGAGATGCTTTCACCCTCCCATACGGATGAAGTATTATTGTTTGCAGAGATCAGAAGAAGATGAAATAGAGAGAATTCTTATTTCTCAATGAAGAAGAAGTTATGCGTGAGAGATTTGATTATATTTATAAGGATAGATATAAGAAAACTAAAAAAAAAGGAAATTGATCATAACGGTAACAAAAAAATTAATGTTGTTTCCTTTTATATATATAAATAGAATTTTTTCACAACGGTAACAAAATTTACATTTTACCATGTATAATAAGAAGAAGAAAAAAAAATTCGCTCACAAATTTATATGTCAAGGTAAGACAGTATTATTCGAGTTTAATTACTTTTTTTTTGTCATCAATTTAATTACTTTTTTTCTTGGAACACAACAACGAGTTTAATTACTTAAGGTGAAGAATCAACTATTAAATTCATAGTCTAAGGGGGGGATCAAGAGAAGTCTCTGATGCTTATATTGTGCACGAAAGAACTGATTAAGGCTAATTAAGGCTACTCAAATAGAGATGATGATCCTGAAACATTCTTCAAAAAAATATATTATGCATTCAGTCTTGCAGACAGTAATATATCCAAGTTTATGTTTAAGGTCCAAAAATATATATTATGCATTCAGTCTTGCAGATAGTAATATATCCAAGTTTATGGTTAAGGTCCAAAACACAAGTGATCCTTGTCCGGCATTTAGTAGAAATGCAGAAACTGTAATTTAATTCTAAAATATGTTTTAATTTAAGTGCATATTGTAATAGCTATATGAGAATATGACATGAAATGCTGAGCTCGATCAGTTAACACTACCGTGCATGGGCAATGAAAAATTCATGATATTTCCTTAGACCAACACCTCACAAGCCAGGGTAGAAGACCTTTGCGAGCTCTTAAACATGGACAAGGTTTCAACTCCTTTACACATCTACTATACTCACTCCCACACTTACATAATTGCATATCCTAAAACTCTCACCTGATATCCACAAATCTCTTAAGATTCTTTGGTCAATTCCGGGAACTTTTGTAGCCTTAATGGATAATTTGTAGTGAGACTATTGTCTTGGTTGTTGATTCTATGAATCTGAATACTAAAAGTCTACCAAGTTTGGTCCCATATGAGGACCCCGGTAGCCACATTAGTTTCTTACAGAAACTTTGCACAATCCACATCATATCTACGCACACATGACACACCAGTAAGTATAATACTTCAGCTTTCTTTTTTTTCATTTAAATGTATATACTTCTTTTACATTTACATGCTTTAGAAAGAGTAATGATTAATGATAGATAGGTGTGGCTTTGTGGGTGTAGTAGAATGAGAAGAAAAGGGCCGACCTTGACACATACATACTATAGATAGGGGGTCACTCAAATTGATTACTATTATTTAAAAGAATTTTGAAAAAAAAAAATAGAATTGAGAAATGTGGTCATCATATTAAAATAAAGACATTGTATATATATATATATATCAAGACGAAGCCCATACTGTGGACCTTAACCTCATCAAGCTACTCAACTGCCTACTACATATCTCTATTGGTTTAATATATTACTCCTATATATACTCACTAAATATGCATTATACTCATGTTTGTTGATCTGTACAAATATTCCTTGCTATTTTATTTAAGTATCAATTTACTCAATGGATGTCAGATTCACTTTTGTATTAAGCATTGTTGATTTGTTGTTTCAAACTGATTTATAGATTTCTTCCAAGGTAACGAACTCGGTTTATATAATTCAATACGATAATGCTCTTGGGGATATATAAAAGTTAAAAAGCCAAGGACCTACTCGGTTGTGTAATCAGTTGACTTTATCCGGTTAAGAGGGAGAGGGATGTGAAGCCACCAGAATTGGAGTAGAAGAAGATGGTTTTGTTTTTGGCAGCTTTATATCTAAAGTGTTGGACTTTGGAGATAACCCACAAACCCAACTCAAGTTTGGAACTCCTCTTGTTCAAGATGTTTTAGCATCTTCTGGCACACAAAAGTAAAAATTAATCAAACATTCTTGCTTTGTTGAAGAAACAGATTTCTAATTTTTCTATTTCCAATATGTATATAAAAACTGAAAACAGTTGTTACGCTCACCCCAATCATCTTTTCTTTTAGTTCATATATAATATATTGGTCATTAAGATCGAGAATTTGGACCACATCAACAAGTGTTAATAAAAATCAAACTACAATTTCCATGTGCATCAATGATATTTACACGAAAGCGGAATATTACAACCATTTAACGTTGAAAATGGCATATACCTTTGCATCCTAATTTCGGCTCAACACTTTCACTTTTTATATTTTTTATAGATGGTATATATAAATGGGCCGATATAAAACTTTACATTAAGTAGCGGTTCTTGACAATTTAAATAATCAACTCCTCCATCTTAATAATCTCCACCGTCCGATCTAAGGATTAGTGGGGAATGCTTATCAATTATTATTAACTTATCACCTCGCACCCTTATTTGATTGTTTTATTTTCTGTGTTAAAAAGGTTCTTTAGACCTTGATAACTTGATTATTAAGTCTAGTAGTATTGATTATATACATATGGGACTTAATTCTCTCGTTAGGTAAAACGGGTATAAAGTTTTGAAACTTTTTACCGTTCCTATATACTCTTTTTCCTTCTTTCTCAATCGAGTTTTAACAAAGTCTTACAAAAAAACTTTTTGTTCTTACTTTTCTTAAACATTTTACTGTTACCAATAATACTATATGATATCTAAAGACTATCACCAAGAAAGCACTAAATATATATATATATATATCTCAAAAGGAAGTAACATATGAAATGGATGACGGAAAGAGAAGTAAGGTATGAACCAAAAAAACAGGTGTTTCCTTATCTCAAGCCATTACTGAGATGACGAAACATTCTCACATATCTTCTACTACTACTTTACTTAAGTCTTCTCTATCACTGGATATCGATCGCTGTATACGTTACAATATTTGACTTACCACACATTATTTAGATATTATGTTCTTTTATATATCAATATTCCTACCAATACCATCATCATCTTCTATTGTTTTCCTGATCTTTTTTTCTTCTTGATTTGAATTTTGATATATTCGCTTTTTATATATATAATATTCTTTGCTATATGATCAATCAATTATTGATTCTTTTGTCTGTTTGATTCGTGGACAAACATTATTAAAATGTGACAAAATATAAAATAAGGATTGACAAAATAAAATAAATAAGGAGGTAATCGCGAATCAAAAAAAAAATAATTGAGTCGCCCGACGCTTCCATTAGATTTGATGGCCCCCTCTCTCTCCCACACCTCACCACTCAAATTTTCACATCTGATTTTTTGTATACCCAAAACAAACACATGCATGATTAATATGGATGAGTCTCTAATTTGTTGACCATAATATGTTTTGGACTCTTGCTTCATTGATACGAATAGAGAACATTTTTTCTTGTCCTACTACAAGGCCACAAAAGATATATGTGTATAGACACATATATTTAAAACTGTTTTTGTCCAAAACTATTCAAGGATTTGGCCTTCGTGATTGTTTTCTTTTTCACGATATTACGTATAATTGAAGTATCAAAAAACTGTATAGAGATGATTATAATTATATAGCATTAATTTGTAATTTAGGATTATTAATTAGAGTGTGTGTACGAATAATGTAACTAAAAAAAGAGTTAGAACATAAACTTAAACGTACAAAAGAGTTGAGTATCATTTACGCGCCGGCATGATAACGGGAATAAAGCTATTTTTTATTTCCCTTTTGCCTTAAACTAATTTTTTTATCCGATCGACTTATAAAAAAAAGTATTTTAAAATACACAAGTACTACATATATTATTTTTCTTGGTATCCGCCGTCGAATGGGTCCGAAATACCACTTTGGAGGTATAACTTGATTAATTTTATTTTCATTCCTTGTATACTTGTAGTTACACTATATAATACTTAATTACTTATATACATGAAAGAATCTAATTGCTAGGCAACATTATCTATGTTGATCTGTTGAGCCATTAGCATTGATTTATATACTAATCATCCAACAATCAAGTTTATTTGATAATTTTATCTTGTTAGACCACATATAGACATATAATAAGTGTTATCCTATTAGGTTATTGGTTACAGAACATATGTAACTTACGGCTGTACACGTATCATTTAACTTTGGTTGCGACTTGCGAGCATCCAACTATTTTTTTATACTCACAAATAAGATAGCATGGTTTATAACTTCTAAACCAAATGAGTATTTCATTGTTTTTCTTTTCTTGTTGACAAGTATAAACTGGTAAAGCATGATATGGTATTAGATGCTCTTGTATAAAAATGCTAAAACCGTATACTAAATTACACTAGTAATATTCGATTATTCATGTACTCAAAGCATGCATGATCATTATTCTTTAGTTTCTACTAATCATCAATTACTAGAGATTTTATTCGAACAAAGAATCTATCTAAGAAATCCCAAAGCAGAAAAAATGAAAGATATAATAAGTAACTTGTAGCTTCTAGAAACGTAAAAAAAAACTAGTATTATTATCTAATGATATTTATGTCTCAAACATATCAGAAAAAATGATGAGAAATAATTTTCTTCTTTTCCCTAAAACAAATATTAATATTGTCTATATGATTTTCTTTCTTCAAAATCCTCTTGTAATATGCCTTTGTGTTGTACTTTTCCAAATTTCAACTCTTTGTTTTATTTTCTGAATACAATTTTGATTTTCTCTAAGAAAAAAGAAAAGAAAAAAAACTGAAAAGTTGAGATAGTAGCATTTTACCAATGATCATTTTCCTCCTCTATAGGAAACAACCATCATAGCTTTAAAACAATCACTTTCATCCTTACAAAATCTCTCTGCTCCTTCTTCTTCTCTCACTCTCTTTTCTTTTTTTTTCATTGATACATAGACACATCCAAATCCCTCTATATAACCTTTTACTTCTCTCATCCCCCAAAATTTCTCATCAGTCCACCAAACACAGAAGAAACTAGAAAGAGACTAAGAGTCTTTCATTTTTGATTTGGTAAAAAGGGTCAACAACAACAATATTAATGGATCAGTCTTGTACAAACTCAGTAAATGGATTCTACTCGTTTCTAAACAGATCAATGGAAGATCTCGAAAGGGTTTACCTCTCCGACAACTTCATGTCCCTGCAGTTCCTTCAGAGAGTGATCTGTCTCCTAAGAACCTCTCACTCTCATCTCACGCTTCTTGTCCAGAAACTCAACCTCCCTGTCGGTGACAAGTGGCTCGACGACTACATGGACGAAACTTCCAAGCTTTGGGACGTTTGCCACGTCATCAAATCCGCTCTCTCCTCCCTCGAAAGCTTTTGCTCCTCCGCTATCTCCATCGCCTCCACTCTCGACGGCCACTACCACCACCGTCGCCTCCTCTCCCCTCAGATTTCCCGGCAGGTAATAAAAAAGATACGAAAAAACATTGTTTATTTGTTTTTGGACTGTCTCAAATTATTAGTAGGTCCTAAGTGCAAACTTTTATATTAAAAAAAAACTATCAAACAACATTTATATATAATTCATTAAGAATTTAGGTGAAAGGGCTCTAAATATATTCAAAATTGATTTTTTAAAGAAAATAATATGAAACATCTTTTTGAGTTGTTTTTTTTGTTTATTTGCTTAATCTTGAAAAGTTGGAATATATAAAGTTGATATGGGACAGGTGATACGAGCGATATCTGGATGTAGGAGAGAAGCGGTGGGGATAGAAGAAGAAAACAGAGCATTACTGGAGAATCGGATTCAAAGGTTTCCTTTTTGGTCGAAGCAAACGACGGCGATGGAGTCATCCAAGATACAGAACGGTTTCAGCGGTTTCCGAGGAGTGATGAACACGATGACGAACATGAACTCGCTGCTCCTCGTGATCTTGATGCAGGGTCTTGTTTATTACATCCCCGGAGACACGGGGACGGCAGCGACGGGCACGATGATGGCGAGGTTAAAGCAGAGAGTGGCGGCGGAAATGGAGAGGATCGGGACGAGGAAAGGGATGATGATGTACGAGTACAGGAGGAGCAAGACGGCGATGGATGAACTCAAGGCAGAGCTGGAACGGCGGTGTTGCGGCGGAGGAGGAGGAGAGGAGGAGGCGGCGGAGAAGAGGTTGAGAGAGAGAGTAGAGAGTATGAAAGGAGATATTGGGAGTTTGAGGAATGGAACAGAGAGTGTCGTTGCTCAGATTGATGACTTGTTTGATGATATTGTTGATGGTAGGAAAATGCTTTTGGATTATTGTAGCCACCGCTGAAACAACAAACTCTCACATAAAAAGCAGTTTTACTTAGCCTTTTTCTTTACATGGAAATCAGACTACTCTTGTTAATCTACTACTCTGTTTTTGAAGTTGTATAATATCTAATCCAAAAAATATATATATATATATAGGTTTCTACTTTTATTATTCGGAACAGAGAGTTTTAATAACTACAATATGGTGTGACTCTTATGTAGAAGGAAGTTGAAATTGTGAAATTGTAAAAGAATAGTTTTCAAAGTAAAAGATGATTCCATGTATACGAACGAATGTTGTAAGGAAGTGACTTTGACGTGGTTGTGGTTGCTTTTATTTGAATTATAGAGGAGAAATTGACAGCAAAAGAAAGAAAAAAAGAGTTTGTTTTCTGTGACAGTTGTCTATAAATACGGAGAAGAGTTTTGCAGGGAAGATTGAAAACAGCAAATGATTAAAACCTGAGGATTCTGACTTTGATTTGACCTTGATGCTTGACAGAGTGAGTTGGAGACAAAAGCATCTCGTGCTCTTCTTTTTCTATAATGTGTTTTTTTTTTTTTTTCTTTTTTCTTTTTTTTTGTGCTATGGTGTTTTTTTTTATCCTCCAATTTTTTTATCATGTTTTTCAAACCTTCAAACCATAGTATTGTTCTTGTTGTTTTCATTTGTTTTCTCTATTCCATTTGTTACCAATTCGAACTCTAAACCAGAGAATTACTGAACAGCTAAGATCATTACCAGTATTTTTTTTTTGTCAACTTACTGAACTGATAATTTTAGAAACAAATAGTATATGAAATAAGGTATTATTAGAAAACATAAATAATTATAAAAGGATATGGGAGAAAGAGAGGTCAGCATCATAAAAAGAAAAATCAATAAACAGAAAAACCAAAAGAAAGTATGATAAATAAAAAAGGCTATTTGGAAAAAGTGGTTACCATAAAACTTCAGTCAGTCAGGCTTTGCCTCTTACGCCGACAACACCACACCTCTCTTCTTCTTTCTTTTTTTTCACACTTTTTTACCAATGCACAAAAAAATTCACTCACCCACTTGTTTAATTCTTATTTTGAAATTAAACATTATTATGTATTTTGTTTTTGTACATCGAATCATTACATTTATTTTATTTATACAAGAGAGATATGATTGAAGTCAGAACCAGGAATGATTTGTGTTTCCCCAAAACGTAACCATTTAGTAATACTCTCAAACTTTATTATTTACTTTTTTTTTTTTAATTTACTCTCAACGTTTGCGTTACAGGCTGTGTGTGACTTACAGCTAAATTGTCCAAGAAAGGGTTCTTTGTATCTTTACCATTTCAGGAAACTTAATATCAAGACCTGCGGAGTCCACTCTCCCAAGTACACACACACACATTGAAGTTGAACTATCAGATTTTGATATTTTTACGCTCTTACCAAATTCACAATATACACTACAGTAGTCAGGGGCGGACCCACAGCCAAGATGGTGGGGGCAGCTGCCACCAGCAAAAAAAAAAAATATATATATTAAAAAATTATTAAATATTATTAAAAAACAAAATCTGCCCCCACCAAAAAAACTACTTTTTATCTTTTTTTTTTGGGAAAGCCCATTAACCCATGTACTAAAAAATATATATTAATATATAAGTTAAAGACTTACTAATCTAGACCTAATTTTTTGTTATTTTCTTCTTCTTTAATCCTTTGTTTTCTTTATGTGACAACAAATCAACAACTATCAATTTGTGAGTTTATTTTCCTGATTTTTTTTACAATCGTTTCTATTATATAAGCATTATTTTTTAGTCAGTTAATTTTATTTAATCAGTTCAAGCTTATAACTATGTTTCCTGGAAAACATTATATAGGTTTTTATGTTATACATGACTATATTAGTTTTTGCAGTGATAATTGTTTATATGTTTATTCTATGGTTAAGCTTTTATGGAAGTTTGTTACATAATTTATAAATTTTAAATTAATAAATTTTAAAATATAAGTCTATAAATTCAAAATTTTCTAAATTTTTACATAATAACATGTTTTTTTTGTTTTTAGTTATTTGAATATGTCACAAATGAAAATGTGGTAAAAAGGTTTCAATTGTTAAATGAGCGTCTGAGTGGTTTTGTAAGATGTTTTAAAGTTTTTACATGACAATTTTATGTCTTTTATAATTTAGTATTTGATAGTTTTTTACTATATTTTTGCCCCCATTGAACAAATTTTCTAGATCCGCTCCTGACAGTAGTTAAACATAATTAATAGGGTTTTTGAATATGAGATGAGTGACATTGATGAGCCAAAGCCTAGTTAAATATATATACTGTGCGCCTCCACTTGGTTTATGAGATAAGATCTTTCGATGTCTTTTGCATTTCTACTCCATCGGCCAATAAATAGTAAGTAGTCTTATTAATTGCTGCTAATCAAAACCAACCTAATCCTAATACCTAATAAAACCAAACCAACCCTAATTAACTTACTGTCAAATAGGCACTGCTACTCTATATGTTCCGTTACGACGAAGAACAGAAAGAGTCAGAAAATTTGTAGGGACCTTTGGGAGCTTCCTTCATTTATTACTACTAGTCTTTGTCTTTAGAGGAATAAATCATTAATGGTACTACGACGTAGTATTTGGCAATTTTGTTTGTTTATCTCATTTATTAAATCAATTAATCAAAAGCCAAGAAGAACAAACAAAACAGTTAATATATCTCTCTCTCTCTCTCTCCGGTTGGCGCAGTTAACTTAGATTTCATCAATAGAGTAGACCCATAGCAAATATAGGGATTGTCTAAAAGCATCTCAGAATTTACTTTACTGCAATGACGACACTCTTAAAAACATGTCTAGGTAAAACAAATCCAGACAAATTTACCCCAATATTGTAATAGTTAATCACGATTAGGAGAGAGAGCGAGATGTTCATCAATTGTGTCTGAGAAATTGGTAAAAAAAAATGTTTAAAAAAAAAAAAAACCAGATTGTCACGTGGCAAAGAAAGAAAAAAAAAACACCAGAGGAAAGTCAAATGCAGAAACACCAGACATATATATATATGATAGTACTACTATTTTACTTGTGACTTGTGATATTCCAGTGAAGATCCACCACTTCTTTCACTTTTTTTAGACCTGTTAAACACACACACACACAGCAAAACAACTTTAAGTACAAATCATTCCAAACTTGAGATGTGCAACATTATATTTGTTTCTAACCACAGCTGCAAGCTTTTCGCAGAATCAAGATTGTAACGGAACCATACAATGCTTTATGGACTTGTATAGTAATGCATATTGTTCAGATGGATAAGGAGCTCATTTTATGTCCTTCTAATGCTATATGAGACCAGGAATGACAAGAATAACTATCTTGATACATATCTATGATCAAATGGGAAACTTTCAGCTTTGAAGAGTTAATCTAAGTAATGTTTACATTCCATCCAATTCCAATTACCTCAAGGAAGAGATAGAGAGATAGTTTACACAAGTTATCCAATGAGTTTCTTAGTCTATAGTATAATAGTTAATCGGGAAGGACGAGATTATTAGCTTGTGCAAGATAGTAATAAAAGCATTACCAACTGATTCAATAGATTACTGTTCTTAAGAGAGATCAGAATATACCTTGGCAGATATACTCTGCGTGGCTGTTGGAGTGCACCTAGAATCTTCACGGGTTCTGGGACCATGTGTCAAGGACAATTGTGTTGTATTGTCGCTGGACTCTTTGCTGCCATCCTCTTCACACAAGCCAGACTCTGCAAGGCCACTCTCAGAAGGCTCCTGCACCGTAATGGTCTTGCCAAATAACTTAATCGAGTTAGCTTTTGCTGTATTGGGGACTCGGTTTCCAACCAGGTCATTTCCAGAGGACAGATTAGTGCTGTTACTATTTGGCGATAAGTTGTCTGATGGCGGACTTCCAAAATTCTTCTCAGTCGACACTTTTCCCAACCCAGGAAGCGGACTAAAGAAGTTATTGGTGGATAACTGAGGAGGATTTTCTCCAATGAATCCGGTTGGATTGTGAGACCCAAATTCATAATGCCTGGCTCCCTGCATGCCAGCAGGAAATGTAGTATACGAGTTCAAAAAGGGACTTGAATCAGGTGCTGCTGCACTAGACAGTCCTCTTTGAGGAGGATAGAGGATTTCTCCGTCATCTCCGCTCAAGAACCCTCCGGTTTGGGGATACTTCAACCTCTTTGCTGGAGGGAAAGTGGGATGAAGTTGAGTTGCATTTGCAACAATTTCCACTTGCCAAGGATTCACCCTCTTCACGTTTTGCAGAATCTCAGGTTCATCCCATGTGATCTAGGCAAGTTCAAAACAAAGAAATGATTAGACTAAGCAGAATGTCCTGACAAAATATGTGTATCTTAAGATCAACTCTAGTTTATCAAACACAATGTACAATGTGTGACCAGAAAAAGATGATGAAAAGCATCTCCACATCACAGAAGCTAAGTTCAACACAAGATCAAGACCTTGCTACTTCTTTTCCATGATTTCTTTGTGGAATTAACTAATCCTGTTTCCAATACAATCATTTTTCATATGAATTTACTAATCCTGTTTCCCATTCAGGAATACTTTGATTTCAAAACAACACAGCAATCTAAGCATAAAGCAACGAAAACATCACATTTCAGATCCCCAATTGGCATTTGATTAACCAGATTAAGACTTACTCCTGTAAGTCTTGCACACTAGAGATATAAGATCGATTCTAAATTGTTCTCAACATCAGAGAGACAAAAGGAGCAAAGACCATTAAACAAACACCATATACCTGAAGCTGTTTCCAAGGGGATCCACGCCATGGACCAGTTTCCTGATAAGTAGAGGAAACAATGCCTTGAAACCAAGTGATCCGGGATGAATCCTCAGTCTCCATAGCCATCTTCACCCTCGTGCCAGGAGTCCAGAACATCGACATGGAGGACTCAACATCCTCAGCTCTGACAACAAAATCGGACCATCCAGCAGTTGGATAATACACCACTTCGAATGATAAACCCTGAGCTGCTCTATTCATAGCCTCAGAGACAGCTTCAGGAGTCAGTTTGCCTTTCCCAGTCCTCCTGAACATCTTCTTAGCACTTCCGTCATCTTCCTTAGCAAGGGCTCCGTTAATCTGGCTGTAATAACCGTTGTACTCATCGCCGCCGTAGTAGCTGGTTCCTCCGCCGTGATTTGAAGTGGGTGTTCGCCTCACACCGATGAACATCTCATCGGCGGATTTCCTCATAAAGACGACCGAATCCCCAGCGATAAGCTTCTTGCTGTTGACGAATTTGCTCCAACCGGTGGTTAACAAGTGACGCCTCGGTGTACCGCGGTAGATATGCCTGAAATCCCAGACAGAGCCATGGATATCGGTGATGAAGAGCTTCTGGACGGGAGGATCTGCTAGGAAATCAAGCGGAGGAAAGACGGAATCAGCACAGTAGCGAGGAACGGAGAAGCCACCACCATTGTTAGCATCAGAGGGAGTAAGAATCTTGGCAAAGGTAGTGACCTTGTTGTTATCATCAACATCGCCTTCGTAAGCAGGGAATCTTGAGAAATTCGTAGGGGCGAACTGGTCCTGTGACATCGGTTGGAGAAGGAGGTGAGCGAAGACCTCATCGGTGATCGGATCGGCGAGCAGCTGGATTGAAGAGATGCGACACGGAACAGGCGAGGTAGAGGGAGGGGGAGAAGAGCTGAGAGGGGAGGAGGCGCAACAGTGCTCGACGTGTCCCTGAGGGAAGTAGTAAACCCTAGAGTAGAGTTGAGGGATCTGAACGGATGCACCGGCACAAGCGCGCCAGATCGTGGGATCGACTCCGCGGTGGAGGATGTCACCGGCGGCAGATTCCGACGGCGGTGACATAGGTGTTTGATTACACTGTAACGAAGTCAGCGAAAGAAGAAGAAGAAGAAGAAGAAGAAGAGGTAGGTACTGTTAGGTGTTAGAGAGAGAGAGAGAGAAGGAGAGAGACCGTAAATATGTCTGAGAGAGAGAGAGAATTGAAACGGGCAGAGAAGGGAAAGCAAAACGAAGGGATAGCGATTTACTGTTACGGTGCTCTCTCTCTCTCTCTCCGATTGGATTTTTTTGATTTTGCTTTGATTTTTTTATTTTTTTATTTTATTTGTGAGAGAGAGAGAGATGAGAATATTTTACAGTTTTATGCCACACGACAACAAAACTTTTTCAAGATATCGCCACTAACCTGCTCTTCTTAACCGTTCGATCTTATGCGCGTGAATCTCACTCTCTTCTTTTCGCCTCATTTAATTTGATTTTTTAGGTTCAGTTAATGATGTTCTTTTTTATCCCCCTGTTGTTTTGCGATTTTCTTATGTTCATTATTGCATCTTTTCTTGGAACGAAATCATTATAATGTTGCTTTATTTATTTTCCTTGTGTTATAAAAAATTAAAACTTAAAATTAGTGAATAAATAACCCAATTTAATGAACTAAAATGATTAGAGGAATAATAACAATTATACTTCTCTACCTTGTAAAAGGGACTTAGCCCTTTGATTTTTTTTCTTCTAGAACAAAGAAATTTCAATGAAGTTACCTTCCCTTAAAAAATTGTAAAAATAAATTAAATCAATGTTTTAGAATGAATTATAGCAATGTTAGAAAGACAAAAAATAATAATAATATGTGTTATAAATAAGACCATTTTTCATGTTTTGAGGAGGCATAGTGGAATTAAAATTTACAATGTCTATTTTTCAATTTAGATAAAGGAAAAAAAATCATTACGTTGTTTGTTGTCAACATTTTTTTTACTTTTTTTTTGCTTTTTTCTTACAGATTTTTTTTCCTTGTTTTGTACAAATGAAAATATATTGTTTAGTTTGTTTCTCTACAAAATAAAAGAAAATCCAAAAGGATGAGTTTTCAAATTTATCTTGTTTTGTGCGGTTGCAATTAGCAAGCTGTCTTACTTTTAATCTTTTTTTGTTTTTAATTTAAGAAGAAGATAATTTCAGAGAATCTTTTGAGTCTTTACTTGAAAACCGATTGTATATGGATATTAAAAAAAGATGCCTTTCTTATTTTCCCTTTTTCTGTTAATATTTTGTTTTCTTTTTGCTCACTGCGCGTGGGGGAAATCATACGGTAGCCCTTTAAGAATGTCTGTTGTGAATTCATTATTTTCTTAAAACTATTTATATATCTTCTTTCCCTTTTTTAATAATAAAAATATAAGAGACATTCTTTATGACTTTATGTGATTTAGATTATTATACTAGAAGTTTTATTTATTTTGTTATTCTTTATCTCTTCAATATAGTTTTTTTACCTTTGCATGAGCAAGTAAAATAAAAATAAAAAATTATAAAGGGACCATTTTTTTTTGTACTGTTATAATTTGTAAATGAGCAAAGCAAGTTGGTCTTTTTTTTTTCTTTTTGTCACACAGTTGTCTTTTATTTGTTCAAAATGCCTTTAAAGGCAGTATAAAAAAAAAATCGATTTCGTCATTATATATCTTTTTCGTAAAGTTGGACATCAATGGCGCGTGGGGAAAGCAGATAGATGGGTGGCCAGTTAAAGAATGTTTGTTGTGCTTTTTTATTCTAATTTAAATTTTATTAAATTAGTTTTTCTATTTACTTATTTATTTGACTCCGTTTCTGTTACTTATTTATTAAATTAAATTAGATAGACGGGCCTCTGCTTCTGTTTTTTTCCGATTTTTTCTTGGTTGACAAAAGGCCCACTATCACATCATCGTAGATTCTCAAGTTTAACAAATGACCCAATCATCATATTACCAACAAGTCAAATGACCCAATCCCAATGCTACCTTCCAAGTAATAATATCATGTAAATATTTCCCAAAAGTCGTCTTTCGATACGAGCCATGAAACATCGCCACAAAGATTCAAAAACCATCAATCGCAAACATATATTTATATATCACCCAATAAGTCCGCAGAGATATATAGATTGTAATAAAAACAAGATATGCCCAAAAAAGAGAAGTCTGATAAAATAACTGACGACGAATAATTTATGAGAAATCCCGCAACAACCAGAAAAAAAAAAAAAAAAAAAAAGAACACAGTCAAGGGGAAAAGAAAAATAATGTCTCAATCCTCCTCCTCGGACTCGGACTCAGCGCTCTGGAGCCACTCCACAAAAGGCTTAACATTCTTCCAAACCGGCGAACTTTTCTCGACTCCTGTCAGACCCTTGTTGTACCATTCCAACACAAACTCTTCTTCAATGATGTCTTGGTCGTACAATGCTTTTAGAACCAGAGCCACTTCTTTCACCGCTTCTTCGTTCCCTTTCTTTCCACAGAATGTCCCGATTGAACTGAGAAGATGCATCTGTGATCCATCCTCTTGGATTGTTGCTGCAGCCGCTATGTAATTCTTCTTCTTTGCCACTTCTTTGGCGAATCCCTTGCCCACGCCTTCAAAGAGAGCATTGAAGAGTGCGTCCATGACATCCTGTGGAGGATCAGAGAGAGAGGAGATGAAACTTTTGAGCTCACTTATTGGTGACCCTTTCTTAAGATACTCTTTCATCTCCTGCACAAGATTCTTCTCCTCTTGCTGAGGATTCTCAGCCTCCTTCTTCTCTTCTGCCTCTAAAGCAGTAAGCATCACCAATTCAGCAGTTGCAGCACTCAACTGTTCTTTCATTCTTTTCTCAGCAGCTTCTCGGGAAGTATCGGTTTGCCACTGGACACCATCATCATCGTCTTCATCCTCATCCACCTCCTGCACATTCTCTTCATGCTTGGGGCTTATATCCTCATCAGAGGAATGGTTCTTGGACGCCTTAGAAGAAGCATCCTTCCCGTTAGAAAGTGCCTTCTTCTTAGCCTCTTTCTTCAGTCTTCTCTGCTCCTCGTCAGCTGCCTCGCCTTCTTTAAGCCTCTCCTTCTCAGCTTTCCTCATTGCTTTCTTGTCCTTAGCTCCCTTCTTCTGCTCTGGTGGGTTCTTGAGGATGAAATTAGTCAACTTGTCCCTCATGTCAACGGCAGAGATAAACCCGCAAGCAGCACACTTGAGATTGACCATCTGCGTCTTTGTGATAATGATCTCGGTCTCAGGGTTTCCACATCCATAGCACTGGACATACTTCTTAATGAAATTCTCGAGAAGAGCAGCAAGCTTGGACGTGTTGTGTGCTCCATTAACAAGGGATGTCCCAGTCTTCTCGTCAAATTTGGACTGGGCTCCAAGCTCACAGCCAAAGTACTTGGTGGTGTAAGAAGCAGGTCTGGCCAAGGCCTTGGCAATCTCGACATTGTTGATAATGTTGGTCTTGATGCCATTACCTTTGCCTTCAGTCTTGGTAACCATCTTAGGCATCTTGTACCTGTAGAAGGCATCGTTAGCGTTGGAAGCACCAATGTTCTGCAGCGCCATCTTGGAAAGTTTGTCTTTTCTTTTTAGCTGAAAAACTGGTCAGAGAGGGGAGGGGTCTCCGGTTTAAAGATGCGAGAGACTAAAGTGATGGAAGAACTAGTAGTCCTTAATTCTGGATGTAGGACAGTGTTTTCCAAGCAACCAGATCGACAACAAAACGGAGATATCTTGTCAGACATAAAAGAAAGCTTCAAAATTCGATTCTTTGGTTCCCCACTCGCAGGTCCTGTAAACAAAAAACACCTGAGAAAGAAACAATGAACCAAAAAAATTAGAGTAATCAAGGTAAATCTCACACAATATCAATATACCACAAAAACTGAATCAATCACCATTAACGTTACAGACATAGATGAACTGCAAACACTAGACAAAACGAGAGAAAGGAGTAAGGCGTTATAAACAAAATTTAAAGCACAGATTTGTGTCAAACCTAATCAATCTCTAAGATTCATGAATCCTAATCGAAACCCAGAATTGAAATTAAAATCGTTAGCTCAAACTCAAATCAGATAATGAAGATTTCAACGCTTAACGAAAATCAAAACAAAACCCGTCTAAACAACGCAAACCAACAAACAAATCACACAAGATTGAAACACCAACAACAGCAACAAACAAAGAAATCTCGAAGAATATAGCAGAATACCTAAACACACGACTTGAGAAATTCTTAACAAAAAAAAAAGATGGGAAGGATCTGGGAGAAATAGATAGATACCTCTTAGAATCGAAGAAGACGATGAATCAAAAGTGATTGACAAAAAAAGGATTTGGAGATTTCTTAAGAGAGAGGCGTTTGGTTTAAATAAGAGGAGAAATTAGGTTTAACTTATGAATTTTGGAAAAATATCATTTCTTTTTTGTTTTTTCTCCTTTTCACTTTTTCTATTTTTCCGTTTCAAAGTGTATTTCTATTTCCCTTCTCCGCAAGTAAATTACTCTCAATTCATCTTTTTGAAGCGTGCCTTGCTCATATTTATTATTATGCCCTATTAAATCATCTTAAACACAAAATAATTTTTTGTTTACAAAAAAAAAAAAAATTAAACACAAGTGAATTTTTTGCTTTTGTTACTCTCTCTCTTAATCTGGTTAATATTTTTTGTAAGTCCATGTACTTTCAATTTTGACATGCAAGTTTATAGAAATAAAATCATATATCATCATTATTATAAAAGTAAATTATTGACAAAAAATAAATAAAAGTACATTTTAATTTAATTTTTTGAGATGGTGTTATTAATTTAAAAGTACATAGATGAGAAACAAAAGTAACTAAAAATCCACAATAATTATAGATAGTTTTGTTTCAAATGATATAAAAATAATAATTATAAAACACTGATTTTTTATAAGTATTACTATTATCTATTATATATTAATTTTAAAATGCTACAATTGCATGTGTCAAGATAATTATTTATATCCTTGTATTCTTGTTAATGTATGTGAATCTTAATATATATATGATTAGAAAATCAATAGATGATATGTACTAAACAGAAACAAATCAAATAAGAAATATTTTGAAGACATGTGTCACTATTAGTAAGAAAATTAAAAAACTATAGATAAGTAATTGGACAAGTTAAGTATACTGTATGATGCATTTTTGAAAAAAAAATTATAACTATGTTTTGCTTTGCTTTTGCTTTTGTTTTGAATACTTTATTCTAAAATATAGTTCAAAAGGATAAATATAAATGAAAAGGCTAAACAAAAATTATTTATCTAAAGTTGTTTGATGAGAGTAAAATTTATCTAAAGAAAGAAGAAGTGAGGAGAATTTGAAGACACATAAAATTTATACTCGCTATAAAAATGCCAAATCTTAATTTAAGACAAATTTATTTGTTTATAAAACGAAAGCTATATATAGATCACAGTTGATGTAAAATTTGTCTGAATATCGTTCTTTTAGTTGTTTATTAAGTGCAAACAATTATATATCTAAACATCAATACATATGTTATGCTTAACAACTTGACCGTTCGATTCAGCTGGATCCTTCATCAAGTTGAAGTATTCCTTCACTGATTCTGCAGGTTGCAATTCACCTTGCGTGTGTACATATTACAAATTTGTTTCAACTGAGCTCAGCTAACTATCCATGTCTACCTAATGTTTCTTTATGATTGTATGCGTAATGTCATTTGTAATGCGTATGCGTGTTATGTTATGACTATACTATATATTTAGGCCACTAATCAATTAAGATATACATCTTTCTACTACCATATATCTTTTGCATGCATCGTCATTTTCTAAATCCCTTCCATTATCATTACCAATTTACCATCATCCCCTCTAGCTGAAAGAAGAATTATTATCAGGATCCTTTTTAAGATAAACTTCATGAAGACATATCTAAAAATACACACTGTGCAACTCTAATTGCAACAATTCTTCTCCATCTTCCGTTGTGGGCTTTGTTTGCATCATCCATTTTCAGTTGATGGGCCTCACAGATTCTATTGGGCCTAAACACTTTGAAATTTAGAGGTTGTGATAAATAATCAAATTTCTCAAGGAACCTGTTTTTTAAGGAAATTTTGAAACTACTTTCAACATACAGTACTAGTCGAAACATGGTAAATTTATCAAAACAAGTTAAAAACAAAAACCCTAGAGGGGCGTCTTTTAAGTTACAAATGAATATTTGCACCCCAACTTCGAGACTGATCGTTTATTATTCTCCTTACACTTTTCATTTGTAATGGATCTTAAGAAGTGAGTAGTTTTTCAAAGCAACACACATTATTGGATTACTTTACAACATATCCAGGAAACTGTCCCTTGCTTATTTGTACCTTCCGAGCAATTCATTGATGCTTGCAAAACTCCCTAAAGTGTGGCGTGATAGAGTTAAATAAACGCAGATGATTCTTAGTCAACACATTAAGCCTCACTCGCATGTCAGATAACTAACACTAAGGCAAATCCTGCATTGCTCTACTTTTACTATTAGCTAACATTATATTTAGTTGGTTGATGCACTAGAAAAGGCTTTTAAACAAAGTGTCACTGAAATAGTAGTCCGTCTACTCCTAAGCTCATCTGACTGGACATCCAAGTCTCACCAAGCATACTCAAAGAAGAGACGAAGTTCTTTTAAACAACCAAAACAATTATTTATGAGTATATTTATGGAACCTTGTTCTCTGTTTTGAACCTTCCTTTTTAAAAAAATATATTATTATTGTCATCTTACAGTACAAAGGTTATTGTTTACATGCTTGATGCTTCCGTTCTGTTATGTGAATCTCAAAATATGATTAGAAAATCAATAGACAGCCAATCAAATCAAGTTTGGGATTTCAAGACATGTGTTGTTATTTATTTGCTAACACTATTAACAGAAATTAAATTTATAAGATAATGATTAAAGTAATTATCAAATTTGTTAATGAATCCTATATTTTAGGGAATTTGGAAATACGAGTTGGAATACGAGTTGCCAACTTGCCATTATAAAAAGGGCACAAACAAAACTAATTAGACGTAACTAGAACGAACAAAAGAAACTATTAGCAGAGTAATTATGAAATCACGTCTTTGTAATCTCAAGCTTTACAAGTTTGATGTACCTTTTGAGTCTGATGTCGGAGTTATGGTACTAAGTTTTAAAGGTGTACACGAGTGTGAACGGTTTCAGTTGACGCGATACACAGGAAGAAAACAAAGAGGAGGTTCAAAAGCTGGATTGTCCAAAGCATTCATAGATATGGTCGATTGGTCGATCATGATGGAACATGAGTCCCACATAGCTAATCATATCTTCGACTATATTGTCTCCAATTTCTCGTTCAAGGATCTTGATACCGTACCTCCCGCGTGTCCTGTCCTCGTCTTTCACTTTCAAACTAGAGAGTTTGGTGAAGATCATGTCCCTCATGAGATTGACATCGCATCTCTTGTTTTGTCCACAATGAGAACCAGAGACTCTGTTCTGAGCGTTGAAGAAGCAAGAGCTAGACTCGTACCAATTGCTCCACCAACGACAGAGATAGTAGATTGTTACCAAAGTCAAGAATTGTGTTGTATATGTGAAAAGGGTATCCGAAAGAAGATGAGATTGTTCATAAAACAAAATGCAATCACATTTTCCACGCAACTTGTATCTCTCGTTACTTGTTGCACACTCCTCGATGTCCTCTTTGCTCCGTAGAGTTGCCACCTGTCGACATCCGAACTCTTCTCTTCTTCTAAGACATATATCTATTATATATGTTAAAGACAAGATTCGATTGAATTCGTCTATCCAAGTTATGATTTTACTGTTTCTTGTTTTTTATACTCCAAAACTGCTAAATTTGTCACCTCAAGACGAAACCAAAGATACTCAAATACCATAGATAAACGAACATCGATAAATACGTACCAAACATATTGGGCTTATTGGGTCGAATAAGGTCTGATTAGTGATACATGTTAAGCCCTAACGAAGGCTAAGGGCTAAGATGGGGGAGGCAATTTGCAAGTGTATCTGAAAAATCCCATAAAACCGCACATCACGGCGTGCGACGTGAGTGATGCGATCCACGAAAACGACACGCATTCTTCCGCCTAACCATCTTTGACGGTCTCTAATTACATTCTCTTAAAATGCTTTTTTTTTTTGACAATTCGTCTCTATTAAGACATTCGTTCACATCTCGTTGCTATAGAAAGATTTATTTATGATATTGGGATTTTCTTTTTCTTTGAACAAACTTATGTACTGAGACTTCTTTGTAATAGCCTAATAGGCTAGTTAATGAGATATATAATATGAAAATAATTTAATATTATTTCCTGTACTCCGTTATGCTTTGTGTGATCTTCACACAAATTCGAATGCCAAATTATATTTCTTTCTGTTCCAAAGGAGTAATTTGTTTTGTGTGTATTTAAAATTACTGACTTGGTATTTTCGACGGTGTGAATAACATTAAAGTTGAATAATAAAAGTCAAAAAGTGTAATAAAATGTTTTTGTTCGGAAACTTTCTAATTTAATTTTTGGGTCTCTTCCCATGAAATGTTCTTGATTGTACTCTCTCTCTCTCTCTCTCCCTTTAAATCTGCACATCTCTTTCTTTCTTTTTCTGATCTCACTCTCTCTCTCTCTCTTGTTTCAAGCTCTCCACGATGAAGCACAGAGTCTCCAAGAGAGTAATCTCTCTCAAATGGGTTCCATTTCTCTGCATCTCTTTCTTCGCTCTTGGAGCAATCTTCACCTCTAGGTCTCAAAGTTTCTTCTTTTATCTTTGTTTCTCCTCTACTAATCTTCAGACTCTATCCTTCTTCTTTCTTGTTCTGCCTTTTTGTTGCTGTTTGGTTTCTCTTAATGGGTTTTTTTTTTTTGCTTCTGTCTCAATTTTGGGATTTGTGGATTGTTCAGGTCGTGGGAGCCGTCGTCAGATTCCGGAAGTCAGCTAATTTCACAGCACCGTCGTGATCAGGAACTTCAGATTGTGTCAGACGATTGTGCTCATAATAAAGTATGTTTCTTGATTCTATTTAGTCTGAGACATTGCTATAATGAGCGGTCGATAAAACCAAGAGTTACACTAGATAAGGGAATCTGACTTTGGTAGCTCAGTTTTGAATTATGAATTCATAGTTTTCATAAGTTCCGTCAAATGAGTTTAGCTCTAAACTTTTGAAGATAGGCTGCGATGATTGATTGTGTGTGGACTTTGTTTCGAAAAGATTTGGGTTTTATTCGTGTTATGTTTCATCATCTGATTTGCTCATATACAGAAGTCTACACAAGAAAAAGATGTAATTGACGAAGTTTTGAGAACTCAGCAAGCTATACAGTGCGTGAGAAAATTGAGTTTTTTCTTTTCGTCTTTTGTAAATCAACTTGTTTTCTCTCTTTATGTTATAGCTTTCCTTAATGTCTTTGGAGGGGTGACAGGTCGTTGGATAAGTCGGTTTCTACGCTTCAAATGCAATTGTCTTCTACAAGGAGCTCTCAGGAGACAGTTGATGGCTCAGAAACCACCAGTTCTTTAACAGGTGCAACCCCGAAGAAGAAAGTTTTCATGGTAATGGGAGTTAATACTGCATTTAGCAGTAGAAAACGGCGGGATTCAGTCAGAGAAACGTGGATGCCTCAAGGTTTTGTTTTAAACTTAATGCCACTCATCTTACTCTTAGTACTTACCGCTAGCTAATAGCTGTGCATTTTTCACAGGGGAGAAGCTTGAAAAACTGGAACAAGATAAGGGGATCGTCATCAAGTTCATGATTGGACACAGGTGTGAGGCTGCTTCTCTTTCTCTCTAAGAAGTTAATATATTTTGAGGAATGTCATGAATTAAGATGGAGTTTGAGTCTCAACTGTATACAATTGTGTTGCCAGTGCGACGTCAAATAGCATATTGGACAGAGCTATTGATTCAGAAGATGCTCAACACAAAGACTTCCTTAGGCTGGTGAGACAATTTATAGATCTCTAAGAAAGAATACAACTTTTCACTGTTGTTTCTCTTTAAAATTCGTATTGGTTGCAGGAGCATGTTGAAGGATATCACGAACTCTCAGCAAAAACCAAGATATTCTTTTCCACTGCAGTAGCGAAATGGGATGCGGAGTTTTATATCAAGGTCGATGATGATGTTCACGTCAATCTCGGTAAAACAAAAACCAGCTTCTACTCTTTCCTTTTTCTGTTATCTCCTTAAATGGAAAGTTATAAACTTTTCCTTTCAGGTATGCTGGCTTCCACACTAGCCCGTCACCGCTCTAAACCGAGGGTCTATATTGGGTGTATGAAATCAGGGCCTGTTCTTGCTCAAAAGTAATTTCACTTGCATGACTCCAGCTTCAAATCTCTCTGGCATTACTGTTATAGAGTACTGTTAAAAAAATCCATTAAATTTGTTTCAGGACAGTGAAGTACCATGAACCTGAGTATTGGAAATTTGGAGAGGATGGTAACAAATACTTTAGACATGCTACGGGACAAATCTATGCCATCTCAAAGGATCTTGCCAAATACATATCCATCAACCAGTACGTAATTCAACATCTGTATCATAAAGAGCCTTTCACCTTCAATAACAATCATATTTTTGTTCTAAAAAGTTTAAACTTTGTCTGTAGGCCAATTTTGCATAAGTACGCAAATGAAGATGTGTCTTTGGGGTCCTGGTTTATTGGCCTTGAGGTTGAACATATTGATGACCGCAACTTCTGTTGTGGGACTCCTCCAGGTAAGGCTCATCACACAAACAGATTTAGGCAATCTTCCTCTTGTCTCTATTGTTTCATTGGAGTAACCATTCTCACATATGGTTATGTTCCACTGAATTTACACTCTCGCAGATTGTAGATGGAAGGCAGAGGCCGGCGATGTGTGTGTGGCCTCATTCGAATGGAGCTGCAGTGGGATTTGCAAGTCTGTAGAGAGAATGAAGATAGTCCACGAGGTGTGTAGTGAAGGAGAAGGAGCTGTTTGGAATACACTTCTCTAGAAGATTATTCAGTTCCCAATCAGCTTGGTCGAGCAAATACTAAAGATCTATCTACTCATAAGTTTGACAGAGTGCTGCAAGAAAAGGGAAAAAGCGAGAGAGGGAGACGAGATGGCAATTTTTGTATAGAACCAAAGGTATACGATATAAAACTGGAGAATACAGAAACCTTAGTTGTTGTGAAACAGTTTGTGCTTAAGTTAATGGATTTTTGATATTTCTTCTACTCGAGTTGGATCATGCTAATGTAATCATGAAAATGAGGACAAATGAGTTATTAACGTGTTAAGAAACTGCATAACTAAAGAATTTTCAGACAACTATTATTCCCTTGGTCAGATTTTAGACACAATTGATGAGTATTTACACTTATGCAACCCTCTTTTTTCCAGCTCATTTATACAAACAGAATTACACGTGACCGATCCTTCTTTATATATATGGTAACAGGGAGCTTTTTTCTCACTTCCCTGAATCCAATCTGAAGCCTTTTTTCTATAGAGATGTTACCCTCAAATCTCAAAAATTACCATAGGCACAGTTTGTATCAGTACCCAAAAGCTTCACAATAGCCTCTTCAGCTGAGTCTCAGTTGCAGCCACAGCTTTTCTTGTAGCGATATCATCGGTTCTTTTTGCTTTAAGCCAGTTGGTGAATCCTGGTTGGGGCGCAGAAGGTGATGTCCACCAATGGCCACTATCTAACTAGGGTAAGAGCAATGAGCCCATAATTGTCTACTCTTAGCTTTACCCGTCTTTACCTGACTGATCACCTGAAGATGTCTTCTGGTTCACTGGCTTGTCAGATGAAGCTGCCTTCTGGTCTTCCTGAAGGCAATCAACAGGAACATAGAAATATCCCTTTGGGAGCCGCCGGTTCTTGAAAGAAGCTTCATCTGATGTCATCACGAGCTCTTTTGCAAATGTTTCTACATGCTGCTATTATCAGTTATCAAGACAAACAAGTATAAGATCCTATGAATGTGCTGAGTTGAGCACAAAGAGTCGCACTTAACAACAATCCATGTAACTTACGACAAAGTTAATCTTCTCACCTTCTTAGGCTTTGACCCTTTATCTCCATCCTCTGAAACACTAGGTGAGACTATACAATGTTTTCGGGGAACGGTTTTCCCAGAAAAAATCTGTCTTTCGGTTGGCTTACGAGAAAACCGACTCTTGGAAGTAGCACTGTCATCAGTTTTCTGATCAGTGTCCATTAACATGGGACCTTTGCCACGTCGCTTAACAGAGACTGTGCTGTCAATGGTGATATCATCCGACCTCTGTATTGCTTCACTGCCAGATATATTACTATCAGGATGACCTTTTACTGATGTTGTGGCTGAGTCTGACGAAACTTCTGGAGGAGAAAATGGATTACGGACATGTAATGAACGTGCAGCGTGATCCCTTTTGGCAGCAAGTATTTCATGTGAGGAAATAGCCAACTCTCGCTGCAAAAGGTCAAGCTCCCATGTGATTCGAATCAATGAAAGGAAGATTTTAGGTTTAGGCCTAGTTTTAACATACCTTTAATTTCTCCCTCTTGACTATCCGCTCACACAGAAGGCGTAACCTCTCAAGTTCAACCTGGAGGAGATTCAGCAAATTCAAAGAATCAAAAATAATTTGATAAGAAATGGGAAGGAATACACTTTACACAGCAATGTCAAAATCATTTTGCCCTCGCTAAGACCTCTTACCCTATAATGCTTGAGACTTTTCAGTTCCTCTGCCCCATGTTTCTGAGAATCGGCCTGCAAACACAGTTATACAAATATAAGCAAGCTTATCATACAAGTAGGTCATAATAAAGATGGTGAAAGAGATAAGAAATACGACCTTTGCCTTCTGCTCCAAACTGTGCTTCTCACAGTAAGCCTTATGCGGAAGTTTCCCACCACCAGTCATATGAAACCCTACGCTTCTGGCACAGGAGGGGTGGAATGTCGTCTGGCAGTTGCCATAACTACACTGTAAAATGATAACATAAGCTTTTTGTTCAATCTTAGTCCCAATACTTGAAATAGATGTCTTTACATAATAAGGTAAAAATGGGTGACTACCTTAATGCATGCACCAAATATCCGTTGGCATACACAACAATTGTCCTTGTTCTTGGCCAGAGCCTCCTAATAAGGCACCATACATTGAGATTAGCATTTTTAAACACTTTAAACGTCATAGTAATTCAGTATTATAATCATATAAACCCACCATTCCTTGCACAGGATTTATTTGTCCCCTTCTGAAGGTTGATTCCAAGGACCACTGCAAGATATTATACACCAAGTTATTTGCAATGTTCAATACTGAATATTGTACACCAGATCCTGCTAATAACTGCTGCCGTAGAAGGAAAATTCACCTCAGCACAAAAAGCATGTACCCATTCCTCATTTGTGGTTTTTCTAAAAGCCCCAGTTAAGCCACCACATAGAGTACACTCTGTAGAAGAATCTGGTTTTTCTCGAACATTGAAAGAAGGTTCCGAAGATGACTCCGCACATAGCTCACAGTACCAGGGACCAGTGGATTCTTTAGCACATTTGTAGCAATCCATATGAACAGCAACCTGTAATTGGAGCCTGATAAGATACCATACTGTGCATAAAAGCTGTCCCTAGAACAGAATCAGGCCTTAATGAAACATTAGAAATAAATCACAGTAAATGTCTATCACCTTGCAACTAGAGCACACGACAATCAGATTCCATATAGTTTCGGAGCGTCTGCAGATGTCACAAGTTCGTGGATTTTCTACTGAAAAGTCTGGTGCACGATGATCAGACCGCTTCTCAGATGGTGGCCCAGAGACAGCCATCTTTAAAAGTGTTTCCTTCGTCTGAGGCACTAGATGAGAGCTACCAACAACTTTACGTCTAGAATTACTTATCTGTCCGATATATAACCAGTAAAAATCAAGGATAAGAAACATGGGAAAACCAAAATTAATACGGAAGAAAAAAAAAATCTAAAGGTAGCAACAAAAACCTCTTGTTGTGCATGTTCTTCTGACAAATCTTTCCTAAGCGATGTATTCCTAGAAGATGTCGCCGCTGCTGCGGTAGCAGCAGCTAGAACAGCCTGGGCTTGTTTGTGTCTTTTCTCTTTCCTACCTTGCTTTCTTGCTTCCCTGACATCATGGAAATATTTGTTGACCAGAACATCATCCCATCTTCGTCCATGTTGTTCATCAATCTCCAGAGGCAGTTTTTTGGCAACTTCATATACTAAATTGTCTGAGAAAAAGGACCAATTTTAAGGATACTATAACATAAATTATATACTGCAGAAAACATTGAAAATTGTGACCATGCAAATAAAAATGGACATTAAATTCACCAGAAAGTTGCTTTCTTGAAACTGCGGTGCCAAGTAACTGAAGCTGATAATATAGAAGTTCCCCTTCCACTTCATCTTCAGGAGACAGATCCAGTATGCCCAATTTCCTAGCTTTAGATAACTGACGAAATGTGTCTCCACAGTGTGCACTCTGATTTTGGTGATTATGAAAGATAGTATGATCACCGGCGCCCTGCAGATGTATGTTTCCTTCTTCAGAGCCTGCCAAATGTTTTAATGTTACCAAATGTCCTAAAAGCTGTGGCATAAAGCATAAAGTCTCTACCATCAGGTTTCGTTGACATTTTAGCCACATCAGAATCCGTGCTGCTTTTCAGGGTCTGTCCCTTGCCCAGTTCTGACAATTCTTTGTAGATATAAGGATGAGGACTGAAACCAGGATCACTGCTTTATAAATAAATAAATAAAAAGAGATTTAGTAGGCAGAATGTTTATGTAGCGAAGCGAACAACAGAGACTGTCTCCCAATTGTGTTTCTGGAGCTTACATGAGATCCAAGATAATGGGGGTCGGACAGTTCAAATTTCCACAATTTTGAGAACTAGTTGGCCCCAAGGAAAAGGTATTGTCCAGCATGACACCAGAAGAATTGGAGTTTGATTGTTCACAATGATCATCTACGCAAAAGATTAAAAAACATAATCAGGAGCAGCTACCATCAACTAAGAAAAAATAGATTATTAAGTCATATAAAACATTGGACGATAAATAGACATCTTTCATAGAAATTACCAACATACAAAAAATATATATCTGCAAGCTTGACGGAAAACTATATGGAATATGGAAGAAAATAATGAAAAGTTAAAACATACCAGAAGGAAGATCTGAAAATTTCTCATGATGAACTTCCTGATCAACCACTATTGATTTCTGTATATGAGAAACAAGGCACAACATCAATTATTTCATCAGGAGGTCCTTGTGCATAAAAGGAAATAACACCAAGCTTGTGTTTAGCCAAACTTGGTGACAGATCTAACATGCCTAACAAATGAACATCGTGGGAAAGCATCTAGGTCTAAGGAAAATACAGAACAGTTAAGATTGTGTCATTACCTGTTCTTCCGGAGAATGATCAGGTGCCAAACTCACACTTCCTTCTTTCGTCAAAACCGATCCATTGGCTTTAGCTTCATCAACCACAATTCCATTACCATTACAGTTTTCAGTTAGCGTACATATTGTATTATCCTCCATATGATTACAAATGTTGCTTTCAATTGTTCGCTCTATAGAAAAAGCTTTAGTGACAGCAGGATCTAAGATGTCAGAATCTAGCATCACTATGTCTTCAGTACAGATAGCCCGACGCTCAGATTTAGTAGTGTTCTTACATTTAAAATTTTCGCCTTTATTTCCAGAACCCATGTGTGCATGCTGGCTAAGCCATTTAACTACTTTGCCTAGTAAATCAGGTAACAAGTCTCCATCCTACAACGAAATTTTGAAATTAATACACAGAAACTCACAATGAGACCACCATGATTACAACAGGTATATGAGAAGTTTTACGAGTTACCGTAAGTTTGACACTCAAAGCATCAGGATTGACCCCAATATCTGCAGCCACAACCTTCACATCCACTTTCCCCAGGTCGATCAACTTAAAAAAAGTGTGAATCAGTGAGCAAGAGAGTCAAAAGGAATAGACAACCCAACTTTTAAGAATACACAAACCTTTTTCAGAATCAATCCAAAACTAAGCGAATTGGACAGAGTTCTTTCATCCTCGTTGCTTCTCCCCGTCATTCCTGATTCAACGTGGTCTGTTGCAGAGCAATTAAATTTTGAATGCGGTGATTCTAGTTCTCGCAATTCGCTGTTTCTTGAAATGTCAGAACCTGTACCCGGTGTTCCTACATCAACTCCATTCTCATCATTGCTAAGGTGACCTTCTCTAACAGATTCCGACGGAAGATGACATATAGGAGAACGACTACCAACGGCGGCATTCCTTTCTCCTCTCTCCACAAACTTTCCACTTTCTTGACTATCGGAATGCTTTGAGCAGAAAGCTCGCAGTTCGACCTACAAATTTTTCTTATATTGTTACAGAGAAAAACCCCACTCCGTACGATTTCATTCTGTAAGGGATGAAACTTACAGTATCACACCCATGTTTTCCCCAGACCTCTAGTCTATTCCCTGCCTCTCTTGCACATATAGGATGGAAAGAAGTTCTGCATAATCCTGTGATCAAGAGATTGTAACAAACTATCAATTACTAATCTCTGATATCCACCAAAGAATGACGACATAATAATGTGAATCAAAGAAAAGTGAGCCAAGTTGTTCCATGATGAAGCTATTAACTTAGATAAGTAAATCAAGTAGGAACATCAGATAGCGGGGCACAGAGAAGGGTAACAAATTTGCCTATTGATTTTAGTAGAATCCAAGCCGTGTGCATTAAACTTTAACAGCAACCCAGCAGAGCAACATATTCATATAAGAAAAAGAAATAACTACTTCACCCAAATTGCAATCATCACAAATTAGCCTACTAAGAATATGAAAACACCGCATTGTGATAAACAATGTCGACAAAGTGTTTTCCAGAAAAAAATGATCCAAACAACTGGATCATCCAGAGCAGATAGAGGTACAACAACAACTATGAGCGCAGCCAAATGAACCCAAATTCAGGTGAAATGTTGGACATTTTTGTTAAGTTGTTCCAAGGACGAAGCATCTTAAGTAAAATACCCAAACTAATACCAGGCCATTAAGAAAAATCAATGCAACCCATGCTCAGAAGTAGACTGGATGCACAGAAAGCAACAATACATACCATTACAACAGCGAATGCAAGCACCAGATTTCACCTTGCACAAGTTACACAATAACTTCCTCCGAGTTTCTTTTATTCCAGGCAAATTCAAGATGGGCTCCATTTTTTTCAAGTCTTCTATATACACCTCAGGCATCCACAGAGAGCAAAACAGATGAGCAAACTCCGCCGGCCCACCATTCTCAGTTTTTGAGAGAACAGGTTTCAGGATGCCACCTTTTTTTGGACAAAGCAAGCATGGTCTTTTCGAATCACCACGACCATTCTCTAGCTCACACCAAGAGCACAACCATGATTTATCTGAATCTTCAAGCAGGCCATAACATCTTTTATGAGCTGTAGCTTTGCAGGAAGTGCAAACAATCAACTGGTGATGATATTCCTTGGAATCAGCAGTGCAGCAAAAATCACATAACAATGCATTCCCTTCACAAGGAGCAGCCACCATTAATTTCCCCAAGCCTGCATCACCACCAAGAAGCTTCCGCTTTTTGGAGGGCCTTTCTGATGTCAACAAAATCCTATTTCTAATACCTAAAACCCATTCTAAACTACCAGAATAGTCTGACCCAGAGGAGATTTCATTCCCCACATTGTCAACACCCATTGGCTGCTCAACATCTTTGTTTATGTCTTCGTTTTTTACTGTGCCTTCAGATATCTCTTTTCTGAGAAGGTCCTTAGTTTCTTCCAGAACAACATCCTCACTCTTTGCACTGGCATCGGTTTCCCTCTGTTGGATATTAATAGATTTGTATTCCACCGATGGAACTGAAAAGCAATTCCTAGAAGACAAAGATCGTAGAGATGCTAAATCTGACAAAGTTTCTAAATCAGGCAATTCTAAGCGCCTAAAGTAGTCCTCATGTTCAAGCCAGATACTCCCAGTTCTCAACTTATCCCCTTGCCTAGAAGACGTTTTCTTCTTCTTTTCCGTCCCAGAATGAGACTTCTTGTGCCTTTTCTTGTTATCAGTACGGTTGAGCAAATTAGCTAGCCCAACGGGTAGAGTAGGCACACTTAACCCTGAAGTGGAACCATCTTCAGGAATATCAAAGGGTGACCTCTCAGAAAGGTTCTTGCTAGCCTGAGCTAAGAAACCGATATCCAACGAACCCATATCCTCAAACCCCTTGTTCCCATTATCACTATCTAACGCAGCACTACGAAATGGGCGACAAGGCCTCTCTTCAGCACCACAACCTCCGTCCACTCCCCTACCCATCATCTTCTTCGGCCACTGGCATTGGTCAACGTTCATAACCGACACAAACCACCACCAAAAACTCCCGCGCGGCCCATGAAAAGGGAACCCTAGCCCTAAATCCCCAAATCCTCCAAAAAACAATTCCGCCTTCAATTTCACCCTTATCCAAAACAACGGAAGAAAGAAACAGCCAATTAAGCAAAACCCTAACCCTAATTTCGCGAGCCTAAAACCTAACCCTAGCCTAGCTCCCCCGTACCAATCTTGGCGCCTTTCAGATTAAGAACGATAGAAGAAGAATAAGACGAATTAAAAAAAAAAAAAAAAAAAAAGCGAGGCTAAGATTAGGGTTTCTTCTTCAAATTTCTCTGGTTCATGTTCTTTCGGATCCTTCCCACGACTGGTTCGGTTCTTTTTTTTTTTTCAGAGAGATTTTTTCGCGTTATTTGCAGGCAACAGAGGAACGGTTCATTTTTTTGGGGCAGAAATTGTTTTTTTCTCTTTTTTTGTGTGCCAGCTTTTTTATTCAGAGAATATGATAGAGAGGTGTGAGGTCTAGTGTAGCACTCGTGCACCTCCTTTGTTTCGACACGTGTTCTATTTTTACTCGTTAGATGACTCACGAGATACGACCCCGTTAATTCATTCGTACGGATATGCTTTTTTTTTCTTTACCTCCCTCACTCTTTAATTGTTTATTTGATCCTTATTTTTATAGTAAATAGAGATTTCGTCCATCACCTTTTCCATAAGTTCAATTAGATCCAGATGAGATTCTCTTTTAGATCCTTTTACTTTCTTTCTTTCTTTTTCTAGTTTTGAACTTTCTGTTTTTGGAGCCTTCGTATCTGTCTATGATGGATGATACCACTCTATTTTTGGTTCTTGGATTTGCTATATTTCAATACAATATATAATGTGTAAAGTTTGATTATTTGGAAGAAAGAGAATGTAATGTATTAATTGCATGCTCTATATTAATATGAAAATGACTCTTTGTGCCCACTAATTGAAACTTGCAATGCTTTAGCTTTCAAATTTATTGAGGGGGAAAAAAAACACGAACTACTGAAACTGAAATGATGGCCAATCTAGATTTACTGAAATATAACTTGGCTGAGTTAATTATATAACTGGAGGGTCATTGGATATTATTTGAATGAAATTATGTATAACGTTTATTACATATGAAATGATGAAAATGATTTACCAAATTAGAACCTCAACGTTTGTGGAAATTATATTGAAAGTTTTAATATTGTTTTGATATGCAAAGCTAGGCATGTCAATCGGGCTACCCCGTCCCGCCCCGGCCCGAAACCCGTAAATCCCTCAAATATGTGAGCCCGGCCCGGCCCGGCCCGAAAAATTTCCGAGCCTATATTTTAAAGTCCGGCCCGGCCCTAACAGGGCTACAGGGGTTTTCGGGATTTTTGGGCTTTATTTACCGATAAAAAAATCAATTTCTAAGTTCATAATAGTTTTTAAAAACTATATTTAAAGGTCTACTATAAATATAATGCATCAAATTTTAAATAACTTATCAATATTCATTAAAACTAACTTAATTTAAGAGAAAAAAAATAAAATCTAAATAAATTATTTACACTTTAACCCAATAAAACATGGAACTAAAATACTTTAAAGTATAAGATAGAGTCAAAATTTAATAGATATTTTGATGATTTCAAAATCATGATACTTATATATATTTAGTTTTAGCTTTGTATAAAGATTTTAAAAGTAATAAGTAAGACTAATAAGTAAATTTGAAAACTATAACATTAATCAATCTTTTAATCAAACTAAAATATTCAAAAAACTCACAATATATTTGTATAAGGGCTTTTCGGGCCGGCCCGAGCCCGACCGGGCTAAGCCCAAAAATTTCTTTAGCCTGAATGGGCTTAGCCCAAAAGGCCCGGTTTTTTCTGGACATATATATTTAAGCCCGAGCCCGATGTTTTTCAGGGCCATGCCAAACTAGCCCGCGGGCTTTAGCCCTAATTGACATGCCTATGCAAAGCTATTGCACCACCCGAGAAACATGTAAAACAGTAGAAATCAGAATAGCTTATCAACTTTCTTAATATTTTCGTAAAGTGATAGTGTATTATTTTGGTAGTCTACTAGTCTCCGACTCTCCGTTATAACTCGGACATATATGTACGTGTGTTTTTTATAACTCGGACATATATGTACGTGTGGTCGCAATGTGCGTTTCGTGTATTTAAAGTTTACCGAAAACGTTCTCGACTCCTTTTTAGGAGTGAGTTGGTGGTCCTATGACCTAATTAAACAACCAGAAAAGGAAAACGCTCGACCCCAACACAAATGGACCATAATGTTGAACAAAAAAAAGTAGTTAATCAGCCATTAAATCTAAATGACTAATTAAGCTATAAATCTTATTTGTAAATAGTTTAATCAACTGCATTTACTAGGTGCAACTGCGATACTGAACTCATTTCGTCGTTCGATTTTTTCACTCTTGTCGCCATTAATTTGAGCTTTCTTTATATTAATTAGTAGTAGTACTAGTAGTAGCTTTGTCCATTTCTCAACATAGCTTGATCATTCTATTTGTTTTCGTTTTAATAATGTTGAACAGCAAAATGTTGCTATTCTTAATTAACTTTGATTTTATAATCCACGCTACATTATTATGCGAATATTAACTGCTGCAATTCATGCTTGAAAGCCTTGATTATCTTTGTGTTAGAGATATCCACCATGAATACAGTCATTACGTTGTAATTACGCATGCTTCCTAAGAAAACCACCCTTAAATACACATTCACCAACATGAACATATTCAAACATCCGTACACAAAACATTAGAAGAATCATATCTAGTCTCTCTTAAATAGTTATTTTACAATTTACACGCACCATGATTTCACATACATCAATGGATTCCAAACCAACCGTTTTAGCTATTGCTATATTTTTCCTCCTGTCCATCCAAATCCTTTGTCCAGCTGGTAAACAAATTGAATTATAATTGTAACCAAATGATAACTTATCTCATGTCGAACCGAACCGTGTTGTTCTTTTTCAATTCTCTTACATTTACTCGATTTATTTCTGCTACAATCAATTTGATCCATAAACCGGACTGGTTTATCACCGGTAAGTTGTAACTTATGCTCTCTTCTAGGTGTCGCAGGGGAGATCACCGGTGTTTGTTACGGCCGAAACGGCGACAACATCCCGACGCCGGAAGCTACAGTAGCTTTATACAAGACCAACAGCATCGACGCAATCCGTATGTACGAGCCATTCGCCGACATGCTCGAAGCGCTTCGTGGCTCAGGTCTCTCCGTGGCGTTTGGACCACGAAACCAAGAAATCCCAGCCCTAGCACAAGACCCAGCCGCCGCAACCAACTTCGTCACCACCTGGATCACACCTTACATAAACGACGTCTCCATCAAATGGATCACGATCGGTAACGAAGTCTTCCCCGGAGATCTCGCCCCGTTCGTCGCCGCCGCGATCAGAAACGTAAACGCCGCCCTCACAAATTCCGGCGTCACAGGAATCTCCGTAACGACGGTTTTAGCGATGAACGCGTTGACCAATTCATATCCACCTTCCGCTGCAATGTTCCTCCCAGATCTAACCGAGTTCATGACGGATGTGTCATCGATACTATCTCAGACGAATTCGCCTCTCATGGTGAACGTGTACCCTTACTTCGCATACGCGTCAGATCCAACCGACATCTCACTCGATTAAGCGACCTTTAGTTCCCAAACGCCTATAGTGATCGACGGTGATTTCCAGTATAGCAACATGTTCGATGCGATGGTTGACGGATTCAATTCTGCCTTGGAGAAGATCAACGCTGGAAACGTGGTGGTGATGGTTGGGGAAACTGGGTGGCCGACGGATGGATACCAACCTTACACGAGCGTTGATAATGCCAAGGCCTACAACATGGGGATTCGGACATGCGGGGGATCTTCGCGGAAGCCGACGCCTCGCCGTCCGTACACGCCGGTGGACGTGTTTTTGTTTGAGATGTTCAAGGAGGATCTGAAGGATGGTCCCGTGGAGCAGAGCTTCGGAATCTTTGCACCTGATATGACTCCTGTCTACGACGTCTTTTGTCCTTAAAGAGATTTGTAATTTTTCCCGCTTAAATTATTTTGGGTTTGTTAGCAAACTAGTACGTTTTTGAAACATAATTATAAAGGTAGTACATTTACTATTCATAATTAGCAAAATAGTACAATTTTACTATTTCAGGTATCTGTACATATAGACAACTGTACAACAACACATTATTGTACATAAAATATTTGTACAAAGAGAAACAACTACAAAAACACATATTTACACATAAACAAATATACATATATAGACAAGAAAAACATTTGTACACGTACAATTATACGTATATATAGACCGCTGTACGGATGATTTTCCGTACAGCGACACACAACTGTACATAAGGATAGCTGGACGTATCAAAATTTGTTTGAAAAATATTATAAATTATTAGAATAAAATGTATATCAAATTATAGAGAAAAAAATGTAGATTTTTATGTAACTGAAATTTTATTAAAAACAAATTTATTTTGATTAATATTATAGTTATTAGATTTAAAGGGTTTTTTAATAGTGTATAAATAGTGTCCAAATAGTAAAAATGTATTAGTTTGCTAATTATAAATAGTAAATGTACTACTTTTATAATTATGTTTCAAAAATGTATTAAAAATCCAATTAATCCAATTATTTTTAAAACAGGTTAATAGGAGTGATTTTCTTTATATGCTGGTAAATAGGTAAACAGGTAAATTATATGCTGGCATTTTCTTTCTTGTAACAATTTCTGATCAGTTTTTTATATATACAAAAAATTATATTAATGGACATGGAGTACTAAATTAAAAATTTAAGCATCACCGGTATAGAAAAAAAAAATGAAAATTGAAGTGGAATCTTATTGGGCATAAAAAACGAATATTATTTCGTCTCTTTCGGCCTCTTCTTACAACAACAAACAGAGAGAATGGGCTTACGGCCCATTATAATAAAGACAGTAAAAGCGCGAGATATCCCCATCGATACGAGAATTTGGATGAGAAAAACGGTTGCGTCAAAATGACGACATGTAGGAATCTAACCGCAAGTTTAAAACCCAAAAAAAAAAAAGTCTTTTGGCTTTGTTTGCGTACGTCAATTTGTAGAAGCAATCTCGCTTTTCTCTCTTATTCTGTACATCATCCTTCAAGCTCGGAGCTCTCTCTCTATTCTCCGCCGGCGATCTCCTCCGCTTAACCTCCGGTACTGTTTCTCCCGCCGGTCTCCTTATTGTTAATTCTGTTATCTTGTTGAATTTCGTCTTCTCGATCTCGAAATTTGTCTTGGTAAGATTCGCTAAAGGTCTCTGATCTTACAGTTTCGATAGAGTGATAGATTCCGTTCAATCGAGATCTCAGGTCATTGTTTGTTGTGTTATCAAACATTGAATTGTATAATTTGTTTCGGGTCTTATTTGTGGATCGACAAATGAATCTGCGTTGTCATTGATGCGTTGCTCAGTTTTGCATGAATTTTGGATTTATTTTATTAGAATTGCTTCTCCAGATCTGGATTTTTTCATTGTCTTTGGACTGAATCGTGTCTGTGTTTGTGATTTCCCTTTGCGGATCCGGTTAATGCTCACTATATTGTATATAGAACTATAGTGTAATTATCTGTAGCTTATGCATCCAGGATCTTTGCTTCTGTCTGGTTCTTATATGAATTAAGCTTTATCTAATCCATAGTCAACTGGTCACTGAGACCGCTATTAGTGATGAGTTGTTTGAATTTTGCTTGTTGGTTACTACTTCGCATGGATCTAATAATTGAGTGTTTTTTAAATAGGATCAAATGGGGAAAATCAAGAAAGTGAAACACAGTGCTCACATTGCCACTCCATATCCATCACCATGCTGCAAGAAAGAATGGGCTGGCTCAACTTGCCCAGTATGTTTGGAGTCTCCACACAATGCGGTTCTGCTCTTGTGTTCGTCCTATCACAAAGGCTGTCGTCCCTACATGTGTGCAACAAGCAGCCGTTTTGCCAACTGCCTTGAGCAATACAGGAAATCATACAGTAACGAAACCGCAGGACAACCCGAGCTTTTGTGTCCACTGTGTAGAGGTCAAGTGAAAGGTTGGACTGTGGTGAAAGATGCTCGGATGCATTTCAACTCTAAGAGGAGGACTTGTATGCAGGATAACTGTTCCTTTGTAGGAAACTTCCGGAAGCTCAAGAAACATATGAAGGAAAAACACCCACATGCTTGCCCGAGAGCCATTGATCCAGCTCTAGAAACCAAATGGAAGAGGCTTGAGAGGGAAAGAGACAGAAGAGACGTGATAAGCACAATCATGTCATCGACTCCAGGTGCTGTTGTGTTAGGAGATTATGTGATAGAGCCGCATAACCGAGCTGTTTACGATGAAGAAGACGAAGAAGAAGACTACAGCTCAGATGATTCTCTGAGCAACGGGATACTGGATCTAGATTCATGGCAAGGACAAGGCCATCACATCCGCTTTCTCGATCTGGAATCAAGCGACTTTGCATCCTCTTCCAGCTCCCCTGCTTCTCCTAGCCGTTCGCTTCGCCGTTTGCTCTTTCCAAGGAACCAGAGAGGCGGCAATAGAGGTCGGTAACTCTAATTTAACCGAAGCAAATTCATGATCAATGTCCTCTGCATATTTCTCTCCACGATTACATTTGACTTAAAAATTGCAGGAGCAGTATAAAAAGGCTTTACATGACTAGCCAATTAGCCATACACAGGGAATTGAAAAAAAAAAAAAAAACTCGCAGTCGTCCCTTTCTTTTATTTATTTTTCATGTAAATTATGTATTCTGTGTAATTGTATCATTGTTTCTGCATTGTTGTACTCTCCACTGAGGCATGGTCTCTCTTATGCCTCTTTTCAAATTTCTCTTTTATTTCCCTTTGTATCGATTTGATCATCGTCTTCCTCAAATTCTGGAAGAACAATAAATTGATTTTGTGAAAAGGAAAAAATTGTTCTCACATCTCAGCCAACTTGGGACAAAACTTCTTATCATGATGATTTATATTTTGTCTTCACGAGTCTCTGACTCTCTTCTACTTCGTAAGCAGCCGCGTGATAAACCTCCAACCACATGTTTAAGTTTGTTCTTCATTCAGAAAACATGAAACAAAGATTAATAAACAAGATAGGAACTAAGTTGCAAGGAAATAGAACAGAAACATCGGGAGTACCCAAAGATCAGAATTGTGATTAGTTCTGCTCGTCACTTCTCCTTCTTCTTCATCTGGATCAAACTGGCGGTATCTCCACGTTCTATTTTTCCGGCGAAATGGTAACCGGAACTTACTAAACAATTTCCTGATCCACCTTCTTTTCTTCTTCTTCTGCCATTGACATTGTTATCACTTATCAACACAAAACAAATAGGTGAAATTGCTTAACAGTTATTACAAAGAAAACAAAACCGACAAAAATATATATGAAACCAAATAAAAAATACTCTGTTTAGTCAGTCGAAAACTCATAAGAGGTTTCATATTTGACATTTCGTTTTGACATAATCTACTATAACCAATATAATATCATAGTCCACAACTCCACATCACACTAGTCAGAATATTGATTATTCATTCATTCAGACGCAACTGCTTTACTTGCTCTTTATTCTTTCCGCAAGTACAAAACGCAACTTGAATTATATACGTCAGGGCCCATAGCTGGCCCAACTAAATTATAAAAGCTCATTATGCAAAATAAAAATCCAAACCAATATAGAAAAAAATCAGAGAAACGTTACCTTCGGGTTCGGCCGTTGAGGCTTGTTGTCACTTTCTCCGCCGCCGGTAAGACTCGCCGATCTCAACTGACGAATATTCGCTAACAGATTAGCTCTCCGATCATAGCCAAGTGTTTTTCCGATCTCACGCATCCTCGTCGTCCTCTGAATGAATCTATCTCCTTCATCTTTCTTACGTCTCCCTTGAAACGATCGGACTGTCGTCGTTTGACGATCAACGTACACGGTGATGATCACACCGTACATAACCCTGGGATTTTCATCTCCCATTTTCTGCATTCTTTTTTTTTTTTTTTGAGTTGGCTTCTTCAAACTGGAAATCTTGTTTTTTTTTTTTTTTTTGCTGTTAATTAGGAGGAAGCAAGAAGCAAATCAAGAAAGAACTAATCTCTTCCTTAATCAGAATTACACGTGTCAACATCTCATGCCACCTTTTCATTTGTAAGTCTAACTACTCCACAGTCAGCGATCAAAGACGTTGACTTCCCCATTTACAATCATTGAAATGGGTAACAATAGCCCACTAAAATGGATATAATGGGCCTGTGGGCTTATGATAATAAATCTTGTCTTGAATTATATTAGGCCTTTATATATAGATACTCTCTTCTTATTCTTTTTTTTGCCAAACACTAGTAATAATAAACTTAATAAACCAAAATCAACTAACTACTACTAATAATTATAATTTCGAAGTTTGTTTGATTCAATATAGTTTAAGATATTATATAAAGGAGCTTTGAAATGATATTAAAAATCTCCACAATGATCCATTATAAAAGAATAAAATATGAAAATAATGTGACTAACCAACAACAATGTTCCAAAAAACTGTATGGATTACTAAAGAAAAAATTGTATCTTTGTGGTTAGATTGTAATCCTTTTAATTTGGACCACGGCCGCTTTATGTAATATGATATATGCTTTTAAACCAGCAAAGAGGGTTAACTCCAATTAAAGTAAAAAAAAACACTTATTAATAATAGTGCTTTTATTTGAGTAATCTAATAATTAAAAACATAATTAGTGTTTGTGTGGCATATTTCCACTTCACTTCACTGTCTTCAGGATTCACAATTACAAAAAGAAAACAAAAGATTTATTACAAATATAATAATACTATTTATCATTGAACAGACACGAAAAGGCGGGAACACCTAGGGGAGGCTATATGCGCTAATATGACCTTTGCTATTACGAATGTGAGAATATTTGTTATATACATTTTCTCGGATCTGCTCTGATTTTCATGCATAAATTTTATTTTGAAATGTTTATTCTTTTGGTTGTATCACATGTTTTTCCTTTTTCTGCAAAAGAAAAATCAGAACGCAGGTGAATTACCATTTGCGTAGTTTCAGGGTGGTATACTGACCTGAAAAGTATTGAACGTTCCAAACCAAACTCTTTTCAGTGGGCGATTGCATACTTTTGTTATACAGACACACACAAAAAAACGAAACTGACTATGTAAATGAAATTTTCTTAACTTTTCTATTTGCATTTTCATTTGTTCTATGATTTTAATAGAACATCAAACATTTTGATTGTATGTGGTGAGTATGCTGCACATTTACTAATTACATTATCCACATTGTCTTAATCACCATAACCGTTTATTTGTTTTTGTTTTTAATTGAGAACACTATCAATACAAAAGTATGTGGTTACTTCTTTTTAAAATGTTTGTCTAGACTGAACTTCACTAATCTTGGATCTTCCACTATGAGATGGGTTCTTAACCTTATTTATTGTTTCTTCTTAACTTATTGGTTGTGTTGTGCCTTTTCTTTTCATTTGAAACAATTACTGTATTATTTGGATATATAATTCTTGTTCTTGTAAAATTTAATTAATGTGGTTTTAGTTGAAAAATAGTTCCTGAGATAAAATTCAATTACATGTGTCCAACTTCGCCAAGTGCCAAATTTCTTATAATCCAACTTTATTATAATTGACTATAAACAGTTAAAGTGACCAATTATATACCAATATGGCAACTATCATATGGTTAAAAAAATATATAGCCGCATGTGTGGTGGTGTCAAGTGGTTCATTATTTCGTTGTATGTTATAAAAAGTGCTACTTAATTATGTTATACATATAAAGAAATTAAAGTGCTACTTAAAAGCAAAAAAAAAACAACAACATGTAAACAAAGAACAAGAGGGGTTATAATTATGATTATATGTCAGGATAATTGTGTTTGAATTGACGATAAGTCAAATAAACACCCGTTTGGGATATGTTGTGGCTATTATTGATTAATAAACTACTTACTATTCTATAAGATATGAAAAAAAAAATCAATTATGGGGTTTTGTTTCAAGTACACACTTTACTTTTTTGTTCGTCAAATTACATTTTCATGGACGTACAGTACAACATGGTTGTTTTTCATATATTTCAAATTAAATATATATTAAATTTTATACTTTTTTTTTTTATATCTTCAATCGACATTTTTATATCGTACGACATGGTTTGTTTATTTAGAGATAATAGTACATGTACAATATATATATAGTAAAGGAAAAAATGAAAATGAAGTGAAAGTGGCTCAAAGGAACACGAAAGGGTCGTCGTTGTTTCCCTAACCGCATCAAGCTCCCCCAGTTGCCTCCATTTATAATTCCTTATTCAAATATATATAGAGATACGGTACAATTTTCTTACTTTTCTCTGTAGTTATATGTATTAGTTTCAGAATCTTTTAGTAAAAAAATATGAAAATACATATTCCAGAGTGGCAGAATTGTTGTTATATTGGGAGATTCAGTGGTTCAACCGTTCATGATCGTCGAAAGTAAATTTTGTACGTCGTAAAATATCCAGTTTTAGAGATTACGTGTCACAAATCTCCTATCATATTTTTTAGTGGTCGTTATTACTCTATAGGTAAAATGGGGACAAGTTTATATATGTTGGACTTTAGCTAATATTTTGCCGTCGTCATGAAGGAATGCATGAGACTATATATATGTTGTCATTTGTCAATTTAGTTGCGTTATGGTGCAGAAATTATGATATTTTGCATGATCTGATTATGATACCTTATCGATAACTATCATGCGGATACGAGATTCGAACAAAGAGTTTTTCTTAGGGATTAAAATATTAAAAAGGTTCCCAGATTATAATTGTTGTTGAATGTTGATAAACACTTTAAGTACTGAAATGTAATATACTGGAGAAGTTTCTTCTATTAATGATCAAATGGATATACAAAAATGAAATTGTTTGGTTTTAAAATAATCACAAACTTAGGAAAAAGAAAAAAAAATAATCACAAACTTACCCTTTCATCTGCCACTCGATCTCATAACCATTAAGTTAAACGTAGTAGTTTATCATTTAAGTTATTAAAAATGGTATTTATTTATCAGTTTAAAAAGTAAAATTCTTCAAAGCAAGAAAAACTATCTGAAAAGTGAAAACTATTTTTTCAAAGTTATGGAAGGCAACCTAACTATTAGACAAGATATTTAAACGACGGGATGGGAGATTTCAAGAAATGCAAGAAAGAAATGAAAATGTAATTAGAAGTTTTAACCTAGATGAGATAATTTTATGGAAGATCTAAGCATTTTCCCCACGTCATTTTAAAATAACAAAACTTAACTTCTCCATGTCTTCAAGCAGTGTGCAACAAAGTTGATTATTACACTACTAGTTAGAAGCTTTTAACCAAGATTGACTCTTGAATTTATTTTATTACACCGCATGCAAAGATAATTAATATACGCGGGTCCATACGTTCTTACACATGTATCATATTTATAACTAATAATCTAATAACTGAAAATCCAAAATTATAAAAAAAAACAATCCCCAAAAAAAAAAAGATTGAAAATCCAAACAAATGACAAAAACAATATTTACGACCCGTCCCTTTGTTTGGTTGCCCCGTTCGTGTACTTTGTTGCTTGGCCGTTGGTGTTCCCATGCGCCACTTAGCCTCCAAAGTCTTCTCTCTAATCTCCTTTTTGTTTTTAATTTATACCATAATCTCTGTTTAATTTATACTTATTTGCGCTTTATCTTCTTAATCGTCATGTAATCCATAAAAATCTTCGAGATATTTACATTCTCGACTAAATTAATGCATTTTTTCCTATATTAATCAAGTCAACAATATGCTCATATTATCATATCACACATAGTATATGTTTTAGCTACCCACCGGATTCTCAAGCCCCATTTTCTTATTATTACACTGACGTCTAATTTGACGTTGATTTTTAGAAACTGAAGTCAATATGAACAAAATCTATCTGTGAATATGCTGATTAATACACCTTTCTGTAATATATAAGTACACGTGATGCAATTTAATCGTGAGTCATATATATCTTTGATTTTTTTTTGTTCATCTATGATATTTTGCATTCATTAACATACCAAAATTTTCAACCCAAATGTCTTTATTGTAAACGAAAAGTTCGTCATATGGAGTTTATATAACTAGGTAATATTGTCCTTGCTACATTCAACTTATGCATAACCCAAGAAGTGAACCACATTGATATAGATAGAAAATGTGTGGTTGGATTGTAAAATTCAGTGTCTCCGAATCTTTATTTTCGCTGCATCCACACTTGAAGATTGTAAATGAGCTAGTGTTCCTTGTGCATGTAGAAGTAGTAAAATACCTCTCTTTGGTTATATCGTAAGTTAGCTAGAACATTCCCTAGCAACAAGTAGTGAGTGAGAGAGAGAGAGACAAAGGACTTAGCAAATTGTTGTACACCAGTCCATGTTTGTGGCTCCAAGGGGAAGGTTTATCTCAGTTTTTTTTTTTGGAAGGGAAAAGGTTTTATCTTGCCCGTGGTTACTCGATTGTTGTTCGTATTCTATTTATTAAATTGTTGTAGCTTCAAGGGAAGGCGCATGTGTTTCTTCTTTTTTCAGTGCCTTTATCACATCAAGTATAAACTCCTTCCTGGAGGGTTCTTACATTTATACTCCAAAATTAGGGTTTATTTGACTTTTCCAAATTCAATATCGGACTCCATTAATTAACTCTAAAGACATGTGTAAAAGCTATGTCGTCTAAATCATGCATGAACGTAACATGCTTTTAATTATATTGAAGATACTGTTTGTGCAGTCTATATATGGGTTTTTGCCTTTTTCTAAATACTTTTTGTCGTCACTAGAGTATATATACACTCTAAAATAAATTACTATGGAATATGTTCTTGTTATATGGCCACAAAAAAATTCGAACACCATAAAATGTGAAAAACTAAGTTGTATATCGTTCTTATTGGATATTATTATGGGTTAGTGATGAAAACTGATGTAGAGTTCAGTTGATAGTGGTGTTGAGTGAGAACTGAGAAGGTATCATAGTACCGTCCGAGGATACTGCCCACGGATCGAATCCTAGAATCCGAATTGTGGTAATTCGCAATTCATTTAAAAAATAAAAAATGTAAAATCGTGACCACAGAAATAAAAATCTCCCGCCTCAAAGGCCAAAGCTCAGGATCTAGCTAGGTAGGTCCGTCGACCCGGCGACCACATAAACTCACATTTGTCAATTTCTCCTCTCTCTTCTTTTTTTTGTTGCCTATTTTATTATTTGTTTTGATTAAACTCATATCATCATATCTGTAACGCCCTATAAATACAACCCTATAACGCCTCGTTATTCAGAAAACCAAAATATTAATATCATCACAAAACCAAAAGCAAAGAAAAGAAAAAATAGCTTCTCTCTCTCTTCTAAGCGATACAATACTATGGCGACCTCCGTCGACAACCGCCATTATCCCCGCCTCAACACCCCCATGAACGGCGTCGTTCACGCTGCTTTCAAACCTCCTCTCGTTCCTTCTCCTCGCTCTTTCGACCGTCACCGTCACCCTAACCACTCTCTCGACGTCATCCTCTCCGAGAAACTCGTCGCCAAAGACTGTTACGACGACTCCTCTAGCGACGACGAGGACGAGAGTCATAACCGCAACGTCCCTTACTACAGAGAGCTTGTCAAGAAATCCAACAGCGATTTAGAACCGTCGATCTTGGACCCGAGGGATGAATCGACGGCTGACAGTTGGATCCAGCGTAACTCCTCCATGCTCCGTCTCACCGGAAAACATCCCTTCAACGCCGAAGCACCTCTCCCTCGCCTTATGCACCATGGCTTCATCACTCCCGTGCCGCTCCATTACGTCCGCAATCACGGCGCTGTTCCCAAAGCCGACTGGTCAGACTGGTCCATCGAGATCACCGGACTCGTCAAACGTCCCTTGAAGTTCACCATGGAAGAGCTTATCACCCAGTTCCCCAGCCGCGAGTTCCCCGTGACGCTCGTCTGCGCCGGTAACCGCCGCAAGGAACAGAACATGGTGAAACAAACGATCGGGTTCAACTGGGGATCCGCCGGAGTATCCACTTCTCTCTGGAAAGGTGTTCCGCTAAGCGATGTCCTCCGTCGTTGCGGGATCTACAGCCGGAGAGGCGGCGCGTTGAACGTCTGCTTCGAAGGAGCGGAGGATCTTCCCGGCGGCGGCGGATCCAAGTACGGGACGAGTATAAAGAAAGAGATGGCTATGGATCCTGCCAGAGATATTATATTGGCTTATATGCAAAACGGTGAGCTTTTGACACCGGATCATGGGTTCCCGGTTCGGGTCATCGTACCCGGTTTTATCGGTGGTCGGATGGTTAAATGGTTAAAACGTATCATCGTTACGCCTCAAGAATCTGATAGTTACTATCATTACAAAGACAACAGAGTCCTTCCTTCTCTTGTCGATGCTGAGCTGGCTAATGCTGAAGGTAAAAATCTAGTTTGCTTTTTCTATAATTACCCTCGTCTTCTTTGTTACTTTTTTTACCGATATTAATTTTTTCTTTGTTTTTTTGTTACAGCTTGGTGGTATAAGCCAGAATATATAATCAACGAGCTTAATATAAACTCGGTGATTACAACACCTGGTCATGAAGAGATATTACCCATTAATGCATTCACCACTCAGAAGCCGTACACATTAAAAGGCTACGCTTACTCTGGTAAATTAAACTTGATTTTAAGAACTGATTAAAACGGAAAAATTAATAATCGATGTAATTAAAAGGTCCTAATAATTAAAAATGTTTTTGGAAACACAGGAGGAGGTAAGAAGGTAACGAGAGTAGAAGTGACTCTAGACGGAGGAGACACGTGGAGTGTGTGTGAGCTTGACCACCAAGAGAAACCGAACAAGTACGGCAAATTCTGGTGCTGGTGTTTCTGGTCAATTGACGTTGAGGTTCTTGATCTGCTCAGTGCCAAAGATGTCGCGGTCCGAGCCTGGGACGAGTCCTTCAACACCCAGCCTGACAAACTCATCTGGAACCTCATGGTAATAACTCTTCACTTTTTAATTATAGATTTAACAAGTCTACTTTATTCTTTAGTATGATTTTATATTTGTATTCGTCCTACAAAGTTGGAGCTACCCATGGTTTTTTTTTTGTTTAACGTGTTACCTACCAATACCATCTTCACTTTCCGGGATTTTTTTAATTAGAGCCACTAATCAACATGGAACCAAGACCACTTCTTTAATTGCCTCTGTTGTACAGTTCATCTTAGTGGTTAAGTATTTATTATAATCTCCCTTCATGCGGGCAATTATATTTAACTTTGAAAAGTCTTACGTCTAGGGTCTCCAGCTAAAACTGATTATGACTTGTGAATAAATTTGTTCTTTTTATATTATTTTACGATTATTATTATAAGACACTGTTTCTTTAATGATGTTTGACTAAAGCAATAACGACGTTGACTTTGTGTGAAACAGGGGATGATGAACAACTGCTGGTTCAGGATTAAAACCAACGTGTGCAAGCCTCACAGAGGAGAGATAGGGATAGTTTTCGAACACCCGACCCGACCCGGAAACCAATCGGGTGGGTGGATGGCAAAGGAGCGTCAGCTTGAGATTTCCTCCGAGTCCAACCAAACCTTGAAGAAATCTGTTTCGTCTCCTTTCATGAACACTGCCTCGAAGATGTACTCAATGTCCGAAGTTCGGAAACACAACACTGCTGAATCTGCATGGATCATCGTCCACGGTCACATCTATGACTGCACACGTTTCTTGAAAGATCATCCAGGAGGCACAGATTCTATCCTCATTAATGCAGGTACGGATTGCACCGAAGAGTTCGAAGCCATTCACTCTGACAAAGCCAAGAAGCTTTTAGAAGATTACCGTATCGGTGAACTCATCACCACTGGCTACGACTCTTCCCCTAACGTCTCTGTCCACGGTGGCTCAAACTTAGCTTCTTTGTTAGCTCCAATCAAAGAGGTCGCTCCTACAAAGAACATAGCTTTGGTCAACCCACGTGAGAAAATCCCTGTTAAACTCATCGAGAAGACTTCCATCTCTCACGACGTTCGTAAGTTCCGTTTCGCATTACCTTCGGAAGATCAGCAGCTTGGTTTACCCGTGGGGAAGCACGTTTTCGTATGCGCCAACATTAATGACAAACTCTGTCTCAGAGCCTATACTCCGACCAGCGCCATCGACGCCGTTGGTCATATCGACCTAGTCGTCAAAGTTTACTTCAAAGACGTCCATCCAAGGTTCCCCAATGGAGGACTCATGTCACAACACTTGGACTCGTTACCAATCGGGTCAATGATAGACATCAAAGGTCCACTAGGACACATTGAGTACCAAGGCAGAGGCAACTTCATGGTCAGCGGCAAACCTAAGTTTGCCAAGAGACTAGCAATGCTTGCCGGAGGAACAGGCATAACTCCAATCTACCAAATCATTCAATCGATACTGAGTGATCCAGAGGACGAAACCGAGATGTATGTGGTTTACGCAAACCGAACCGAGGATGACATACTTGTAAGGGAAGAGCTAGAAGGATGGGCTAGTAAGCATAAGGAGAGGCTAAAGATTTGGTACGTCGTTGAAATTGCAAAGGAAGGTTGGAACTACAGTACAGGGTTTATAACCGAAGCTGTGCTTAGAGAACATATCCCCGAAGGTTTAGAAGGTGAATCGCTAGCACTCGCGTGCGGACCACCGCCTATGATTCAGTTCGCGTTGCAGCCGAATCTAGAGAAGATGGGTTACAACATTAAGGAGGATCTTTTGATCTTCTAATCCTGCTCAATTTTAATACGTATTGGAAATTTGAAAGTCAGTAACAAGTATGGCGTTTGTAGATATACATGCTTATTTGCGTACTTTTATTAAGAGTTTTTATTCAAAATGTATTTGTATAAAATTGTGTTCATAGATGATAATGATGAAAGCATGTAACTCAAACTTTTCATGTCTTGATTTATCGTTAATTAATTTTGAGTTTTTATGCTCCATAATGATCTATTACTGGTCGTCTAATAAGTTTGTTATAGTTCACATCAAGTGCTATTCATTTAATCACGCCTGGTAAACGTTTTGTCGTTTTAAGACAACTAGTTTGAAGTTAGTTATACCACTTGTGGCCGTGTTGCTTTCAGTCGTCAGTGACTACAAAAAAAAAAAAGGAAAAAGAAGAAGACAAACATCCAAAATAATAAAAACATGTTTTAAACAACTTATTAGAAATACATAATATTATTATCGATACAAAAGTGAAAAATATCTAAAATAGAGTTTCGATTTGTCCCCGCAAGATTCGCGGTTCATACGCATTTGACAAGTATTAAATATAATTTATTGAAGAAACAAGTGTTTTTAGGCTAGTACAAAAATTATTACCATTCTAAAATTAGTGTACCGTACTTTAATAGATTTAAAATCACTTTTTAATAAGATAAATAGCATACAAAAAAAATTTATATAGATAAGGACTTACCACTTCTTATCCATTTAACAAAAGAGAAAGAAAAAGAATCACGACTTCATTGATTAATTATTTATAAATGCTGATCAGTATTGAAATCTTAATTATATAACTGAGATCTTATGATTTAAAATCTCATACACATTAATATGCAACCATTTGTTTGTAACTTCCCGTTTTGAATTACATATCGAACACCATCACGGTCTCGATTAGCCTCAACAATGTTTTGGTGAAATGGAGAATAAAAAAAAACAGTATGGTTCTCTTATTATTAATTTTTTTTTGTTTGTTTGTTTGTAACATGCACTATAGTCTAAACACATCGATCTCGCATAAATTATGAATTTGCCTCTCAAAGTTCTATAGAAAATTCCTCAAAGCCATATGGACATGCATATGGCACGTAGTTACATTTTAGACCATGAAAGAAGTTAATAGAAAAAGGAAACTTCCTAAATAAAGTAAAATAAAATAAAATGGATAAAGAAAACAAAGAAGGTGGTAGGCAGAAGAAAACGTATGGCCGCGACTCGTAACAAGGGACGTCCCGACCACTGCGGAGACGGCGAGACGCTGACTGATTTTTTCTCTTTTGTTTTCCTAAAGAACGTTGTTTCGTGTTCACAAGGGTCAATACTCAATACCATATCCAATCTCTCTACCTATTATTATATAAATAACACTCCCCCTCTTGTGCTTTGTCTTTATTCGTGATTTAATCTTATAACTTAGGGCATCCTTATTGGGGGTATTTTATGAAGCTAAGATACCCCCACTTTTCCAAAGAAAATCCTTATATAATATATTTTCTTTGAAAAAATGGGGGTATCTTATCCTCCTAATATACCTCCAGTGAGGATAATCTTATATTGGCTCTAATTTATATGTCGTACCTCTGTCTCTACTTAATTACCTCGGTCCCTAGCTAGCTATATCGACATTTGTGAAGATAACGTCCGAAATTGGAAGAGTTGGTCTTCCTGCAACTGACTGTTTTCTTAGACATGTTAGATATTTAAAGTTGACACTCTCGTATTGAATATGCTAGAACTGCACCACATATGACAAAACTTGATAGAGGTTTATATAAAATGTTCTTTTTAGTCTCTCGATTTATATTTATAGCAAAAAATATCGATGTAGATGTAGTCTTTTTGTAGCTACTCCTTTTTGTTGCGTAGTCCATTTTCCTCACCCTCTTATGAAGAAAATTCCAAATAATTTAAGGAAATTTTGGTGTAATATTCATAGTCTTTTTCATAACCACAGTTCTATGTAGCTATCGTCACCTTCTTCGTCATCATATTCCGGTTTGCCACAAAAAAAAAAAAAAAAAAGATGGTGTTTGTAGAAATTTTGTAGTCATTTGTCCTGTCGATATCGAGCATTCTGTCATCCACAAACAAGTAGTTTGATTCGAGATTCCAAGTCCGTAATCTTTTTTTAGATGGGTCGCGAAGATTTCGAACTTCGTACAAGTGTCCATTTCTATCATCAATATCTACGTCTTGTTGATATATCCTTTTACAAGAATTGATGTACACGAGCTCTATAATGTCAATAGTCCACACACACATTATCGATGCATGCATGCAAATATTATTTTGGTTTTCTTCTAAAACTCCAACGTTAAGAGTTAGATAAATTGATTACTGAAACCAGCAAAGCATGTGTACACACAGAGACCAGCCCCCAAACTAATGGTTTGTTGCGCAGCCTAGACTACATAGACCATGATCATGTGGTACGTGGGTCGAACTTGAACCAGAACGGTGAATTGGTCATCTTGATTCTTGAACAACATAATTTCTTAATTGCTTTTTATTAATGTATTCAATGGTATATGATTGGTTTGTTCACTCGAATTTTTTAAAAGAAGAAATTAAGAATATTAAGAACATTTTTGATAAAATTAAACAATTTATGGAACAACCGGTACAGTTGGTCCGGTTAAGCTCAATGATTTCAAGTCTATAGTTTTTGTCGTTTAATGAAATCATCAACTATCTACATCTGATCTTCCATTACTTTACTAATTACGATTATATAAACAAGATGATGATTAAGTTTACCAAAGACGTCCCTTATGGCTATTAAGAGTCAGTCGCAAGGATGACCAGAGTCATTAAGGCGTCTTATATTATTAAACCATGACTCCACTAATTGCTAGTTAATCAGAATAAATTTGTTTTTTAAGGTCTTGTTTAAGTAGCTCTCAGCCAACAGAGCCAAAGGATGAAACTGGATTATTCAAAGATTTGTGGGATTCCAAAAGCACTGGGAATGGCTCCAACTACGTTGGGATATATATTTTTAAAATCTCCCATTCGCCACAGTCGTTGGAGTTTTTCTATTTTATTTTTCCTAGTGGGAGAATCAAATGATCAGAGGAAATTTCTATATTCTACTAGTGGGAAAACAAATCTTAGTAAAAATAATTTATAAAAAATGTACGGAAATATACTAAAGAATTATACTAAACATATCAATACATTACTTATTTGACTCTATGTAATTATTGTGGGCAACTAGTCATATTAATTACACTAATACATACATAATTCGTATAGTTGAAAGAAGATTTTAACACTATTCTTTGCAATAGTGTGTAATAGTGGAATAAGAGGTACTGTTCATGCACGCTCTTATCATATTTCTTTGAAATAAATTAATTTTACGTCACTGTTTTGCCAGTTGCCACTAACATAGAAAATATCTACTATACTAATTTTTTTTTTGTTGACATCGCTGTAAATAAAAATTTGGCACGACCCTCTTTAACAACTAATACTATGTGGTTAACATTGTCTATTGTCTAAGTTATAATTTGTCTTAATGTGAGATGTAACATCTAATACGTTTGACCTAAGAGTTGGTTCAGATCACAAATTTGAGAAGTATCTCTCACTATATCTGTTTTGTTATAAGTTTCACCATTTTAAGTAAAAAACTTAATAAAGAGTGTTTTTTTATTGGATGTGAATTTGAAAATATCTTCTTTGAAAAATAGTTTTGAAAGGAAATATAATTAATTAATATAGACCACAAATAATATATGTCGCGTGTTAAACACGTCCGGGTCATTGTCGTACCCTTTCGCCAACTTTTTGAAGTTTCCTTCATGAAAATGACCACACATTTGATCTTGACATATGATTGTTGCATACATATAATAATAATATTCGCAAGATGCCAAATTCTACCATTACTCAAATTATGTTTTAAAACAGATACAAAATAAAAATAAACAAGTTCATAAAACTTTGGTGTCGAATATATAGAAAAAAATCGAAAGAGTTTTCACAAAAACTTCTTCTGTCTTTAAAGATATATCATATTCATTGAGATAACATAATCTTTAATGCCCGAGTTGTTTACGATCAAATCTAACCTTAATTACATGTAATTATTTATTAATTCATAAACGGACAAATTAAAATTTTTTACAGGTAGCCAAAAAACACTTAATTATGTGTAATCCGTACGTTCTTCTTATATATTTTTAAACTTGTAGTTCTCTTTTAAACAAAAGAGAAATTAATATAAAACTCCGTTTCTTTTATAAAAAAATACAAAACTCCGTTTGTTGTCGTGCTTTATTTGCTGAAGTAGTTAACGTTTCCGAAAATTACAAACACATAAATTATTGAGTCGTATTATAGTTCTCTCAGTTTTTATTCTTATTTTTGGATTTATTTTTAAGTCTTTACTCTTTCTGGTTGAGGTTCTAAAACAATAATTTTCTTTCTTTCATGATTTAAATTACTGTACAAGGAGTTGTTAATATTTCTTTGTAAATAATATTTCTTTCATGAGTTAAGTTTCCTAAAAATAATTGGACCCAAATAAACGTGTAATTAAAAGAGAGTTTGAAATGTAACAACAGCATTAAGGTTGTATATTAGAATATAATGGCCCCGAGGCCTTTCTCTGGATAAATGAAAGGCCCAATAAAAGTATTGGTTTTCAAAGCCCAATAACTCAAGAGGAGAATGAAGATCACGATTGCGTTTGCGTTTTGATTAGAAAACGCGGGCGTTTAGAAAAAGGAAAACTGAATCTTAAACCCTTTCCTTCACCTTCTCCGTCTAATCTCTGGCACTGAGCTTCGACGACGATGTTGGGTTTACGAAGATCTGCGGCGACCTTATTCGACATCAGCCAGTCTCTGCTTCGGAATGTTACGGTGAGTTCGTATCTATCAGTTCAGCGCCACATTTGGTTTTAGGATTAGGGTTTCAGTAGATCGAACCGATTCATCTCTTTTGGAAATTTGATGATTTATCCGTTTAGAATCTCTTTAGATGTGTTTATTATCTCTGGGTTTGTTTCAAAATCCGTCTGTTTTGGTTTGAGATTTTGGCTTCCTTTCCCATTTTCAAATAGGTGATAAATGGGAAAGAAATAACAATGATAACTGTAGAAGAAAGAACAAATTTTTAAAATCGAAATGGTCTAGTATATAGCTCAATGTCTAAATTATGAAATTGCCATGGTATTGTTGTCAACTGTAAAGTGTTTAACTTTTTGATTTTGGAGTATTACCAAGGTATTACTGGCTCCGGTCGAAGAATAGCTAGATTCACTTTGCTAACTCTATCACATCTTCTCATGTCTCTGTGAAGCAAAGTTTACCATTTCTCTGTTGGATTATACATCAAATTCATCAATTTAGGTCTTCTCTTTCTCTACAGTTTCATGGCGTACGTGTCCAAGGAATTCGTGTGGGGAACGCAGAGGTCCCAAACAATAAGCCACTCAAAACCGGTCTTCAAGAAGTTTATGGAATTGGCCGTCGCAAGTCACACCAGGTTCTCTGTGAGCTTGGAATCACTAACAAACTTGCCAGAGACTTAACTGGGAAAGAACTCATTGACCTCCGTGAAGAAGTTGGCCAGCACCAGCATGGAGATGAATTGGTAAAAATGTCGTTTTATCCATTTGCATTTAACTTTCTTATCGGTCTTGAAGTTACTCTTCTATCTTTCCATCTCTCATTACTGCGTTTGCTGTTTGTTTGTTTTGTTTCTGTGATTGTCGATGTTAAAAAGAGGAGGCGTGTTGGATCGGAAATACAGAGACTGGTGGAAGTAGATTGTTACAGAGGTAGTAGACATAGACATGGAATGCCTTGCAGAGGACAAAGAACCAAAACTAACGCTCGCACAAAAAAGGGTAAAAGCGTTGCAATTGCAGGAAAGAAGAAAGCTCCTCGCAAGTAGAAACAACAAACCTGTCTTTCAATCCATTCTCTGGAACTCGTAAGTTGTAATCCATGTCGCATTGTTTACAGACTTGACTTTGTCTTACTTTTTGGAGATGAAACTGATTAAATAAGCAAACATGACTTTCCAGTTCCATAGTCTTTTTTGTCATTGCTATTTATTTCCACTGCAGAGGAAGAAGAAAGCTTCATTACTGGTCCGCAATATCAATACTCTCTATCTTCCATACTATAGTCTCTGTGTGTGATTTGTCATCCTGAGACATATTAAAATTGAAGCCCAGTTATAATTTTGTTTGCCTTGTCAACGAGTTCCAAATTTATCTTCAGCTTATGACTATTTTCATCACTACTCCTCGTTATGTTAAACACGTGATCTCGTATTATCCAAGTTCAACTATAAATAAATATACGGAAACCACAAGTTCATTAATGGACCAATTTACAAAGCCCACTAAATTATTTTATAGCCCATTGACAACTCAGTGCATTCAACTGTAAATTATATACGGAAACCACAAGTTCATTAGTGGATCAAATTTTAACAAAGCCCGTTAATTATTGTGTAGCCCATTGACAAACTAAGTGCATTCAATGATGATATTATAACGTCAACAGATTAAATCCATATCAACCACGATTTCAGAATACTGTACGTATTAAATTTTGGTTGATGATGATACAAAAAAGATATGATACGGGTTGGGACACGAATCATTGGGGGGAACAAAGTAACGAAATCAAACAAGAATCACAAGAAGTGAGACCAAGTGACTTGAAACTGATATATCAGAGAGATAAATTTGGGAAAAAGACTAATCGATGGACTACTACAAGACCCGATCACATTAATTTGCTAACAGTCGTCGTATCTCCCTCTCTCTCCACTCATTTGTCTTCTACATACATAATTTTTGAACAATAACTTGGGTGGGCCTTTGTAATTTTATGGGCCCATTTTAATTGGCCTACAAGCATGTGATTCAATTTTTATTTGGTCTAATACGTAAAATCGTAATTGCAGTTGCTTGCTTGAACAGTTGCACTCAACAGTCAATACTCATGATCCTGTTCCTGTATATTATACCTCCACTTTCTACTACTTGACAAGATATATCCCCTTATTGAGACTTTTCAAATTTAAAGGAAAAAAAGCAAAAACAAAGATATTTTTCCTAGAAAAATCCATCAACTATAAGTCGACAAATATAAGATGAAAATATGTGGCAAGAGCTTTTAGAAGATATTGGGTTTGAATTATGATAATTTTGTTGTATATGTATATTAGAGAAAAATAAAAAAGTATAAAGTGGTTAGGAAACAGAAAAAGGCCAAACTTGGGATAACTACCACGGAATGGAACAAAAAGAGAGAAACAGAAACAAAATATAAAAAATTATCATACTTTTCTTTTTCTTTTTTTTTTTAAATTAATTTATATCTATCGTAAATTTGAAAAGTATATTCCCATGATCAGGAGGAGGTAGGAGCTTTAATATTGTGGCAAAATGAAGAAAATAAAATAAGAAGAAGCGTGAAATATCAAAAGCATTTTGGGGGAGAACATGGAAGATAACCCCACCATATAGCACCGCCATTCAAGAAGCTGCCTCAAACTCGAATACGTATAAATCTCATTCAAACAAATATTATCCTTATAGTTATATATCCACTCGATTTTATCTTCCTTTTCAAGAAAAATAATCTCAACCATATGTATTATTTTCATTTGGATGATGATATTTATTTGCAAAAAGTTGATAAAGATTTATACGTTGATGTCGATTTTTCATTACCTCCAAAAGGTTGTCCAGTCCATCAAGCTTTTGTGCTGCTTATGGTGCGTGGTCAATTTAGAGCTCGTTTTGTTTTTACTTTGTAGTAAGATTTAGTCCGCCCATCTTGAAGGGTTGCTGCTATTATGTGAAAATACAGAAACACACAACATCTAGTTAGTTTCTATGTTGGTCTTTATTAACCGTTATGCTGAGTTCCGTTTTGTTTCTTTAAATAACAAGACTGGTCTGGACATGCATGATCCGGTCTGTCCATTTAGTTGGTAACAATCGCAGCTATCCTAATTCGAGAAGGAAAAAATAAAAAACACAGATTAAACAACATTAAGGGTTCTATCTTTGGTGGTTGGAAACAAAGAACAACAATACGCGTCAACATGTATCACGATGTTTTTTCTTTTTGTAAGAGAAGACACCATCATTAACGTTAGGTTGATATGTCTAATTACCGGTCTAACTTATTAACTAGTAGTTCTGCAACATTCAGTTAGTACTTAATGATTCTCATTTATTAGGTAACTTTGTATTAGTTATCTTTTGAATAACACAACACAACACAACAATCAAGGTTTAAATTATATATAAAACAGTTTAGCATTTGGATTAAATTTCTAATTAATAGTAAGTAGATCAAAAAGTTTATTTTTTCTGGCTAAATAACTGTAGGAGGAAACTAAATTGTTTTTTGTTGTTGTTGTTGTTGCAAAAAATAGAAGTATACAAGAATGATAAGAAAGGGATGGTTAATAGAAGGTGTCCCCTTGTGGTGGAACCTTATGTTGGAATGTGAAGTAATGTGCCTATTTAAAAACACCAATGGCCACAATTTGATGGCTTTTCAAGTTCAGACCTAAATCGAGACCACTTATTAAGTTCTCATTTTTTTCTTTGTCTTCATTTTTAAAAAATATATTTGCCTTCGAATGTGTCAAATTTGAGATCTCATGCTTGGCCGTTGCAGAATTCATATAGTAGCATTAAATATTTCGTTATTAGGGATTAATCTTGGTTTTGTGGGGGACTTAAAATTAAATGATTTGTTTTGCCTTCTAGGGAAGACTGATAAAGTGAGAATAAAGCCTAAAAGAAAATAGCTCAAATTATTCAACAACAAAGGTGGCTACTACTAACAAATTAAGATTAATAGGTTAGTAAGTAGGCTTGACTTTCACGTTGATCCGTTTTCCGATAATATATGTCCAAAAGTTTCCTAATTCCGATTCTCATAATTCAAAAATATTGTCAAGATAAGTTGTTATAAACAATTACCACAAGCTTTAAACAATGAGTTTTATTTTCCTTTGTAGTTGAATTTTTTGGTTTTAATGTTAGGATTTTATACTAAAAAAACGTTTAAAGCCTACACTACAAACTACATAGCAATAAACAATGAGTACTTTGTAGTTGAATTATTTGGTCTACCTTCGTTGAACAACTTGGAACTTCAACTCTACCGTTCATTGATATTTGATAATCCCATAGACCCAATTAAATAAATCAATTAGACTTATACTATAAGTTAGTAAACTTAGACATAAAACTTGATATTTTCAAAATAGTTGGGAACGTGATAACAAAAGTAACAAATGCTAACAACAAAAAGGCGTGGTGGTGAAGAAGATTCACCTGCTGGATTCGGATTTTGTTTTGCATTATCGACAGTAGAGGTGGAAATATATTAAAATTTACAGTGTACTTTTTATATATATATATATAAACAATTTAGATATATTTTATTTTATTTTATAAATATAAAAGTTATATAGTTGGCAGACAATTAGACAAAACGTTTGTCTACATGATTACATGTCTGTCATACACAAACGTGTATATCTACTTAACACACACATGAATGTGATTATTAGAGAATCCCCGACTGAGTGATTTTTTTTTCCTTTTTCATTCGAAAAACAGTTGAAGTGTGTACATTAACAAGTACGATAATACTAATTAATCTTCCTATACATGCAATAGTTTTTTTTTTTTTTTTTGGTTACGAAATAAACATGTTACGGGTATATTTCTATAACAAGAATGGCGAATGGTTTTTAATAGACTAAGATTAGTAATGGTCACGTATTAGTGGTCCGTAAAACACCATTCATTTATCGTGAAAATTCTAGGTGCATGCAGAGTTTTTATTTTAAGAAAAAAACAAAGATGGGGGAGCATATGTTTCATCAGAATCTAATTTTATCCGTTGAAACAGTAAATATATATGTTCAAATCACTACTTATTGTCTCGCTCATTCAGATTTTTTTTTAAGCTAATGGCTGTGAATAATCTATTTACTGTTTAAAATATCAGTGCCTGTTATATCTCTAAATTCAGTTTACTAGTATAATAAAATACGACGAACTGTACGTACGTGACATAAAAAAAAAAAAAAAAGCAAACAAGACAAGATGGACAGACCTCTCAAACAAAATCTTTAGATCTTACTGCTCTGCTGTAATCTTCTTCGCAGTCTTATTTCCCAAATCAGTAAAATTTGGTTATTTTGAAAAATACTAGTATAACCTACGAATAAGAGATTTTTTGTTTTATATTTGTGAAATTTAATTTATAAAAGGACTTTTTAGGCATGCAAGTGTTTGGCAGACCTAGCTACTGTTCAAAGCTCTGTCTTTTTCCTATAGTTTCTCGTTTACATAAACTATTTCTTCTTTTCTTTTTAAATAATATATATATCAACATTATTATTAGTTAATTCATGCGGACAGTAAGTACAGTATTCACTTATGATATGTTCTTTTTTTTTTTGTCTCTCTGTTTCTCGAGAAAACTGTAGTCAAGCTTAGTAGTATTTTTTTATTTAATGTATTTTTTTTGGTTTCGTTAATTGTACGTACGTGGTTTGAAGATTTGTCTAATAGTATATGATATATCAATGGAAACATAAAAGCTTTTTGTATAACCTATTTGAATGGTACTACTAGTACTAGAGTATATATACTTTGCTTTGCATGAGGGATAAATGAATTTGTTGTGTGGTTTGTTAATTAATAACGTAGGTTGCAGCAAAAAGGCTCGACCATTTATGTGAAAAGAAATATGAATACTGGATCTGGTCAATGGTCATCATCCACTGCTCGTATAGTTTAAATTATTCAATACAGCTCCCCAGAGATGAGATGAAACAGTACTTTAATTACTCTCTCTTTCTTTTTTTTCTTCTTCTCAGGTTAGAATTTAATTTATTTAAATTAGGAATGTTTTTCTTGGGAATTTGGGACTCTAGGATCTGAAGATAAAAATGAGCACATAATGACACGTAATTTTGTTACTCAACAGACTATAGGAACTTTTTTTTTCCTTCAAGTAATTTGACTTTTATTACACTCTCCAACTTTCCAGTTTCCATGGTGGTCGGATTTCGTATTCTCTACTAAATAAAATTATAAACTCAACTCCCAAGTTGATAGTTAAAAGAATATATATAACTGTACTGTTATCGTGTTTTTATTTTATTTTGTGTGGGTATATATATATATACATATACTTTAAATCCGTATACATACAATGATATGAGTTTAAACTTTGGATTATATGTCGTCCTGATGTGACAAAAAAATAACTATTCGGATTAGAAGTATTTGGCAGGACTTTCTTTGCTCGCAGAAAACTAAGCATGCCCATTGGTATCGCAAAAACTTTTTTCATTATTGGACTATACTTTGTCTTTTTACTCCGTTTCATTATCATACTTAAGGCAATATTATTTATTAATTGGGGTTACTCCTTTATGAAGACAATCTCTACAAGCAAGATTATATTACTTTTATTTAAGTCGTATTATACCATTTGAATGCCTTTTATGATAAATTCATCAAACAAAATAAACTACGAAAATACCATATAACCTAGCTTATTAATCCTTGTTAATTAAAAAGAATCATGTTGAGGTGAGGATTTACAATTTATAATTTAATTTCTTACTGATTAGATTGGAGAGAATAGAGAAGATATAGTCAACCTACGCATTATTATTTTAGTTCAGCATAAAAAAAAAAGTATATAACAATAATTAAGAAAATGAAAAGAAAAGTGTAATGTGAGATGTTTATTTCAGAGTTATAGAAAAAGAGACATGTGGTCTTCTCTGTTTGCTTTCTCTTCTTTTCATGGAAGCACAACCTCAATTCTAACCTCTCTCTCTCCCTCTCTACTTTTGACCATAGTATATGTTTATAATGTACTCTCTTTTTTCTTTTGGTAAAATGAATCATAGTAACATCATATCAAGTCTATACATCCAACATACTACAATAGTCTTTTGTTTTTTCTATATATTTTTAATGTGTAGCCACATCGTTGGTCGATTTCTTTTCCACATATGAACAATTATCGTCAAAAATACATGATTATTTCCTTGTACACATTTGAGAAGTTGCATATTATTAACATTGTCACTCTAAACAGAGTTTGAATAAAATTTGGCAAAGTATCTTTGGATGTGAAAACGATGGTTAAGAAGAATAGGGATCCCATGGGAATATGTGAGACCTCTTTTGAGCATTTTAAAACATCTTTAGCTTTTACTTTTGTCTCAATTTAGACAAAATTCTAAAGTACTTCCACCACACAACCAAAAAAAAATTAGTCCAACACAAAAATATAATGAGGGAATAAATAATATATATATATATATATAGCAAATGGGTTAAAAATAAACTACCCATCCTTTTCATTAAAATTGTACACCTTATCTTATTCCCACCATCTTCAAATCTTCCCAAAAACCCACTTCTCTAAGCCTATATGTACTTTTCTTCTTCTTCACAAATTCTATATTCACAGCATATATCTTCTTCTCACCCCTCCAAAATAAAAAAAAATAAAAAAAAAATCCCCAACCCAAAATTTGTTTGCTCACTTCTTTCTCAAATATTATAAATGAAAGAATTCCGAGTCGACTTCTTTCTCTTCTTCGAGCTTTTTTTACCGGGTAGTGAAAAAATATCATTTAGCCCCTTCATGCCTCAAGCCTCTCTCCATTTGATTGAGGTAAAAAAAGCGAGGAGCTCCGGTTTGACCTTTTAACGATGGGGGCTAATATTTAGTTAAGACCTTCTTAGCCGTCTTCGATGAAGATTCTGCTGATGAAATCTCGAAACCTTCTTGAGTAGAGTTTGGGATCAACGGCTGATATTGAAGCCGGGTCAGCCTGTAGAGACTTGTAGGCATGCTCGATCTTCTTGCTTATGTCGTAATCTTGTAAAATGTCAATGATTCCAAAATATAGAACCACTTCGTAGACCTCTCCGTGAGATAAGTAGTTGGTCCCTCCAGAGGAATATTGATCAAAGTCGCTTCTTCTCGCCATTCGCTCTGCTCTTGCAGGCATGTTTGCGCCTAACCGAATCAACGGTTTCCTGCAATGGCAATCGGATTTCAGTAAAAATGTTTAACTACGGGTAGAGAGGGAGTTGGTTGATATTTAACAACTAGTTTAAGAAACAGAAAAAGGACCACATGATCTGTCTTGCCCCCACAATATAATTGTGTTTTCTATTCAATTGAACATCCCCCACAAGATTGCCAAGCAAACTTTTTAATACAATAATGCATAGATGTAACGTAGTTCTCAGATGAAATCATTTCTAATTGGAAATTGAACCTCACATCTACTCTGCAACCGTAAATACCAATGCGTTCAATTCAAAAGGACTTTTGTTAGGTCAACTTCTTATGCTAAAGATTAAACCCGAGTAATGATTGGCGAGATTAAATATTCATGTACCTGCCAGCTAAAATGCGGTCCATATCTTGAAGTTCAGCCTCCAGGAAGCGACAACCACGCATGAATTTCTCGTTTTGGTACGATTCTATCTTACCTGACCAATTTGTTAAGACCAAATATCATCAGAATGGGTCAGGTAAACAAAAATAAATATTAAGAGGAACGAAAAGTTTAACTAACCAGATCTCAAAACGAATGGAGAAAGCCCCATTTTGTCTCCTGTGCTATCATCACGGAAGTGAACGCCAACCAGAAGGCTATAATCCATTATTCTCTCAGCTTCCAAGAACTCACAGTCTCGTTGAATTTGCCTGGAAAATGAAATCCAGCCAGCTTAGTAATGTGTTGGCACTTCCAACCACTCAATTAGGATTAAGAAAAATACTAGGAATTTGGGCAGCTTACATCATAAGCTCTTGGTACCAATTTCTCTGAAGACGGAAAGCAAAATTGAGATCAAGGTCCTTGAGAGTAGTGGTCTCATCGATTTCCACTTCGGGTTTGGATGTATAACGTCCATGGGAAGACCCTTTAAGGTCAAACCGTCTCTGGATTCGATATTCGGAGCAGAACAAGTTTCCCATGACAATAAACCGAGTCTGGTAAGATGGCAAACAACATGAGAAAATTATCCATTGAAACTAAAGAGTCGTAAGAACTGTAGATGAACAACACAAACCTTCTGGCCACCAACAGGTTTGATACAATGCACACCGTAGAACCTAGTCACAAGTGTATTTTCATACTGGCAGACATGTTTATAGTAACTTGGAAGCATTCTTAGAAGCACCTGGATAAAGAAAACAAAAAACATCAGGCCAAATTATTTTTATTAGCTAACCAAAGAAAGTGGACTATATGATTAAGAATTTAAAGGATAAGCAAAAAAAGAAAAAATACAAAGGGATTCACAGAAGCCAGAAGAAGTCAAGAAAAGAGCCAACGACTAACCTTGACTTCTGATTTCTTCACCGTCTTAATCATAAATCTGTCATCTTGAGTCAAGTAAAAAAAACTTCCACTCTTTCCAGGTGAAGACAGTTCCCTAAGAGCATCGTTCCCACAGATAGCTAACATGTAATCGGCAGGATCCACAGTGAAAAGCTCCCTTAAGCGTCTATCAAAAGAAACACATTTCACCACAAACACAGATTGAGAATATACATCACGAAACTTGTGCACAATAAGATTAACACATTAAAAGAGATGAAGATCATTCATTTAACAGCAAAATATTGAATACCTAAACACCAAAGGACAATAGTCCTTCCAGCGGAAATCCACAGATTGATGCGGCGGCGTGGTCTTAGAGCCCTCCGGTGGGAACCTTGTCCAAAACTTTTCACTCGGGTCAAAATCGCTCTGTTTGAGGTCTCGAACAATGGAAGCATGTTTGCCGACAGAATACCTAAATGATCGCAATTTGGTTAAACCACAGATCCAGAAACACACCATTCCTTGGGATTCACAAAAGTCTGAGAGTTTACCTGATTCCATGTTGCAAGTTGAGCATCAAATCATATTTCTTATGGCCTTTAGATATGGTCTCTCCAGGTTTCTTAGCCTCGCCGCTGAAACAGCAAGGATTCTTCCTAAACTGACGAAACCCATCTCGATCAATAGATATCCTATCTCTGTAAATCACCGAAGCTTCCACATTATCAACAATATCACAGGTGATATCCCCAGCTTCCCCGTCGGATTCCCAAATACAGATTCTAGGGAAAATCTTGTCCCCACTCAAACTTCCAGCTCCACTATCGACAGAAGATCTCTTCCTTGTCGCCACAATCAGCTCATTCTTCTCAATCCCATCAAAGAAACTCCTCATGAGATTGCTACTCTCATTCCATGAACCGATCCAGGAACTTCCATCAGCCCAGGTAAACACACCACTGCCTTTGGGAACACCATTCTCCCATTGCCCTTCATACCTATTCCCATTAGGCCAAGCAAGCACACCTTTACCACAAATCACACCGTTCCTCCACTCTCCAGTATACTGATTCCCATTCATCCATACGTATCGTCCCCTCCCGTCCTGTAGATTACGCCGCCAAGTGCCTTCATAGTAATCTCCGTTGGCATACCGCTTCTGACCATGACCATGTTTCCGATCAGCAACCCAGGAACCTCGATAAGTATCACCATCAACTCCAACAAAAGTGCCAAATCCTTCCATCCTCCCAGATTTGAACTCCCCTTCATAAGTCGCACCACTCGGCCACGAAAACTTGCCTTTACCGCTGGCTTTGCCGCGTTTCCACTCGCCTTCGTACATACAGCCGTCCTTCCAGAGATACTTGCCGGATCCGTTAGGAAAGCCGCCGGAAAACGAACCCATGTAGAGATCTCCGTTTGGTAACGGTTTCTCCACGTCTAGGGGAGGTGGCGTGGGAGTGACGCGCCTCGTAGTTCCTTGAGATTTCGATCGTACCATCGGCGTTAAAGCTAGTAACAACAAATCGTCTCTTCTCTCTTCCGTTTCGTCTCCCCGTCTCTTACACAACTCTTCCGAAACCTTCTTCTTCTTCTCCACAAGTAAAACCTCAGTAGGTTCTTCTTCGCTAACGAGCGGTTCACGCATCATCTACTCATCAGATAAACCCTGGCTGCTTCCCCTCTCAAATTTCTTCTTCTCAACGAAATGGGTGTGAGGTGAACGAGGAGGAGAAATGAAATGGAGATCCTCAGATGGAGAAAAGTTTCTAAATCTGAGAGGAAACCTAAACGTTGGCGAGAGATTCCTACAAAACGCTACAGAGAGGAAACAAAAAAAAAGAAAACAGAAAAGAAAAGGGGAGAATGAAGAAGCATCAAATGAAAAAGGATAAAGAAGAGACAGAGCAATAGAGAGAGAGAAGAGAAGATAAATTAATATAAAGTTTTTTTGAAAAATAAATAATGTGTTAGGGTAAAATAGTAAAATTTCGATTAAAGTTTGCAGTAGTAAACCATTGGGAAGTGGACACAAAAAGCCCACCAGCCCCTTTAAAAAGAAATTCACATTGTTATGACCAACGTATTGACTTATTTAATAAAACCATTCAAATTTTTCATTTTAAAAGTAACAAAAATACTGCGCTGTATATATGGGAAAACTTTCAAAAGATTTTGATAACAAAACAGTAATCAAATGACAGGTCTAATTTATGTCTAGTTTAATTTAGATAATACACTATGTAATCAGAGTAATTAGGAGGAAAAAAAACTTATTAAAAAGTGAAAGTTATTTTAGTGGAAATTTTTTTCCATATGGGTTTTTATGCATGGGAACAAATCTTTTCTTTAGCTCTCTTTCCTTCTTTTTTCGGCTAATTTTTTTAAAAATATATATGTACTAAAATATTGATGACAGAAAAAATCCAATTTAAAACTAGTGTTGCTGTTTCATATCATAATCCGCATAACAATTAACAAGACAAAAAAAAAGAAAAATATGAATGTCTAATGCCTTAAACATATGAAATATAGCAATGTGCGGATCCATAAACAATTCAAATATAAAGTATGTCTCGATCTATGATCTATCGCAAAAAAAAAAAAATGTTACTATTTGGTGTACATGAATGTATGTGAAGTTGTGAACACACTCACAAATAACGGAAAGTATCATGGATACGTGTTAACTCCTCAACACAGGATTGTGTCATTGTGTGTGTGTGTTGAATTATGATTAGCGAACTCTTGTTGAATCAGAAATATTCGCAGTTAGAAACTTCTTCAACCGTTATTTCATCATTGCACTTGTTTAAACAATAGTAACTGTTAAAATATAGGTAAAATTCACAAACAGTATTTTATACTTCAAAATAAAACTAGTAGATTGATCCCAAAATCCCAAAATCAAAGCTCGAAGCAATAAACAAATCTTGAGACATTTTTGAGAGTTGAGGCTCTATAGTAATTTCTTATACTAAAAAGAAAAAAAAAAAATACAAAGTGCCGGCGTGCCCTACGTACGTTGTATGGAATTAATGTGATACCCACGTAAAAGACCAAATGATTAGTTATGTTTATCTCCTTCTTTAAAAAATAAAAAAATCAATACTGCTAATCACAATTTTATTATATATTTTGATCGATCATTAACAAATCGTCATCGCGAATGGAATAATAATGTAATGAATCAGGTGATAATGTTTAGTAAACCACATGATTAGACTTTTTTCGTTTTGTTTCTTCTCCTATACAGTGTGACTTTTCATTTCATTTTATCAAATTACTCTATGTATGTAACCCTTATTTTTAAAATACTCTACGTAACAACAATATATCTTAACTTTTCTTCTATGCATTTATTCGATCGGTAATACTTCAACACCCGAGGCATCTCAAATAATCTTAGTGGAAAGTAGTAATTGACTTCTCTTGTGGTTAGATTAAATTTATTCCTCTCGGTATCTATACTATTAATTGGGAAGGACAACTTGAAGCCAAACACCCCCTAATTGAAAAAAAAAATTTCATGAAATATATTCCAGTTGCCAAACAGAATTATTGACAGCAAAACAAAAAAAAAACAAAAACAATCTATATTTATGGAAATCATAATAATCTTTTACCATAAAAAGTGGACAATTAAATTCAAAACTAAATATATATAAACAAATATATTTTGAATATACATAAACATATTTATTATTAATTTAATATGTTAATATAATTTTCGAAATTAATAATTTA